CAACTACAATTCTCAGAGAATTTGTTCCCCTGTACCTCTTTTACTGCTTTTTTGAATAAAGGGAATATTTTCTAGTATAGTCATGAATTGTTTAAGGAGAGTGAAACATGCTGAGAATTGCATCGTCAGGCAATTTTGTTGTTGTGTGAATATTATAGACTGTACTTATAAAAATCTAGATGGTATAGCAGGCTGTACACCTAGGATATATGGTATAACCTTACTGCTTTAGGCTACAAACTTGTTTGGCATGATATTCTACTGAATACTGTAGGCAGTTGTAATACAATAATAAGTATAATGCAACATACTAGACGTTTTGATGACTATGATGTCACTAGGAAATATTAATTTTTCAGATCCATTAAAATCTTATGGGACTGCTATCATATGCAGTTTGTCATTGACTAAAATGTCATTATGCAGCACAAGACTATGACATTTAAAATTTTTACATTTTTCTCTGTATTTTTTGGCTTTTTTTAGTGGTTACTCAAGGGATTATCAGGTACAGCTTAAAATTTATACTAATTTAATTGCAGTGAGATATAGAAATATTCTATTTTGAATAACTTTTTTTGTGCCACTGTTACTACATCATTATGTGTTACAAACCTAACAGTGTGTTTGTTATAATTAGTATTTTATGTAATTTAATATTTTTAGAGAAGCTGAGAGAAGAAAGGAGAGCAAATATACATTTACATAGTTTGGTTCATTAACATTTATATTTACTATTGTGTTTTTTTCCTTCATTTATTTCTGTGGATTTGAGATACCATCTCTTGTTTCGTTAGTCCAGTACAGCTTTGCTTCTACCTGCCTCCTGTGGGCTGATACTGCCAAATACATTGTAATTTTTATATGTTATAGGACCAACAATACAATTATATGCATACTGGCAGGGTGTGGTGGCTCACGCCTGTAATCCCAGCACTTTGGTATGCTGAGGCAGGTGGACCACTTCAGGTCAGGAGTTGAGACCAGCCTGGCCATGGTGGCAAAACCCCTATCTTTACTAAAAATAGAAAAATGAGCCAGGTGAGGTGTTACATACCTGTAATTCTAGCTACTCAGGAGGCTGAGGCATGAGAATTACTTGAACCTGGGAGGTGGAAGTTGCAGTGAGCTGAGATTGCACCAGTGTACTACAGCCTGGGCAACAGAGTAAGACCTTGTCTCAAACAAACAAACAAAAACCTAATACATTACAATCATATGCATATTGTTTTAAAAGTTGCTTTTTAAATCAGAAGAAGAAAAGAGTAATATGTAATGATACTGTTTTTATATATACCCACATAATTCCCTTTGTTGATTCTCTTTTATTTTTTTGTTTGGAATTAAAATATGGTTTTGGGTGAGTTTCTTTCAATCTGAAGAGCTTTCTTTAGCATTTCTTTCTTTCTCTCTTCTCTTCTCCCCTCCCCTCCCTTCCCCTCCCCTCCCTGCCTTCCCTTCCCTTTCCCTTCCCTTCCCCTTCCCCTCCCCTTCCCCCCCTCCTTTTTTTTTTGAGACGGAGTTTCGCTCTTGTTACCCAGGCTGGAGTGCGATGGCGCGATCTCGGCTCACCGCAACCTCTGCCTCCTGGGTTCAAGCAATTCTCCTGCCTCAGCCTCCTGAGTAGCTGAGATTACAGGCACGCGCCACCATGCCCAGCTAATTTTTTGTATTTTTTAGTAGAGACGGGATTTCACCATGTTGACCAGGATAGTCTCGATCTCTTGACCTCGTGATCCACCTGCCTCGGCCTCCCAAAGTGCTGGGATTACAGGCTTGAGCCACCGCGCCCGGCCCCCCTTTCCTTTTTTTTTTTTTTTGAGGCAGAGTCTCACTCTGTTGTCAGGCTGGAGTGCAGTGGTGCAATCTCTGCTCACTGCAACCTCCGCCGCCTGGGTTCAAGCAATTCTCCTGCCTCAGACTGCCGAGTAGCTGGGATTATAGGTGTGTGCCACCACTCCTGGCTAATTTTTTTTTGTATTTTTAGTAGACACAGGGTTTCACCATGTTGGCCGGGGTAGTCAGATTTCGTTTATCTGGGAATGTTTGTTACACTTTTATTTTTGAAAAATGACTCTCATTTTTATAAGATTCTTAGTTGACGCTGGGCATGCTAGCTCATGCCTGCAGTCCCACCACTTTGGGAGGCTGAGGCAGGTAACTGCTTGAGCCTAGAAGTTTGAGACCAGCAACATGGTGATACTCCGTCTTTACCAGAAAAATACAAAAATGTGGTGGTATGCAGCTATACTTATAGTCCCAGCTACCTGGGAGGCTGAGGTGGGAAAATGGCTTCAGTCCAGGAGGTAGAGGTTGCAGTGAGCTGAGATTGTGCCACTGCACTCCAGCCAGGGTGACAGAGCCAGACCCTGTTTCAAAACAAAACAAAACAAAACAAAAACCAATGTTTAGTTGACAGATTTTTTTTTTCTTTGAGCAGTTTGAATATGTCATCTAACTGTATTCTCTGGCCTTCTTGTTTCTAGAGAGAAATTAGCTCTTAATCTTATCGGGTGTTTCTTATATATGATGACTTTTTCTTGCTGCTTTCAAGATTTTTTTCTTCAGTTTTAACATTTTGACTGTGATTCGTCTTTGTGTGGATCTCTTTGAATTTATCCTGCTTGGAGTTCACTGAGTTTCTTGGATATATAGATTAATGTTTTCCATCAAATTTGGAATACTTTTAACCATAATTTCTTCAGATATTTTTCCGTTTTCTTTCTATATTCTCCTGGTACTCATTGTGCATATGTTGGTACACTTAGTGTTTCCCATATTCCTTTAAGGCTCTGTTCATTTTTTTCTCCTTTCTCCTCCCCCGCTGTTAGTTAGCATAGTCTTTATTAATCTATCTTCATGTTTGCTGATTCTGTCTTATGCCATCTTGGATATACTGTTGATCTTGCTAGTGAATTACTGATTTTAGGTCCAAGTTTGGTGGCTCACACCTTTAATCCCAGCACTTTGGGAGGCCAAGGCAGGAGCATTGCTTGAGTTCAAGAGTTCAAGACCATCCTGGGTAACATAGTAAACCCCATTTTAGTTATTGCATTTTTTTTTTTTTTTTTGAGACAGGGTCTTGCTCTGTTGCCCAGGCAAGAGTGCAGTGGCATAATTATGGCTCACTGCAGCCTCAACTTTCTGGGCTCAAGCAGTCTTCCCACCTCAGCCTACCAAGTAGCTGGGACCACAGGCATGTGCCATCATTCCTGGCTAAGTTTTTGTATTTTTTTGTAGAGACAGGGTTTTACCATGTTGTCCAGGCTGGTCTCAAACTTCTGAGCTTGAGCAGTCCTCCTGTCTCAGCCTCCCAAAGTCGTGGGATTACAGGCATGAGCCACCATGCCTGGCCAGTTATTGTACTTTTAACTCCAGAATTTCCATTTGGTTCATATATATATTTACGTGTGTGTATATATATATAGATATACACACACACACACACATATATACATGTGTGTGTATATATATATACACACACACACATATATGTATATATATATACACATTTATATATGTGTATATATATATATATATATACACATTTATATATGTGTATATATATATACATATACACACATACACACACACACACAAAGATGGGGTTTCACCATGATGGCCAGGCTGGTCTTGAACTACTGACCTCAGGTGATCCACCTTGGCCTCCCAAAGTGCTAGGATTACAGGCGTGAGCCACCGCGCTCAGACAGTTCTTTTAAAAATAATTTTCTCCATATTGTATTCTCTACTTAATGAGATGTTGTCATCTTGCCTTTTACTTCAAGCATGGTTTTTGTTTTTTGATTATATTTATAATGTTTGCTTTGAAGTCTTTACTTATTTCAATGGCTGGACCCTCTCAAAGGTATTTCTTTTGATTTATTTTGCCTGCTTTTCCCCGTGTTTGAGACACACCTTCCTATTTCTTATGTTTCATAACTTTTGTTGAGTATTGACATTTTGGGTAATATATCAATTCTGAATATTGATTCTTTTCTCCTTTCTCTCCTCTATGTTATTGATTCTTTCTTGAAAATTATTCAGAATACTTAGGACTGTACCTACAGTTAAAATATTCATATTAGAAGTGTCTATGATTAAAAACTTAGGTTCTGGCCAGGTGCAGTGGCTGACGCCTCTAATCCCAACACTGAGAGGCTGAGGCAGAAGAATTGCTTGAGGCCAGGAATCTGAGACCAATCTGGGCAACATAATAAAACCCTGTTTCTCCAAAAAAATTAAAAATTTAGACAGATGTGGTGGTGCTCACCTTGTAGTCCCACCTACTTGGGAGGCTGAGGTGGGAGGATTGCTTGAGCACAGGAGGTTAAGGCTGCAGTGAATTGTGATCCCAGCCTGGATGACAGAACAAGACCTTGTCTCAAAAAAAAAAAAAAGACTTGGGTTCTAGAAAATCTAGTTTGTATCCTTAGTGATCCCTTTTCCATTTCTCCTGGCAGTGCATTGTTCATGATTGTTTCCATATGAATGAGGTATTACCATAGTTAGACGTTTTTATAAATCCTGAGGCCTTTGTCTTTTTAAGTAATTTTATTTTATTGTAATTTTTTTGAGATGAAGTCTTGCTCTGTTGCCCAGGCTGGAGTGCAGTGGCACAGTCATAGTTTACTGCAGCCTCAAACTCCTGGGCTCAAGCAATCCTCCTGCCTTGGCCTCCTAAAGTGTTGGGATTATAGGCATGAACCATAACACCTGGCCATTGTATTTATTCATTTATTTATTTTTTGCATGCACTTAGGTCATAGCCATTTCATTTTATTTCATTTTTTTAGAGACAGAGTCTTACCCAGTCAGTTGGGCCAGCTCACTGCAGCATCAAACTTTTGGGCTCAAGCTATCTTCCCATTTCAGCCTCCTGAGTAGCTAGGACTATAGGCGCATACCATCACGCCTAGTTTTTGTCTTTAATATGAAGTTTGTGTATAATTTTTTTTTGTAATGGAATAGTTTTAGTTAATAATACTTCTTCCTTTTAGGTTACACCTATGTTTGAGGATTGGACTACTATTGATTGGTATCGATTTTTTTGTTTATGGGAGAAGTTGCCAACTTCTATGAAAAGAGTGGCAGAGCTAGTGGGAGTTGAAGAGGGGTTCTTGGCTCGCTGTGTGAAAGGAAAAGTAGTAGCCAGAACTGAGAGACAGCACCGACAAATGGCCATCCATAAAAGGTAAAGGTCAAGATCTCTTGGCTCTATAGTATTTAACACAGTGTCTTGCATGTAGTAGATGCTATTGTAGTCACTTTCATTGTCAATAAAATCAAAATTTTGGCAGAGTATAAGATTTTTCAGTTTTCTATATTTTCTGAATTTATTGGTATTTCAGTTTATTTCTGCAACTTACAGTTTAGCAGCTGTTATATATAAAGATCTTATCTTTTAAAGTAGAATATTTAATTCTCTTTTGTAAAGAAGGTATGGCTCAGAAGAACCGCCAATTTACTGTGACTTCACTTGGGGTTATGCTTTGTACCATGCTTAGAAGTGATGCATTACCAGTAGGGAAGAAGAGCTAATTAAAAGATTCAGATGGAGAAATTGTACAGGCTGTTAGCTTCTTTGATGAATTGCCGCTTCTTTGAAATGTAATGAAATTATCTGGGCGCAATGGCTCATGCCTATAATCCCAACACTTTGGGAGGCCAAGGTGGGCAGATCACTTGAGGTCAGGAGTTTGAGATTAGCCTGGCCAATATGGTAAAACCCTGTCTCTACTGAAAATACAAAAATTAGCTGTGCGTGGTCGCACACACCTGTAATCCCAGGTACTTGGAGTCTGAGGTGGGAGAATCGCTTGAACCCAGGAGGTGGAGGTTGCAGTGAGCTGATACTGTGCCACTGCACTCCAGCCTGGGAAACAGAGTGAGACTCTGTCTTAAAAAAAAAAAAAAAGTGGGGGAGCGAGTGCAGTGGCTCACGCCTATAATCTCAGCACTTTGGGAGGCCAGTGTGGGCGGATCACAAGGTCAGAAGATAGAGACCATCTTGGCCAACATGGTGAAACCCCGTCTTTACTAAAATACAAAACGTAGCTGGGCGTGGTGGCCTGCTCCCATAGTCACAGCTACGCGGGAGTCAGAGGCAGGGGAATCACTTGAATCCGGGAGTGGGAGTTGCAGTGAATGGAGATTGCGCCACTGCCCTCCAGCTTGGCGACAGAGTGAGACTCCATTTCAAAAATATATATATATGAAATTATTTTTTTAAAAAAAACATTAATCTCTAGTATATTATTTACAACACGGTTAAGTATAAATTTTATAAGGATTTATATGCTTGGATTATTTTTACTACTTTTTTTTTTTTTTTTTTTGAGATGGAGTTCAGCTCTGTAGCCTAGGCTAGAGTGCAATGGCGCAATCTCGGCTCACTGCAACCTCCGACTCCCAGGGTTTAAGCAATTCTTCTCCTTCAACCTCCCAAGTAGCTGGGATTACAGGGACCGCCACAATACACAGCTAATTTTTTAATATTTTTAGTAGAGACAGGGTTTCTCCATGTTGACCAGGCTGGTCTCGAACTCCTGACCTCAGGTGACCCGCCGGCCTCGGCCTCCCAAAGTGCTGGGATTACAGGTGTGAGCCACTGCACTCAGTGCTACTGGTGTTTTTTAAATCAGAATTGGATGACGTATTTAGATTCTGTCATCTTACTGAAATAATGATATACATGCAACTGTATATCAAGTTATCTTTTAAATTTTTGTGCCATCACCTTCCTTGAACCAAGTCTCATTTCTTGATATTAGCAATATTAAATATGGGCAACTTTTTGTTATACAGACATTATTTCTTTACTATAGTACTAATGCATGTCAAAGCTTGCTTTGTAAGCATTGATCTCAGTCTTTGTCCACTAACCCTATTTTCCATTAACAATCTTACCAGAATGTATTATATAAGGTCTCTATTGCCTTTCAGGTTCTTAGTCATTTTACAACACGCAGTATCTCCTAGTAGACATAAATGATCTCTTACCATGTTTTTGGTGATTTATTCCCAGGTTTTTCACCAGTCTTGTGCTATTAGATTTAATCAGTGAAGTTCCCTTAAGGAAAATTATTCAAAAATATGGATGCAATCGTGGACAGATTCAATCTTTGCAGCAGTCGGCTGCTGTTTATGCAGGTCAGTTAAACAAAGGGTTTCACATTTATTTAAGACTGTGATTTGAGGTCAAGATTACTTATTTTTTCAAATTCCATTTTGTAAGCCTCTTTATTTTTATTTTTTTATTTTTATATTTATTTTTTTGAGACAGAGGCTTGCTCTGTCACCCAGGCTGGAGTGCAGTGGCATGATCTCGGCTCACTGCAACCTCTGCTTCCTGGGTTCAAGCGATTCTCCTGCTTCAACCTCCTGTGTAGCTGGGATTACAGGTGTGTGCCTCCATGCCCTGCTAATTTCGTATTTTTAGTAGAGATGGGATTTCAGCATGTTGGCTGGTCTTGAACTCCTGACCTTAGGTGAGCCGCCCACCTCAGCCTCCCAAAGTGCTGGGATTATAGGCATGAGCCACAGAACCTGGCTGTAGGCCTCTTTAAAAGTGCTATACAGTTCTTGTCATCATCAGAAAATTCAAAACTGGCTGGGCGAAGTGGCTCATGCCTGTAATCCCAGCACTTTGGGAGGCCGAAGCAAGCAGATCACTTGAGGTCGGGAGTTCGAGACCATCCTGACCAACATGGAGAAACCCATCTCTACTAAAAATACAAAATTAGCCAAGTGTGGTGGTACATGCCTGTAATCCCAGCTGTTTGGGAGGCTGAGGCAGGAGAATCGCTGGAATCTGGGAGGCAGAGGTTGTGGTGAGCCGAGATCATGCCATTGCACTCCAGCCAGGGCAACGAGAGTGAAAGTCCATTTAAAAAAAAAAAAAATTCAAACTGTGGCTCCTCAGGGCTCAGTACCATGTTACAGAGGATTGGTAATTAGCTGAATGTCTGGACCTCTATTCCTTAACAACCTGCTGACTATCCTTCTCCTTTCTGTTTTCTTTTCCTTTCCTTTTTCATTTCTTTTTCCTGTTACAAGAAGAAATAGAAACAAAGTTTTCTGTGTTCTCCCCTTCCTCATTAAGGTACTGATTAATACATGTTGAGGAGAAGGATGGAAGATGGAGAGGGATTTCTGAACTCCTGTCTGACTGTTCTAAAAATGATCTATTTTAAGGAACCACTGGTCTGCGTTAATGTATTAAACTCTAAGCAAGCAGATAAATTCTGAATCTGATTTTACTAACGAATCCTTACAAGCCCTTCCTGAAATGTTAACCTCAGGAAACTATGGGCTACAAGAGGGTGTGTGCATTTGTATGTGTAAGAGGTTTCATTGTGAAGATGTGTGCTTATGAGGGAGCACTGCGGGGAAGATGAGAAGAGGGAGTGGTAAGAAGGGAGGGACTCAGTCTTAGACGCACTGGCATCAAAGATGAAAGACTACCTCTAGGGGTTTATGTTCTCGTAGAGAAGTGTCTTTATGACATGGTACTTGTTTTGGTTTCTTTATTCCAAAACAGTACAGCTATTGAGCTCAGCAACCTTTTTTTTTTTTTTTAATATGACTGGTTAATGGCAATCAGCAACATTTCTTTGAAGAAAATGCAGGTGGGAACTCTACTCTTTCTAGTTTTCTCAGCGATTGAATATTTAAACCAACTCTCTTGTTTTCCTCTAGGTGGAAAGAGTCCCTCACAGGTTTTTAAGAGTTCTCTTTTGCTTAAGAGAGAGAGAGAGAGGAATGAATTAGGGTGAGGGCTTCTTGTTTTGTGCTCTGCCTCAGTTTTCTTTTGTTAACTTCAGTATTAATAAATGAGGCCGGGTGCGGTGGCTCAAGCCTGTAATCCCAGCACTTTGGGAGGCCGAAGCGGGTGGATCATGAGGTCAAGCGATCGAGACCATCCTGGTCAACATGGTGAAACTCCGTCTCTACTAAAAATACAAAAAATTAGCTGGGCATGGCGGCGCATGCCTGTAATCCCAGCTGCTCAGGAGGCTGAGGCGGGAGAATTGCCTGAACCCAGGAGGCAGAGATTGTGGTGAGCCAAGATCACGCCATTGCACTCCAGCCTGGGTAACAAGAGCAAAACTCAGTCTCAAAAAAAAAAAAAAAAGAATAAATGCGATGGCATTAGATGAATAAATGAGATGACATAAAACTTAGTGCATTTATTGTCCAATTAGTTGAGGCCCTTAATATATGCCTGCTCCCTTGTTAACTTACACCTTGGGCCTTGTTAAACCTACGATTTTGCAGGAAAAACAAAACAAAATATAAATACATCTAAAGAAATGGAGAATTGCTCTGTAAAACAAAATTTTAATTCAACAAATATTCTATGAATGTTCTAGGGATGATTACAGTATTTTCCAACCGTCTGGGCTGGCACAACATGGAACTACTACTTTCCCAATTTCAGAAGCGTCTTACATTTGGCATCCAGAGGGAGCTGTGTGACCTGATTCGGGTATCCTTATTGAATGCTCCGAGAGCCAGGGTTCTCTATGCTTCTGGCTTTCTTACTGTGGCAGACCTTGCCAGAGCAAATATTGCAGAGGTAGAGATGATTCTGAAAAATGCTGTGCCTTTCAAAAGGTAAGAAAATACCTTTTTACCTCCATGGGATTATTAAATTTTAAAAAAATCATGTCAATTTTTAAATAATAATGTATTGCATTATTTTTCTCTTAAATAATCTTATGATATACTTGGTGTAAGTGGAAGGAAATATGGCTACCTTTTTCCCCTTGAGGATTACTTTTTATTTTGTATATTTAAAAAATAATACATGACTTAAAAACATTCCTACTAGAATGGCTGAGTGGGGCTGGGCACTATGGATCACACCTGTGATCCCAGTACTTTGGGAGGCTGAGGCTGATTGCTTGAGCTTAGGAGTTCAAGACTAGCCTGGACAACAGAGCAAGATCTCATTACTACTAAAACTAAAAAAAAAAAAAAAAGCTGGGTGTGGGTGGCATGTGCTTGTAGTCCCAGCTGCTTGGGAGTGTAAGGCTGGAGGGTTGCTTGAACCTGGGAGGTTGAGGCTGCAGTGCACTCTGATAGTGCTGCTGTACTCCAGGCTGGGTGACAGAGTAAGATTGTGTCTCAAGAAAAAAAAAATTACTGAGCAAGTTTGGTATCAATGCTTTCTGCTTTGATGGATTTTGATAATTTTAATGTGATTTCATTATATATCTGGGGCTCATCTTACACATTCTTTAGGCAAGAACATTTTAGAATACATTCCTCTGAAATGTTCTTTGGAATGCTAGTTCCTCAAAACAATTTGTGAGAAGATTCCTTGATTTTTTTTTTTTGTCTGTGTTTATGTCTGAATAACCATTTATTGAATGGGCTAGACTCAGTATATAAATCAAGGAAAGCTTAACTATTTTTTCTACACCTGTTTTTTTGAACTCACTCTTACATGAAATCTCAGGCAGATCCTTTAGGTATTTCATTACTTTCAGGTACTAACAACCAGTTTTATTTTCAGGTATTAAACAATTTGTTCTAGATGGAAGCATCAATTTCATTTCCAGTTCAGTGTTTCTTCCCTCCCACTCATTTTAAACCTGACTCCCAGCTCTGAGACCTTAACCTGTGTGGGAAGGGATGGGATATCTCTTCCCCACAGAAGATAATTTTTCCACAGACCAGGGGGTGGTGGGGGTGTGGTGTGGAGGTGGGGGTAGTGAGGTGGTGGAGATGGTTTGGTTTTAGGATGAAACAATTAGATTCTTACAAGGAGCATACAACCTAGAGTCCTTGCATGGGCAGTTCATTATAAGGTTTGCTGTAGCTGATCTGACAGGAGGCAGAGCTCAGGCAGCAATGCTCACTTGCCAGCAGCTCACCTCCTGCTATGCAGCCCAGTTCCTCACACGCTGGGGACTGGTACTGGTCTACAGCTAGGGGAATGAAGACCCTTGGTTTAGACATTTAACTGGCCACTTGGAATCTGTCCACATTTGCACAGTTTAGAGGTCAGCCAGAGATTTGGGCAGAGTTTATCTGAAGAATTTGGAGTTGTTCTTCTCTAGTTATCTGTTCTTGACTGTCTTCAATTTCTAAGTAATGTAGTTACTTTTAGCTCTCTTCTGACTTCTTTCAGTCAGTGGACTCTAGGTTTTTATCTGAGTTTTTAGCCAACCTACAGGGTGCTGACTGGGCCCTGCCTTCAGGTAAAAAGTGAAAATTCACCCACTGCCGTTTCTTTCTTCCAAGTCTCAATTCCCCTCCAGTTTCTGCTTTCTTTTTTCGTTTTCTAGTCCCTTCAAATATTTTGTCCAGAGTTTATATTGTGTATTGTGTAGAAGGATTTGTTTTCTTTCTTTCTTTCCTTTCCTTCTTTCCTTCCTTTCTTCCTTTCTTCTTTTCTTTTTTTTTTTTTCGACAGAGTCTTGCTCTGTCTCCGAGGCTGGAGTGCAGTGGTGTGATCTGGGCTCACTGCAACCTCTGCCTCCTGGGTTCAAGCAATTCTCCTGTCTCAGCCTCCCAAGTAGCTGGGACTACAGGTGCACAGCCTCCCAAGTAGCTGGGACTACAGGTGCATGCCACCACATGTCTAATTTTTGTATTTTTAGTAGACATAGGATTTTACCATATTGGTCAGGCTGGTCTCGAACTCCTGACCTCAGGTGATCCACTCACCTTGGCCTCCCAAAGTGCTGGGATTACAGGTGTGAGCAACCATGCCCGCTTTTTTTTTTTAAATGAGACAGGGTATGTCTCTGTTGCCCAGGCTGGAATATAATGGCATGATCTTGTCTCACTGTAATGTCTCCTAGGTTTGAGCGATTCTCATGCCTCAGCCTCCCAAGCAGCTGGGATTACAGGTGCTCGCTATTGCGCCCAGCTGATTTTTTTGTATTTTTAGTAGAGACGGGGTTTCACCATGTTGGCCAGGCTGGTCCTGAACTCCTGGCCTCAAGTGATTCACCTTCTTCAGCCTCTCAGAGTGCTGGGATTATAGGCATCAGCTACAGCACCTGGCTGGATGTTTTTCAATGACTGTTTTATGGCCTTCACTTTTTTAAAGGCTTCTACTTAAAGAATCTGTCTTAGTGAAGCCTTCCTTGATTATGCCATTTAAAAACTACAGAACCACCCACTCCTTTCTTGTGCCTCATTTTTGTATACAACTCTTATCACCAGGTAATATAGAATGCACTTAAAACTCTTGTTTATTTTCTGAATTCCCCAGCTGGAATTAAGTTCCATGAGAGCAGATAGAGCTCTCTCTCTCTTCTTCATTGTTATTTTTCAGTTCCTAGAACAGCTCAGATTGAATGTTTAATAAATATTTACTAGGCCGGGCGTGGTGGCTCACGCCTATAATCCCAGCACTTTGGAAGGCCGAGGCGGGTGGATCACGAGGTCAAGAGATCGAGACCATCCTGGTCAACAAGGTGAAACCCCATCTCTACTAAAAATACAAAAATTAGCTGGGTATGGTGGTGTGCACCTGTAGTCCCAGCTACTCGTGAGGCTGAGGCAGGAGAATTGCTTGAACCCAGAAGGCAGAGGTTGCGGTGAGCCAAGATCATGCCATTGCACTCCAGTCTGGGTAACAACAGCGAAACTCCATCTCAAAAAAATAAAAATAAATAAATAAATATTTGCTGTATGAATGAATTAATTCATTTCTGTCTTTTCCCATCTCCTTATGTAGTGCCCGGAAGGCAGTGGATGAGGAAGAGGAAGCAGTTGAAGAACGTCGGAATATGCGAACTATCTGGGTGACTGGCAGAAAAGGTTTAACTGAAAGGGAAGCAGCAGCCCTTATAGTGGAAGAAGCCAGAATGATTCTGCAGCAGGACTTAGTTGAAATGGGAGTGCAATGGAATCCATATGCATATTCTAGTACATGTTCATTGACTCATAGTGAGTCAGAAGTAAAGGAACACACATTTATATCCCAAACTAAGAGTTCTTATAAAAAAATAACATCAAAGAATGAAAACACAATATTTATTGATTCTTATATTAAGCATTCACCAAATACAGTGCAAGACTTAAATAAAAGTAAAGAGCATACAAGTTCCTTTAATTGTAATTTCCAGGATGGGAATCAAGAACATCAGAAATATTCCATTTTCAGAGCAAGAAAACGGGCTTCTTTGGATATAAATAAAGAGAAGCCAGGAGCCTCTAAGAATGAGGGGGAAATAAGCATTAAGAAAGTTGTCCAGACTTTTTCAGAAAAAACAAAAAAGGCACCTTTGAATTTTAGTTCAGAAAAGATGAGTAGAAATTTTCAATCTTGGAAACACAGAAAGCGTCTCAAGCAATCCAGGCACAGCAGCCCTCTGAAAGGCTCTGGAGCATGTAGAATCAATTTACAAGGACAGACTCTGTCTAATTCTAAGCTTTGTGAAGACTCATTTAGCTTAGATGAGAATACAGGATGTAGAAGTTCAGGGCCATTTGCTAAAAACATATATTTGAGTGGTGTGGGAAAAGATGACAAAACATCATTCACATTACAAATAAAGCAAAGTTGTTCACTAACTAATGATAATTTTGTGGAACATTTCATTTCAGGATCTCAGAGTATAAATGGGACCTGTCAGGTCACTAATGTGGTTAGTGAAAAAGGCAGAGATAAAGCTGTTGAGGTGGAAAAAATTAATGAAGTACTGATACAAAATGATTCAAAAAACCAGAATGTTTATGTGAAACACCATGACACCCATCCTATTAACCGGTACCCTCAAAAGCAATCTAATGAACAGACAAGCACTTTTATCAAACAGAAAAATATAATAGAGAAACAAATGCCCTGTGAGGCAGTCAGTAGTTACATAAATGGAGACTTAAATGTTACTACTGTCAATTGTGAAAGGATAAAGCTTAATACAGAGGAAAATAATCCAAGTCATTTTCAGGCATTAGGAGAGGATATAAGCAGAACTGAGATACCCAGTGGAGTATTTCTATCAACTAGAGCACTTAGCAAATCAGGAGGCCAACATGAGAATTTTCTAAATATTTCTAGACTACAAGAAAAAACAAGTGATTATACAACAAACAAAAATAGAAATAATGCTGCTGACTCAGGTTTAGTCCTCTGTGATTTTGAAGATAGTTTCTACCTGGATTCTCAGTCAGAGAAAATAATACAACAGATGGCAACTGAAAGTGCCAAACTAGGAGCAGAGGATACCAGCCTGGCAGCAGGGATAAGGCAGAAGAGCTTAGTCAAACAGAACTTGATGAACTCTTTTCAGAATGAGTGTCACATTACTTTTCCGGCTGAACAGCATCCTCTAGGAGTGAAAAACATAGATCATTTGAACCTTAAGACTGTAGGTCCTATGAAACAAAGCACTGATTCACATGGGGTTGAGATCCTGACTCCAGAAAGCCCAATTTTTCATTCTCCGATACTATTGGAGGAAAATGGTCTTTGTTTTAAAAAGAATGAACTTTCTGTTACTGATTCCCAATTGAATAGTTTTCTTCAAGTTTATCAAACACAAGAAACTGTGAAACCAGTTACACCTCTGGTTCCCCAAAAGAGAACTCCCACTGGTATAGGAGAATGTCTTCCAGTTCCTGAAACGAGTTTGAATATGAGTGATAGTTTACTATTTGACAGTTTCAGTGATGACTGTCTAGTAAAAGAACAACTATCTGTTGTGCAAATGAAAAAACCCCTTCCTTCAGAAGAACCATCAAACCATTTTAGTGATTCTCTGTGTCTACATGAAGACCTAATTAAAAAGTTAAATGTAAATGATAATCAAGATATCCACCAGCAGTTGACTTTTTCCAAATATGAATCTATATTTTCAGAAATGGATTCTGTTCAGATGGTTGAAGCTTTGGACAGTGCAGATATATTTCCTGTACAAGAGAAACATCGTACTGTAGTATCCCCTAGAGCGTTAGAACTGAGTGATCCAGTACTTGATGGGCACCACCAAGGTGATCAAGATGGAGGAGATCAAGATGAAAGGGCTGAAAAATCAATATTAACTGGGACCAGGCAAAGTAATTCATTCATGTGGTCAGGGGCATCATTTGATCTAAGTCCAGGACTGCAAATGATTTTAGATAAAGTGTCCAGTCCTCTAGAAAATGAAAAGCTAAAAATGACTATAAACTTGTCTAGTTTGAATGGAAAAAATACAGAATTAAATGAAGAACAAGAAGTTAATTCAACCTTGGAGACAAATCAAGTGCAGGAAAATTCATTTTCTTCTAATAATGAAGTAAAAAATAAGATTGAGGTGCCAGAAAACAGTGCCAATTATGGTGAAACCTCATCCCTCTTACGTATAGTTGATGATAATGGTCTCATTCCTCCTACACCCATTCCAACATCTGCTTCTAAGCTGACCTTTCCAGGGATTCTTGAAACACCTGTAAACCTTCAGAAAACTAAGAATGTTTTACAACCCGGTGAAAGTTATTTACTTGGCTCACCTTCGGATATTAAAAACCACGATTTAAGTCCAGAGAGAAATGGGTTCAAAGACAATAGCCCTATTAGTGACACAAGCTTTTCACTTCAGTTATCACAGGATGGATTACAGTTAACTCCAGCCTCAAGCAGTTCAGAAAGTTTGACCATAATTGATGTAGCAAGTGACCGAAATCTTTTTCAAACATTCATTAAAGAGTGGCGATGCAAAAGGCAATTTTCCATCTCACTGGCTTGTGAAAAGATTAGAAGTTTAACATCTTCTAAAACTGCCACTATTGGTGGTAGGTTTAAGCAAGGTAAGATTTTATTTTTATTTTTTTCATATTTATGAACTAGTCAGTAGACTGAGATAAGATTTAGACTTCTCAGTGTTAGATATAATCTATTCAAATTGTAGTTTGTAGTATGTATTTCCTCTGTGGATTTATGTGTAGAACAGCCTTATTTATTCAGCACACCTAAATTAATAATGGTAGTTGCCCTCTAGTATAAGAAGTACATGTAATATAGAGTAGAATAAAAGTTTACAAAAATAAAGACAATATTTATTTTGAATATGAATGTGATATTTCTTTTATGGTATATTAGTGTTGTGACATAATGGTTTTTATTAATCATCAGTGCTCATGAATTCTTTTCTTTTTCTTTCTTTCTTTTTTCTTTTTGAGATGGAGTCTTCTCTGTTGCCCATGCTGGAGTACAGTGGAATGATCTCGATTTTGGCTTACTGCAACCTCTGTCTTCTGGGTTCAAGGGATTCTCCTGCCTCAGCCTCCCAAGTAGCTGGAAGTACAGGCATGTGCACCATGCCTGGCTAATTTTTGTATTTTTAGACCAGATTGGATTTCATCATGTTGGCCAAGGTGGTCTCAAACTCTTGACCTCAAGTGATCTGCCCATGTTGGCCTCTCAGAGTGCTGGGATTTATAGGCATGAGCCACTGCGCCTGGTCTCATGAATTATTTTCTATTGAATTACAATATTCTTGTTTGCTTATGTAATTACAAAAGTACATTGTTAATCTGAACTATGTTCTTCACAGTGTACATTAGCTACATTTTCCAAGACTTATCTCAAGTAGAACTTAGACCTCCATTGATAGTCATGAATTGTATACTGAAATATTGCTTCCAAAACCTTGTAGAGCTCTTCCAGGTGTTGAGAGAGTTGAACCTTTTTGTCAAGTAAGCCTATGTATAGTCCTGTTTTATTGCATGAACTCTGCATTCTGGATCATGGTGACTAGTTATAGTCAGCTTGAAAACCTGCTGTGGAAATCAGATGTTTGATTAGATTTATTAAACTTCAATATTTTATGAGTTAATTTGTTCATAAAGATTTGAGTATTTGTCTGATCCTCAATTCATAGGCAGATGTGTCAGCCACAACTTTTATGTACCTTTAGTGTTGAATAGCACTTTCCATTTTTCATGCAAGAAACAATGGAGCACATTTTCTATATCAGGCTATATAATAGAGGCTGTAGGGATTTAAAAAGTTTACCTAAGGCCAGGTGCGGTGGCTCACGCCTGTAATTCCAGCACTTTGGGAGCCTAAAGTGGGCGGATCACCTGAAGTTGGGAGTTTGAGACCAGCCTGACCAACATGGAGAAACCCTGTCTCTACTAAAAAAAAAAAAACAAAATTAGCCAGGCGTGGTGGTGCATGCCTGTAATCTCAACTACTCAGGAGGCTGAGGCAGGAGAATCACTTGAACCCAGGAGGCAGAGGCCAGGTGTGGTGGTGCATGCCTGTAATCCCAGCCACTTGTGAGGCTGAGGCAGGAGGATCGCTAGAACCCCGGAGGCAGAAGCTGTGGTGAGCTGAGATCGTGGCATTGCACTCCAGCCTGGGCAACAAGAGCAAAATTGCGTCTCCAAAAAAAAAAAAAGTTCACCTTAATTTAATACACATGTGCTAGGTTCCTATGTGCCAGTTTTTTCCTGGTACTAGGGATATAATTATCAATAAGACAGACTGATTCTTGACCTTTATAAAATTGGAGATACATTATTTTAGAAAAAAATGTTGACTCTAGATACAAAATTATACTTCTTCACTAAAGAATAACATTCTTTATTTTTCTGGAATTTCTTAGTTAAGGATTGCTGAATTTGCTGCAAAGTTTTGGTAGTATACAAATGATCTTTATTTTTGTTTGATTTCTAAAATTTGAAATGCAGCCTTTCTTTTTTTAAGTTAATACCCATTTAGTCATTATTATAGATTTATTTTAACAAATCTTTGGTAGCTTTTTCATAGTGACAGTTAACCTTAATTGATCGGAAGCCTGGAGAGATCTTACATACACTTAAAATGACTGTCCAAATAATGCATATTTTAAGATCTGGAAATTTTGCCTATCAAAGATAGTTTTTTTATTATAATTGTTTTAACAGTTTATATAATGCCTTTATTTTTAGAGATTTTTAACTATTTCACTTTCATTTTATTTAGCTAGCTCACCTCAGGAAACTCCTATTAGAGATTATGGATTTCCTGTTAATGGCTGTGATGATATCTTAGTAGTTGGACTGGCAGTATGCTGGGGTGGAAGGGATGCCTATTATTTTTCATTGCAGAAGGAACAAAAGCATTCTGGTAAGTAATGAGTATTTGGCTAAATCACTATATAATTAATATAATGTCCATTAGGGTAGTGATCTTGTTTTTTGTCTTGTTTTTTTTAGAATAGTTTCCTGATATTTACCTAGGATTAATTTTTAGAATTTAAAAAATTGTTTTTTTTTTTGTTTTTTGAGACAGAGTTTTGCTCTTGTTGCCCAGGCTGGAGTGCAATGGCACAATCTTGACTCACTGCAACCTCCACCTCCTGGTTTCAAGCAATTCTCCTGCCTCAACCTCCCAAGTAGCTGGGATTACAAGCATGTGCTACCATGCCTGGGTAGTTTTGTATTTTTTTAGTAGAGACGGGGTTATACTGTGTTGGTCATGCTGGTCTTGAACTCCTGACCTCAGGTAATCTGCCTGCCTTGGCCTCCCAAAGCGCTGGGATTACAGGTGTGAGCCACTGTGCCTAGCAAAAATTATAATTTTTTGGAGAACAGCTAGCATGTACATTATTACATATATTAACTGGAATTAATGTTTTAAGAAGTACTTCCTTACTTCTCCCTGCCTGTCACACGAGGCTATTAATGCTGTGGGTTTTTCCTCTGAGGGGGCAGTGACGCCTCAGGGACCATCTTGCCACCTTCAGGGTTTGCTTTTGAAGACTGAACTATGGCAATTTCTTTTCAGTCTTTCGTCCTCCCACTGAATGGGTCTGAAACTCATCTAGAGGGAATGTTGAGCTAGAGATCTATAGTAGTTGAATCGTATACACTTTGGAGAAATCTTTGGAATTGAAAGGATGTAATCTGGAAATACCCTGTCATCTGACTGTGAGCTGATAGGTTGGTTTTGTACAGGAGCAAAATTAATAAGGAGACATTTTAAAGGATGCTGTATAGTGTCTGTTCCTTAGTAACGATGAAATATTTTCAGTTGTTTTCAAGGAAGATATGTTGGGGTGAGTAGTTACTTAAGCTTTTTTTATTTTTGATAGAATAGTATATGTTCATACTGAATCTGTCTTTAAAATTTATTTCCAAATACTTTTCCTGTCTTTAACTCCTCATTCTGGGAAATATAATTTTGTTTTTAGAAGTATTAATGTTTTGTACTTTCTCCCACCTAATTAAGTAGAGCACTAAAAATCTTTTAGCTCAAACCATAATTTTTAAATTAATTATGAAGCACTTCATCTACATAGCTGATACGACCTGGATAAGATGCTGAATTACTCATCACATGGAACCAGACCCTTAGGCTTCTGAGTCTTTTTCAGTCTTTCTACTAAAGATTGCTGCTTCAAATGAAAGGATATAATTTTTGACTTTGTTTGTTTGTATGTTTGTTTGTTTGAAGAAATTAGTGCCAGTTTGGTTCCACCTTCTCTTGATCCAAGCCTGACTTTGAAAGACAGGATTTGGCACCTTCAATCTTGCTTGCAGAAGGAATCTGATGAAGAACGTTCCGTTGTCATCTATGACTTCATCCAGAGCTATAAAATTCTTCTTCTTTCTTGTGGCATCTCCTTGGAGCAAAGTTATGAAGATCCAAAGGTTCTCTGTCTTATTTAATTTTTATATACTTAAAACAACATTTTTAATGTTAATTCTTAAGTGAATTGGTATTTACTTGGCTTCAATGATGCAGCTTAAGTCTTTAGAGTAGTCATTTATTCATTCATTAACCTCATCTACCCAGAATAGAATTTCATGCACCAAATACCTCTGTGTAGATAAAAACAGAGATGTCACAAATTCTGAGCCCTAAAGTTTATGTCTTTTCTAGAGATTTTTAATTTGGGTCATAAGTCCTAAGTTTTCTAATAGTAAATTGGAAGTGATGTGAGAACAGTTAGCTTTAGGTCTGTGATAGCAGGATATTTTAAATCTTCATGAGGGTGGAGGCAGAAAATTGGAAAAGTGTGTGAACAAAATATCAAAAAGGATTGTAGTTAGTGGCCATTTAGCATAGAGGTAAATCCACTTACTGTCTCCTGAGAACTTTCCTTTATAAAAGCAAAGTATGACAAACTCTTCATAATGATGACTCAGTTAAGAAACATATTAACTTTTACATCAGACTATTTCATTTAATATTACCCTATAAAACTTTATTCTTAACCTACAAAAGAAGTAACTGAGACACAAAGTAATTGTAAGAATTATGAACAGGGCTTAGATTCTCTTATTCTAATCCAGTTAATGATCTGCTTAATCTAGTATTAGAAACTCCAGGTCTCCTAGTCTCATGCGGAAGTCGAAAAAAGCAATCAAATGAATAATTGGATGGTCCTGGTGACAGACCCCCATCCTGAGGGGAAAGTCTAGAGGCTTTCTGAAACTCTGGGTATAAACTTTTAATGGTAAAATACTTACTATGCCTCACTTCTTTTGATGTCAAAAGTACTAAAGATACCTAAAACATAGGCCCATCTTTATTACAGTAGCTTAGCCCAAATTAGCCTTAGTCCATCTTCATTTTCAGACACGTGGTTTGAATTTGCTGAGACACACTTGTTTTTCAGGCCTACTGCTGAACTGGATTGGCCAAGCATTATAGTAATGGAATAGTTACAGCTTTTCTTTCTTTGAAAGCTACTGCTGTTATTGCTACCAAAAATGAGTCTTGTTACAATTATTCTTTTCCTTTCTCGGGAAGACCACTGAGTAAATATTAAATGAAAATGAGTGAAGTTAGAAATGAGCTTTCTTCTTTTCCCTTGTAACTTAAAGGTACAAAAAAGTATCTTTGAAAAAAATCAGGAAAATATTCTCATTGCTATCTTATTCAGGTGGCATGCTGGTTACTAGATCCAGATTCTCAGGAGCCGACTCTTCATAGCATAGTTACCAGTTTTCTTCCTCATGAGCTTCCACTCCTAGAAGGGATGGAGACCAGCCAAGGGATTCAAAGCCTGGGGCTGAATGCTGGCAGTGAGCATTCTGGGCGATACAGAGCATCTGTGGAGTCCATTCTCATCTTCAACTCTATGAATCAACTCAACTCATTGTTGCAGAAGGAAAACCTTCAAGGTAAAAACCAAGTTTCTGGCATTTTTATGTTATATTCTAGAGACAAGACATTTATCCACTTTTTATCAAAAATTAGTGAATTACACACTTATGCAAATCCTACCTTTGGGTTGTCTAGTGCTTTTTTCTGTAAAAGGCCAGAGAGTAAATATTTGTGGCTTTGTGAACCATTGGATCTCATCACAGGTACTCAACTCTGCCATTGTTGCACAAAAGCAGATGTAGACAATACCAAAACAAATGGCTGTCTTCCAATAACACTTTACAAAAACATGCATCTCATATTAGTTTGCCCATAATTTGCTGACTTCTGGCCCTCTTGTGAAGAAGAGAATTACAAAATGGCATTTATTCAGTTGTTGCTAGTTTTGTATTTGAACTTTATCAAATGATTTTTATTCACACTTGGAACACATCCTTAATAGATTTCAAAAAGTTAACCCTTTTCTTTTTGGAACTATTAACAAACAGATTTTTTTTTTTTCATAACAAAGGATAATCGTAAGAGTCTGTTTTTCCCCCTCATAACAAATAACATGAATTTATTTTGGGGTCTGCTGGCCCAGATTGAGCACCCTGACTCCAGAGAACTTAATGGATGCTTATGGTAGAGATGTGAAACAGAACAAATTGGCTTCATTGTGAGGAGATGGCTGAATTTATTAACTGATCAATAAGTACTAGAAAATAGATGGAAGAGTTCATACAGACTAGGGTTTGGATCTGGACTATATGCACTTAGGAGCTGAGGGACTTTGGGCAAACTACTGAAACTGTAAGTCTGGTTCTTATAAAGTTGTTCTAAGGATGAAATATGATAGTAAATATGGGCAGTGTTTGTCACAGAGCAGGTGCTTATTATGTTAGTTTATTATTGTAATTTTTAACTCACCATTTCAATGTGCTTTTGAAAGCTTCTTTTCTTCTGCAAACTTTCAAAAATGTATGGCTGGCCTGGCTCAGTGGCTCCTGCCTGTAGTCCCAGCTACTCAGGAGGGAGGATCACTTGAGCCCAGAAGTTTGAGACCAACCTGGACGACACAGTGAGACCCCCCCATCTCAAAAACAAGGGTGGTTAGCAGGTATTAAATGCTTTTTTATACAGTGTTAATGCTTTCCTAGTCATAGAATTCAAGAATTGAAGTGCAACAAGAGAAAAGAAGTTTTTGGAGAGAATGTAGACAGCTATAAGATTTAGTTTGAATATAATTATTTCTTTGTAGAAAGAGATCCAGATATATTTTATTTTTTTAATTTTTCTGTTAGCTGGGAGGTATTCTCATCTGATGTAGAAAAATACTTTAACTGCAACTTTTGATTTCTTTAATAACTGTAATATTATTCATTCAGTTATTTCTTTTTGAGTATATTTGGTAAGCTATATATATATTTTTTTTCCACATCTTTTTAAAAATTTTTATTACTCCACTGTGACATTTCCAACATACATATTTTTAAATAATTTGTTTCATTTAAATTTTCAAATATATTGGTATACAGCTATTGCTAAGTGTCTGTTTTTTATGTCTCTGATTGTTATATCCTCTTTTTCTTTTGTATAGTATTTATTATTTAATGTCACTTGAAGTTTTCCCGATTTTCTAGTCTTTTCAAAGAACCAACCTTTGCCTTTGATTCTTCCTATTACTTTTGTTTTCTGTTTCCTTGATTTCTGTTCACATCTATATTATCTATTTTCTTCTGGTTCCCCTGACTTTATTTTGTAGTCCTTTTTCAAAATTAATAACTTTGACCTTAAAACCATTACTTCTCAAATTATTTTTTTCTTTTCTAACTTAAGAACATCAGGCAGCTGGCTGCAGTGGCTCACGCCTGTAATCCTAGCACTCTGGGAGACCGAGGCAGGTGAATGAATCACTTGAGCCCAGGAGTTTAAGACCAGCCTTGCCAACATGGTGAAACCAGGTCTCTAGTAAAAATACTAAAATTAGCTGAGAGTGGTAGTGTGCATCTGTAATCCCAGATACTCAAGAGGCTGAGGCACAAGAATCACTTGAACCACAGAGGCGGAGGTTGCAGTGAGCAGAGATCCCACCACTGCACTGTACTGCACTGCACTCCAGCCTGGGCAATAGAGCGAGGATGTGTCACACACACACACACACACACACACACATACACACAGAACATAAGGCTATAAATTTCCGTCAAAGCACTACTTTTATTGTATTCTACAGTTTTCATGTGTATACACGCATACACACACACACACACACACACACACACACACACATTTGTTTTGTAGAGATGGGGGTCTTGCTATGTTGCCCAGGCTGGTCTTGAACTCTTGCCCTCAAGCACTCCACCTGCCTTTGCCTGCCAAAGTGCTGGGATTACAGGTGTGAGCCACTGTTCCTGGCCTAATATATAATATTCTTATCATGCTAGATATTTTTAGATTTCTGGTATATTTTTTCACTCACAAATTATTTAGAAGAATGGTTTTTACTTCCCAAATATTTAGAAATTTTTTTGTATTTAGACAATCTTTAAACTTAATTGTGTTGTAGTTAGAGTACATGGTTGTATAATACTCATTCTTGAAATTTTTTTTTTTTTTTTTTGGGAGGAAGGGAGGAAAGCAGGAAGGCAGGGAAGGAGGAAGGGAGAAATGCAGGAAGGGAGGGAGGAAGGAGGGGATGAAGGAAGGGAGGAAGGGAGGAAGGGGGGAGGGAGGGAGAGAAGGGAAGGAAGGAAATCAAGCAATGAGAGAGACATTGCCGACCTGGATCTAGAGGTTTACAAGTTGATTTCTTTTTTTTATTTTTTATTTTTTTATTTTTATTTATTTATTTTTTTATTTTTTCTTTTTTTTTTGAGAGAAGGAAAGAAAAAAATGAGTAAAGGAGAGGAAGAAAGAGGAAGAGAAAGAGGGAGGGTGAATGGAAATATTGCTTTATTCTGGAAAAAAATGGGTTTTAATAATGGCCAATCGATGTTTCATTTAAACCTATGAGTAGGTGTGATGTGGTATTGACAAGAATGTATATTTTGTGTATTTGAAGTGGAGAGCTCTATAAATATTTATTAAGTTTACTTATTCTGGATCTGAGTTCGAGTCCTTGATATCCTTATTAACTTTCTGTCTCATTAAATCTAAGTCTCTATGTATCTGGGTGTTAGGATCGTTAGCTCTTGTTGTTGCATTGATCCTTTTACCACTATATCTTTGTTGCTTTCAAATCTATTTTATCCGATATGAGAATTGCAACTCCTGCTTTTTATTTATTTATTTATTTATTTTTGCTCTCCATTTGGTTGGTAAATCTTTCTCCATCCCTTTGTTTTGAGTATTTGTTTATCCTTGCATGTGAAACGGGTCTGGATGTAACATGCCATTGGGTTTTGGCTGTGTCTTTTGATTGGGGGATTTAGTCGATTTAAATTTAGGTTTACTGCCATTTGATGTTAACTGGCTGTTTTATCCATTCGTTGATGTAAATTCTTCTTTATGTTGATGCTCTTTACTTTTTGGTATATTTTTAGAAAGGCTAATACTGGTTGTTTTTTTCTGTGTGTACTGCTTCTTTCAGAAGCTCTTGTAAAGCAGGCCTGGTGGTAATAAAATCTCTGAGTACTTGCTTGTTCATAAAAGATTATATTTTTCCTTCAGTTGTGAAGCTTAGTTTGGCTGGATATGCAATTCTGGGCTGAAGGTTCTGTTCTTTGAGGATGTTGAATATTGGCCCCCACTCTCTTCTGGCTTGTTGAGTTTCTGCTGAGAGATCTGCTGTAAGTCTGATAGGCTTGCCTTTATGGGTAACCTGACCTTTCTCTCTGGCTGCCCTTAGTATTTTCTCCTTCGTTTCAACCCTGGTGAATCTAACGATTATGTGCCTTGGGGTTGCTCTTTTTGAGGAATATCTTTGTGGTGTTCTCTGTATTACCTGGGGTTAAATATTGACCTGCTTTGCTAGTTTAGGAAAATTTTCCTGAATAATATCCTGAAGAGTATTTTCCAGCTTGGATTCATTCTCTCTGTCGCATTCAGGTACACCTATCAAACGTAAATTTGGTCTTTTCACATAGTCCCACATTTCTTGAAGACATTGCTCATTCCTTTTTATCCTTTGTTCTCTAATCTCGTCTTCTTGTTTTATTTCATTAAGTTGGACTTTGACCTCTGATATCCTTTCTTCTGCTTGAACAATTCGAGTGTTTAAACCTGTGCATACTTCTCGGAGTTCCTGTATTGTATTCTTCAGTTCCATTAATTCATTCATACTCCTCTCTAAGTTGTCTATTCTCAATAGGATTTCATCAAACCTTTTTTTCAAAGTTCTTAGTTTCTTTACGTTGGGCTACAACATGTTCTTTTAACTCACAAAAGTTTCTTATTATCCCTTCCCTGAAGCGTGATTCTGTTATTGGGATGCGCTCATTCTCCATCAAGCCTTGTTCCATTGTTGATGTGGAACTGTGATCCACTTTAGAGAGAGAGGCGTTCTGATTTTGAGTATTCTCAGCCTTTTTATGCTGGTTTCTTCCCATCATTGTAAATTTATCCTCTTGTCATCTTTGAAATTACCAACTTTCAGATTAGGTCTCTTGAGTGGACGTCCAAGTTGTTAGTTCCCAGGGCTAGAACAGCGGCATTAAGACTGATGGTGCTCTTCTGCCCAGGATTCTCCTGTCTGGCTTCCTTCTTGTGTCCGAAATAGGCGACTCTGCCTTCCCGGGGCTCCAAACCTCGGTTAGAAGGGGAACCAGTCTCGTTTACTCTGCGCCAAGAGCTGCCGCGCCGAGGTGCCGTCACAGCCGCTGCGCCGGCCTCAGGAGTCGTGCTGGGGGCCCGTGTGGGTCCTCCAAACCTCGGTCAGAAGGGGAGCCAGCTCTGTTTACTCTGCTCCGAGAGCTGCCACGCCGAGGTGCCATCAAAACTGCTGCGCCGTCCACAAGAGTCGCGCTGGCGACCCGTGTGACTCCTCCACTGGGGATCTTCTGCTCCGTGAGCGACCTGAATTTGTCTGAAAGTGTGGCGTCCTCTAGTTCTCTGCTCTTTAACTGAGAGCTGCAATCCCGAGATGTTAGCAATCGGTCATCTTGGATCCTCCCCTCATTCTTGAAATTTTTAAAGAATGATTCATGATCAAAAACTGGAACTATTTTGTAAATTATTTGCACTCAAGAGAATGTGTACTCTAATTCTGGATGCAGAATTTTATATGCCTGTTAAGTCAAAGTTGTTTTTAAAATATTCTGTAATTTTCCCTGTAATTCAATCAATTTTAACTTTGTATATTTTGAGGCCATTTTATTAGGTGTGTATGTGTTTAAAATTGATTTAACTTTCCTGGTGAATTAAACCTTCTATTAGTGTATTATGACCATCTGTATTACAAATAATGATTTTTATTCTTAGTTCTTAGTCTGTTTTTTTATATGAATATGGCAACATCAGCTCTCTTTTGATTAATATTTGCTTCATATAACCTTTTTTTTTTAAATTCCTTTTAACCTTTCTAGGTTCCTATCTTCAGACATGTCTTATAAACAAAGTATAGCTTATTTATTTTTCAGGCTTATCTTTTGTTTTTTTTGTTGTTGTTTGTTTGTTTTTACAGATTTACCAGTTTATTGTGATTGTTGATGTATTTCTGCTCATTATGATTATTGATATACTTGTGCTCTATTTTCCTACTGTTTTAGTTTGTTTCTAGTCACTTTTTGTTTTGTCAGTAGTTTGTTCACAGTTGTGCTCTATTCTAACTAATCCTTAGCTGCTATTTTGGGGATCTAAATTTGTTCTTGGTTGTTTCTTCTGAGTCCTGTTCACATTTCTTTGCTCTCCTGTATTTTTCATATTTTTTGTGAGTTCATACAGTATTTATTAGAATCAAGGATCCCTGCAGGACTTGTGGGAAGCCATCCCTTAGAAAGGTTTTGCTCCTGCCTTTGCTGAGTACCAAACTACTCCGCATCCAAGGACCACAGTAGCCTTTCTTTGAGAGTTTTGTTTCAGAACAAGAGTCTGAGGCTCAGCTCCTCATCCTGTTCTTGTTTCAAGGATCTATATCCCCTTAAACTTTTTTGCTATGGGACTCCATTCCCGTAACAACCTTGCTCCTTCCTAATGCACATGGATCCAGTCTAGCTCCCTGCCACTCTTACTTTGTGCTTCTCTAATTGTTCCTGCTATGACCCAAGGTCATTATTTCTCTAGTCTCAAGTAATTTCTGCACTGGTTCCAGGCTCCTAAAGCCAAGCTCTGACTGCCTCATACCTTCTGCAGGTGGTTAGAGGCCATTAACTCTCATTTGTTTCTTTGCTTTTGGTGGTGGTTATGAGTTTCCCTGGAGATTTCTTATGCTGATTGAGACCAGCAGTGCCTCAAAGAATGTGTTTGTTTGGAGCTGGGGAGGGTGGACCAGAGTTGCTTAAATTCCTAGTGACTCAGTACTGGAAGCTGAAGTCTTAGGGATTCTTTCTTGATGATTTGGATAGCATTTCCCACAGTACATTCTGTGGATGCTTACTTTTCAAGATGTTAATAAGTATTATATGAAAAAAGGGTTTAATGGTCAAATAAAATTGGGGACTTTCACTTAAAATTAAATAGTTGTCTTTGCTTCAGGTTCTCTCAGGGCCTTTAATATATAAGTTGAGTCTGCCTTATCCAAAATGTGGGACCAGAAGTGTTTTACATTTCAGATTTTTTTGGATATTGAAATATTTGCATATACATAATGAGGTATCTTGTGGATGAGACCCAAGTCTAAATGTAGAATTCATAGATACCCATATATATATAGCCTAAAGATAATTTTATACAATGTATTTAATAATTTTATGCATGAAATAAAATTTGTGTATACTGAGCCATCAGAAAGCAAAGGTGTCACTGTCTCAGCCACCCATTTAGACAGTCTGTGGTTATCTGATAGAAAAGACATATTAAAGCCAAATGGGGCAAGGAGGGGCTTTTTTCCTTTAGAGATGCTGAATAAACTTTGTGTTGTATACCTGCATTTTGACTGTGCCCTGTCACAAAAAGTCAGGTATGGAATGTCCCACTTGTGGTGTCATGTCAGTGCTCAGAAAGTTTCAGATTTTGGAGCATTTTGGATTTCAAAATAAGATTGGTTGCTATGCTCCTGCTAAGAGTAGAAACAGAAACAGAAACATCTTGGGAAAAATATAGTCTCTTGTAATCCAGACTATTCACAAGATTGCCAACTCTTCTACTCTCTGCAGAGACAAGGATAGGTGTCCCATGCTAAACTAGCCTATACTTTTCCACCTTTCATTGTTGGCTTAAGAATGCTGCTCAGGAGACTGGATCCTGAAGGATAGCTTGGTAGCATTTCTGGATTTTCCTGGATGAATTCTGTATGGTTAGGTAAGGCTGCTGATCTAATCACTTAGCCAATGATGACGTTTTGGTTTTCTTTTTTTCTTCCAGATGTTTTCCGCAAAGTGGAAATGCCCTCTCAGTATTGCTTGGCCTTGCTAGAACTAAATGGAATCGGCTTCAGTACTGCAGAATGTGAAAGTCAGAAACACATACTGCAAGCCAAGCTGGATGCAATTGAGACCCAGGCCTATCAACTAGCTGGCCACAGTTTTTCTTTCACCAGTTCAGATGACATCGCTGAGGTTGTATCATAGGGATAGGAATATAGATAAATAATTTTTAGAGTTAAAATGATCGTGTGTGTGTGTGTGTGTGTGTGTGTGTGTGTGTATTTACCTGAACACCTAAGGTCAGTAAAACGAAACAGCCAGTTAACCAGATTGCTTTGGGGATATTCTAACATCTAATTTGTAAATTATATCTGTATTTAATTTACAAATAAAGTAATAAAGAGGACTTCTAGAATGTAAACTCCTCAAGAAGGAGATTTGCGTGGAACAGAGGAGAAACTCACTAAATATTTGTTGAAGAAATGATTGGTCTTGGTGGTTGCATGACAGCATAGCTGTTTCTCCATGAAGGTAGTCATTTTGTGAGCCTTCACTCCTCCTTGCTTGCCCTAACATCTTACTATAGAATAGGAAATTGGATATTTTTCTGAGATGTAAATGAAAAAGGGATTTTTATGACTGTTTCCTTTTTTAAATTTAATTAAGGTTTTTGCTTCCTTACATAAATGTTGACAAATTTTACCTTTGTTTTATTTTCATGTGTTGGTATTCTATTCTCTCCTCTCAACCACACTACATCCCTAACAAAGGGTGATTGGGCTGTTTTAGAGGGATTACAGATGCAAGGTGGATGCTTACATTTGATAGCATTGAAGTTCTTGTGTCTTCTAGTTGTGATTTTGTAATATGGCATATTGGTAAAAGTCAGAGACTTTAGAGCCAGACTTCTTGGGTTTGAATCTTACCTCCTCCATTTATTAACTAGTTCCATAGCCTTGGGCCAATATATAAACTCTTTGTGTGTCAATTTTCAGTAAAATGAGGGTTGTCATAAACACTCCTCATAGGGTTGTAGTGAGGTATAAATAATAAGTGACCATTATGTAATAAGTGGTCAATAAATGTTAAATATCCTTATAAAAGTGTCCTTTTTAAAGCCACAGTTATGTTTTATGGTTTTTTTTCACACAATTATAAAATTTAAATACAAACGTTTTATGTTTTTTAACTTTTAGGTTTAGGGGTACATGTGAAGGTTTGTCATATAGGTAAACTCGTGTCATGGGGGTTTGTTGTACAGATTATTTCATCACCCAAGTATTAAGGCCAGCATCCAGTAGTTATTTTTTCTGCTCCTCTCTCTTCTTTCATCCTCCACCCTTCAGTAGTCCCCAGTGTCTATTATTTCCTTCTTTATGTTCATGAATTCTTATCATTTAGCTCCCACTTATAAGTGAGAACATACAGAATTTGGTTTTCTTTTTCTTCGTTAATGCATTTTAAAGAAAATGAGGAACTTGGTTTCTCTTATTCATGTGTTGAATTCAGTGGTACCTTTTTTTTTTCTTTTTGGTATCTTCTTTTAAATTCTTTAGCTCAGAAGTCCCCAAGCCAATACCTAGCTGACTGCACATAAAATTACATAGGGAATTTACAGAAAATACAGAATCTCTGTTTCAGCACAAGCAGGAATGATTGCCATTGTGATTCAGATGGGCCTGAAAGCATGTAAAGTACAGGCCTTGAGCAAATTCTGGACTAAGAGTAAAGCGCCTTTAATATTATTGGCTTCTTCTTAGGCCATGTCAAAGTGGTGCTTAGGCCTGTAATCCCAGCACTTTGGGAGGCCGAGGCAGGTGGATTGCTTGAGCTTAGGAGTTTGAGACCACCCTGGCCAACCTGGTATAACCCTGTCTCTACCAAAGATATAAAAATTAGCCGGACATGGTGGTGTACTCCTGTGGCCCCAGCTACTTGGGAGGCTGAGGTGGGAGGATCACTTGAACCCAGGAAGTCAAGGCTACAGTGAGCCGTGATCACACCACTACACTCTGGCCTGGGTGACAGTGAGATCCTGTCTCAAAAAAAGAAGGCTTTGTGTTAGTATTAATCTGATAGTGCCTAGAGTATGGATAGACTACCTGACATATGCATTTTCATTATCATCATTTGTTAAATATGGTAATTCCAAATTATCCAGAGAAACATTCTTTCAGTCCATCTTGAACTATAGAGTTTTTTTCTAAAATAAATTCTGAATGATAGTCTTTGCAAGTTTCATTCTTGACTAACAAGGCATTAATTTCTTGCAGGTTTTATTTTTGGAATTGAAGTTGCCCCCAAATGGAGAGATGAAAAACCAAGGCAGCAAGAAAACTTTGGGTTCTACGAGAAGAGGGAATGACAATGGACGCAAGCTAAGGCTGGGAAGACAGTTCAGCACTAGTAAGGTGCTCTTTGGGGGCAGTCACAGAGCTGGGCAGAACCTGAACTATTTTTAGCATTTTGGTGTCTAGAAAGAATGCTGATGAAATCAAGATCTGAGTCCACCATTTGAATTTACCCAGATATAGAGTAACATATTGGTTTGTGGTTTGGTAGCCCACAAATTCTGTGGAGATTTTCTGCATGGAAAATTCAAATCATAATGTAGCAGTTGTGTCCCATCTTCCTATCATTCAAATGGTATAAAGGTTTATAAACCCAGCCTTAAAGACATTATTTAATTTTGCCATCCATTACTCTTGGACATCTAATATTACTTAATTCATATAGTTATATGAACAGAGAAAGGTAGGTAAGAATTTTTAAAAAGAAAGGAACCCAGTCAGAACAAATATATTACTTTTAGTTTAAGGGCAAAATAGTAAGTTTTTCATGAATTATTTTCTATTTTTTTATTTTTTGAGACAGAGCCTCACCCTATTGCCTAGGCTGGAGTGCAGTGGCACCATGCTCGCTAGAACCTTCACCTGCTGGGTTTAAGCGATTTCTCATGCCTCAGCCTCCCAAGTAGCTGGGACTACAGGATTATACCACCATGCGTGGCTAATTTTCGTATTTTCAGTTAGAGACAGGGTTTCACCATGTCATCCAGGCTGGTCTTGAGCTACTGGCCTGAAGGGATCCTCCCGCGTCGACCTCTCAACGTGCTGGGATTACAGGCATGAGCCACCACACCAGGCCTTGATTTAAGAATTTAATCTGGTCCACCCTTGGGCCCCAGTTCCCAGCCGGCGCCCGCCGTGCTCCCCGTCGTGGCCGCCCAGCGTAGGCGGGGGCGGTGCCACCCCTCCCTTCCCCCGCACCCATGGCCTGGCATGCAGCTCCCGTCTCCCTCCCCCTCGGATATGGCTCGAGCTGGAGGCCAGCAGGGCCGGAGACCTGTAGACCCGGAGACCTGCAGACCCGCTACCCGGAGCAGTTCGGAAGCGGTGAATAATATCTCTTCAAGTCTGCAATAAAAAACGGCCTCCAATAAAACTACATTGCAAAAAGTGGGAAAGAAACAGAATGGAAAGAGTAAAAAAGTTGAAGAGGCAGAGCCTGAGGAATTTGTGGTGGAAGAAGTACTAGATCGACGTGTAGTGAATGGGAAAGTGGAATATTTCCTGCAGTGGAAGGGATTTACAGATGCTGACAATACTTGGGAACCCGAAGAAAATTTAGATCGTCCAGAGTTGATTGAAGTGTTTCTTAATTCTCAAAAAGCTGGCAAATAAAAAGATGGTACAAAAAGAAAATTGTCTGACAGCGAATCTGATGACAGCAAATCAAAGAAGAAAAGAGGCGCTGCTGACAAACCAAGAGGATTTGCCAGAGGTCTTGAACCTGAAAGAATAATTGGTGCCACAGACAGCAGTGAAGAATTGATGTTTCTCGTGAATGGAAAGATGAGGCAGACTTGCTGCTGGCAAAAGAGGCAAATATAAAGTGTCCTCAAATTGTAATTGGTTTTTATGAAGAGAGACTAACTTGACATTCTTGTCCAGAAGATGAAGCTCAATAATTGTTCACATTGTTTTTCATATATACATACATACATACATACATACATATGTATATATATGTAAATTTGGGTATTGGTTTTTGATTTACTAGTGTGACAAAATAACTACGTCCTAATGAAGATCAAATTTGGTATGTTCATTTTGAAAGTATCGTTGGAAGAGTTGTTGGGTTGTTTTTTTTTGCATCCATAGCACTGGTTACTTTGAACAAATAAATAAAAGCTTTCTGTAGTTGCTTCCTTGATCAGAAAAGAACATTTGTTACTATGGTATATTATTTCCTCTGCATTAAAGAACAGCTTTTCTAAATATTGGGGGAAATGTCCATAGTCATTACTCAATCAAAACTTGTGTTCTCATAAGCCTAAGGACCATTCTAGGTTTTTTATGTTTTGTGTGTGTGTATGTATACATAAATGCATGTGTAATTTTTTTGTTGTTTTTAAACATTCACCAAAACAAAAAATCACAGGTAAACCTATGTTTCTGAGATGCCATTATTCCGAGCAAAATAAAAGATAATCACTTCAGGTTAAATGGAAAATTTTCCTGAAGCCATATGTTTCAAATATGTGAAGAAATAAGGGATTCTAATTAATAAGACAATTTAAATTGGATAGTTTTAAAGCATCTATATCTATGAATGCAGTTTTTTGTTTTCAAAATTCCTAAAAGGAAAAATTTTATCACTGCCATCATAGGAGGTTTTCCCATCCAGTTGAGGAAACTAGACAAATGCGAGTGTGTTTTAATTAGCTAAACTAAGTTAAATGAACATTAAAAAACATTCTAGCGGGCCATTCCTTAACAAAATGTTGAAATCCTATTGCTATATTGACTAAAAGGTCATGATTTATGGAATACCTAAGACTTGGCTCATAGAAACCTAATCAGCTGGTTAGAGATGTTGGCAGGTTAGGATCTGCTGCCATAAATGTGTGAACAACCATTTGTAATCTAACCTATTGACCTGTATGTTTTTCTTTACCTCAACTCATTCCTTACATGTAGGGTCAGTCTTTCAGTTATTTGCTTTACAGGTTCAGCAAAAGCCAAGAAAAACAACTCTGTAGTAATCAGAATGTATCGGTATTTACTTTATTGTAAATAATGGTGAACAGCGGTTAATAAATAGTTTTATATAACTTTAAAACTATGCAGGGAAGAGAGAAAGGGCTTAATTTTACATTGTTACTGAAGTTTTAGTGGAGAAATAGGGTAGAAAATATGGCATAGAGCTGTTCAAGTTGCCTTTGTGTAAAATTTCAGTCCTTATACCATTATGTATGACTTGTCTGCTCCTAGTCATACATGTGCTTAGCTCCAGGCTGTAGTACAATTTTTTATTCTCACTGGCCCTTTTACTCACAAGTTTCTGTTCCTTAATAATTCACTGAAAGTCTATAGTACAAAAAATTCAAAGTTTTAAAAATAGATGTCTCCTGGCCGGGCGCAGTGGCTCAAGCCTGTAATCCCAGCACTTTGGGAGGCCGATGCAGGTGGATCACAAGGTCAAAAGATCGAGACCATCCTGGTCAACATGGCGAAACCCTATCTCTCCTAAAAATACAAAAAATTAGCTGGGCACAGTGGCGCATGCCTGTAATCCCAGCTACTCAGGAGGCTGAGGCAGGAGAATTGCCTGAACCCAGGAGGCGGAGGTTGCGGTGAGCCAAGATCGCGCCATTGCACTCCAGCCTGGGTAACAAGAGCGAAACTCCGTCAAAAAAAAAAAAAAAAAAAAAAAAAGATGTCTCCTGATTACCTTGATATCGAAGCCATATAAGTTTCTGGGCAAGAAGAAAAACCACTGGGATACTTCCAGTCATGTGAGGAGTGGAGGAGGAAAATGCATAAAGAAAACAGATGATGTAAAATAAACTTTTGGGAGGGTGTGGGTAGGCAGTTGCTTTGTTAAACTGACAACTCATTTCTTTGAAAAAGGTAATTTTAAATTGATCATGCTCAGCATTACCACATTTGCATTTTATAAACTGTAGTTTTAGTTTTATCAATGTGGTGGTTAAAACCCAAGAAATAGTTTTGAGTTGTAGATATTATTCTCAGATTTAATTTTGAGACTGTATTTACATAAAAGAGATTCTAGCTTGCTATGGAGTTTGGACAAGAATTCAATCTTACCTTATTATATTTTTTTGGCAGGATGTTTTAAATAAATTAAAGGCATTACATCCTTTACCAGGCTTGATATTGGAATGGAGAAGAATCACTAATGCTATTACCAAAGTGGTCTTTCCCCTTCAGCGGGAAAAGCGTCTTAATCCTTTTCTTGGAATGGAAAGAATCTATCCTGTGTCACAGTCGCACACTGCTACAGGTGATGAGAAATCTTAAGTATAAACAGCATCCAATTTTGAATGAAAAACATTTTCATATGCAATATTTCTTATGATGGCCAAGAATTCAACTGTTGATCATGGGGTTCAAGTGAAGTTTTAAAACTATAAACTACATGCTTTATTCAAAGCATAGGTAGATACTACCCAGGTACAGAGATCAGTATTGGTTTCTGCTTTTATTTTTTTTTTAATTAATTTATTTATTTTGAGACAGAGTTTCTTTTTTTTAAAAAAAAAAAAAAAAGTTCAATGTTTCTTTATTGTCCTGTTCTGTGTTCTGTGAAGCAGTGTCACTTAACCTTTCTTTTTTTTTTTTTAATTGCATTTTAGGTTTTGGGGTACATGTGCAGAACATGCAAGATAGTTGCATAGGTACACATGTGGCAGTGTGATTTGCTATCTTCCTCCCCTTCACCCACATCTGGCATTTCTCCCGTGCTATCCCTCCCCAGCTCCCTCCTCGCTGTCCCTCCCCTATTTCCCCCAATAGACCCCAGTGTGTAGTGCTCCCCTCCTTGTGTCCGTGTGTTCTCATTCTTCATCACTCACCTATGAGTGAGAATATGCGGTATTTCATTTTCTGTTCTTGTGTCAGTTTGCTGAGAATGATGTTCTCAGATTCATCCAGGTCCCTACAAAGAACACGAACTCATCGAACTCATCGTTTTTGATTGCTACATAATATTCCATGGTGTATATGTGCCACATTTTTCCAGTCCAGTCTATCATCGATGGGCATTTGGGTTGGTTCCAGGTCTTTGCTATTGTAAACAGTGCTGCAATGAACAATCGTGTGCATGTGTCCTTACAGTAAACCGATTTATAGTCCTTTGGATATATATACCCAGTAATGGGATTGCTGGGTCAAATGGAATTTCTATTTCTAAGTCTTTGAGGAATCGCCACACTGTCTTCCACAATGGTTGGACTAATTTACACTCCCACCAGCAGTGTAAAGTGTTCCTATTTCTCCACATCCTCTCCAGCATCTGTTGTCTCCAGATTTTTTAATGATCGCCATTCTAACTGGCGTGAGATGGTACCTCAATGTAGCTTTGATTTGCATTTCTCTGATGACCAGTGATGATGAGCATTTTTTCATGTTTGTTGGCCTCATGTATGTCTTCTTTTGTAAAATGTCTGTTCATATCCTTTGCTCATTTTTGCATGGGCTTGTTTGTTTTTTTCTTGTAAATCTGTTTGAGTTCTTTGTAAATTCTGGATATCAGCCCTTTGTCAGATGGGTAAACTGCAAAACTTTTTTCCGTTCTTTGTTGGTTGCCGATTCACTCTAGTGACTGTGTCTTTTGCCGTGCAGAAGCTGTGGAGTTTCATTAGGTCCCATTTGTCTATTTTGGCTTTTGCTACCAATGCTTTTGGTGTTTTGGTCATGAAGTCCTTGCCTACTCCTATGTCCTGAATGGTTTTGCCTAGATTTTGTTCTAGGGTTTTTATGGTTTTAGGTCTTATGTTTAAGTCTTTAATCCATCTGGAGTTAATTTTAGTGTAAGGTGTCAGGAAGGGGTCCAGTTTCTGCTTTCTGCACATGGCTAGCCAGTTTTCCCAACACCATTTATTAAACAGGGAATCCTTTCCCTATTGCTTGTTTTTGTCAGCAGATTGTATGGTTATAGATATGTTGTGTTGCCTCTGATGTCTCTGTACTGTTCCATTGGTCTATATCTCTGTTTTGGTACCAGTATCATGCTGTTTTGATTACTGTAGTCTTATAGTATAGTTTGAAGTCCGGTAGTGTGATGCCTCCTGCTGTGTTCTTTTTGCTTAGAATTGACTTGGCTATGCGGGCTCTCTTTTGGTTCCATATGAAGTTCAAGGTGGATTTTTCCAGTTCTGTGAAGAAAGTCAATGGCTTGATGGGGATAGCGTTGAGTCTGTAAATTACTTTGGGCAGTATGGCCATTTTAACGATACTGATTCTTCCTAACCATGAACATGGAATGTTTCTCCATCTGTTCGTGTCCTCTCATATTTCGTTGAGCAGTGGTTTGTAGTTCTCCTTAAAGAGGTCCCTTACGTTCCTTGTTAGTTGTATTCCTAGGTATTTTATTCTCTTTGTAGCAATTGTGAATAGCAGTTCATTCTTGATTTGGCTCTCTTTAAGTCTGTTATTGGTGTATAGGAATGCTTGTGATTTTTGCACATTGATTTTATATCCTGAGACTTCGCTAAAGTTGCTTATCAGTTTCAGGAGTTTTTGGGCTGAGATGATGGGGTCTTCCAGATATACTATCATGTCGTTTGCAAATAGAGACAATTTAGCTTCCTCCTTTCCTATTTGTATACCCTTTATTTCTTTTTCTTGCCTGATTGCTCTGGCTAGAACTTCCAGTACTATATTGAATAGGAGTGGTGAGAGAGGGCATCCTTGTCTAGTGCCAGATTTCAAAGGGAATGCTTCCAGTTTTTGCCCATTCAGTATGATATTGGCTGTTGGTTTGTCGTAAATAGCTTTTATTATTTTGAGATACATTCCATCGATACCGAGTTTATTGAGGGTTTTTAGCATAAAGGGCTGTTGAAATTTGTCAAAGGCCTTCTCTGCATCTATTGAAATAATCATGTGGTTTTTGTTTTTGGTTCTGTTTATGTGGTGAATTATGTTTATAGACTTGCGTATGTTGAACCAGCCTTGCATCCCCGGGATGAATCCTACTTGATCATGGTGGACAAGCTTTTTGATGTGCTGTTGCAATCAGCTTGCCAGTATTTTATTGAAGATTTTTACATCTATGTTCATCATGGATATTGGCCTGAAGTTTTCTTTTCTTGTTGGGTCTCTGCCAGGTTTTGGTAACAGGATGATGTTGGTCTCATAAAACGATTTGTGAAGGATTCCGTCTTTTTGGATTATTTGGAATAGTTTCAGAAGGAATGGTAACAGTTCCTCTTTGTGTGTCTGGTAGAATTCAGCTGTGAACCCATCTGGACCTGGACTTTTTTTGTGTGGTAGGCTTTTAATTGCTGCCTCAACTTCAGACCTTGTTATTGGTCTATTCATAGTTTCAACTTCCTCCTGGTTTAGGCTTGGGAGGACACAGGAGTCCAGGAATTTATCCATTTCTTCCAGGTGTACTAGTTTATGTGCATAGAGTTGTTTGTAATATTCTCTGATGATGGTTTGAATTTCTGTGGAATCTGTGGTGATTTCCCCTTTATCATTTTTTATTGCATCTATTTGGTTATTCTCTTTTCTTTTATCAGTCTGGCTAGTGGTCTATTTTGTTGATCTTTTCAAAAAACGAGCTCTTGGATTTATTGATTTTTTGTAGTGTTTTTCGTGTCTGTATCTCCTTCAGTTCTGCTCTGATCTTAGTTACTTCTTGTCTTCTGCTAGGTTTTGAGTTTTTTTTATCTTGCTCCTCCAGCTCTTTCCATCTTGACGTTAGGGTGTCAATTTTGGATCTCTCCACTCTTCTCATGTGGGCACTTATAGCTATATATTTCCTCTAGAGACTGCTTTAAATGTGTCCCAGAGATTCTGGTATGTTCTGTCTTCATTCTCATTGGTTTCAAAGAACTTCTTTATTTCTGCCTTCATTTCATTGTTTATTCAGTCAGTATTCAAGAGCCAGTTGTTCAGTTTCCATGAAGTTGCATGGTTCTGAGTTAGTTTCTGAATTCTGAGTTCTAACTTGATTGCACTATGGTCTGAGAGACTGTTTGTTATGATTTCAGTTGTTTTGCATTTGCTGAGGAGTGATCTACTTCCAATTATGTGGTCAATTTTAGAGTAGGTGTGATGTGGTGCTGAGAAGAATGTATATTCTGTTGATTTGGGGTGGAGAGTTCTGTAAATGTTTATCAGGTTTGCTTGTTCCAGGGCCGAGTTCAAGTCCTGGATATCCTTGTTAGTTTTCTGTCTGGTTGATCTGTCTAATATTGACAGTGGAGTATAAAAGTCTCCCACTATTATTGTGTGGGAGTGTAAGTCTCTTTGTAAGTCATTAAGAACTTGCCTTATATATCTGGGTGCTCCTGTATTGGGTCCATATATATTTAGGATCGTTCGCTCTTCTTGTATCGATCCTTTTACCATTATGTAATGTCCTTCTTTGTCTCTTTTGATCTTTGTTGCTTTAAAGTCTATTTTATCAGAGACGACAATTGCAACTCCTGTTTTTTGTTTTTGTTTTTGTTTTTGTTTTTTGCTGTCCATTTGCTTGGTAAATCTTCCTCCATCCCTTTATTTTGAGCCTTTGTGTATTCTTGCATGTGAGATGGGTTTCCTGGATACAGCACACCGATGGGTTTTGGCTTTTTATCCAATTTGCCAGTCTGTATTTCAATTGGTACATTTAGCCCATTTACATTTAGGGTTAATATTGTTATGTATGAATTTGATACTGCCATTTTGATGCTAGCTGGCTGTTTTGCCCGTTAGTTGATGCAGATTCTTCATTTTGTTGATGCTCTTTAGCATTTGGTATGTTTTTGGAATGGCTGGTACTGGTTGTTCCTTTCTACGTGTAGTGCCTCTTTCAGGAGCTCTTGTAAAGCAGGCCTAGTGGTGACAAAATCTCTGAATACTTTCTTGTTCGCAAAGGATTTTATTTTTCCTTCACTTATGAAGCTCAGTTTAGCTGGATATGAAATTCTGGGTTGAAAGTTCTTTTCTTTAAGGATGTTGAATATTGGCCCCCACTCTATTCTGGTTTGTAGGGTTTCTACCAAGAGATCTGCTGTGAGTCTGATGGGCTTCTCTTTGTGGGTGATCCGACCTTTCTCTCTGGCTGCCCTTAGCATTTTCTCCTTCATTTCAACCCTGGCGAATCTGAGAATTATGTGCCTTGGGGTTGCTCTTTTTGCGGAATCTTTGTGGTGGTCTTTGTATTTCCTGGACTTGAATATTGACCTGCCTTGTTAGTTGGGGAAATTTTCCTGGATAATATCCTGAAGAGTATTTTCCAGCTTGGATTCATTCTCTTCGTCACATTCAGATACACCTATCGAACGTAGATTAGGTCTTTTCACATAGTCCCTCATTTCTTGGAGACTTTGTTCATTTCTTTTTGCGCTTTCTTCTCTAATCTTGGCTTCTTGTTTTATTTCATTGAGTTGATCTTCGACTTCTGATATCCTTTCTTCTGCTTGGTCAGTTCGGCTGTTGAAATTTGTGCATGCTTCGCGAAGTTCTCGTGTTGTGTTTTTCAGCTCCTTCAATTCACTCATATTCCTCTCTAAGTTGTCCATTCTTGTTATCATTTCCTCAAATCTTTTTTCAAGGTTCTCAGTTTCTTTGCACTGAGTTAGAACATGTTCTTTTAGCTCACGGAAGTTTCTCATTACCCACCTTCTGAAGTCTGATTCTGTCATTTCATCACACACATTCTCCTTCCAGCTTTGTTCCCTTGCTGATGAGGAGTTGTGGTTTCTTGTAGGAGGCGAGGTGTTCTAGTTTCAGGTGTTTTCCTCCTTTTTGCACTGGTTTCTTCCCATATTTGTGGGTTTATCCACCTGTTGTCTGAGTAGTTGCTGATTTTCCAATTGGGTCTCTGAGTGGACGTCCAGATTGTTGATGATGAAGTATTTCTGTTTCTTAGTTTTCCTTCTAACAATCTGGCCCCTCTGCTGTAGGACTACTGAGGTCCACTCCAGGCCCTGCTTGCCTGGGGTACACCTGTAGCAGCTGCAGAACCATGGGGGTTGCTACCTGTTTCTTCTGCTATCTTTGTCCCTGAATGATGCCTGCCAAATGTCAGTCTGATCAGTCCTTTGTGAGGTGACTCTTTGGATATACAGGGGTCAGGGAGCTGCTTGAGGAGACAGTCTGTACTTTATAGGCGCTCAAGTGCTGAGCTGTGAGCTCCGTTGTTCATTCAGGGCTGCTAGGCAGGTACGTTTAAGTCCGCTGCAGCAGAACTCATAAAACCCCTTTTTTTTTCCTCAGGTGTTCTGACCCAGGGAGTTAGGGCTTTATTTTATTTTATTTTATTTTTTTGAGACGGAGTTTCACTCTTGTTACCCAGGTTGGAGTGCAATGGCGCGATCTCGGCTCACCACAACCTCTGCCTCCTGGGTTCAGGCAATTCTCCTGCCTCAGCCTCCCGAGTAGCTGAGATTACAGGCAGATGCCACCATGCCCAGCTAATTTTTTGTATTTTTAGTAGAGACGGGGTTTCACCATGTTGACCAGGGGCTTTATTTATGAGTATCCTTTGCACTGTTCTGCCCAGCAAGGAGGCAGTCTAATCACTGCCTGCCTATAGTGGCTATGCTGAGCTGCCATGGGCTCCACCCTGCTGCCGTGGGCTCCGCCCTGCTGCCGTTTGTAATTCCCTGTAGTCCTGTTTGTATGGTGTGGTTAGAGCTGCCGTGGTGATGATGGTGCACCTCTGTAGTGGCAGACTCTCTCTGTTATGGCAGGTTGCCTCGGCAACCGCAGGCTGCATCAGCAATGGCAGAGTACCTCCGTAGGGGTCGAGTGCCTCGGTAATGGCAGACACCCCTCCCCCTTTGAGCTGCACCATCCTGGGTTCAGCTGTGCTTGCCATGAAACTCTCAACCCTGAGTGTTTCCAATTGCTGTTTTGTTTGTTTTTGTAGGGGTGGGACCTGCTGAGCCTGATCACCTGGCTCCCTGCCTCAGAGCCTTCTTTTTTTTTTTTTTAAGTTGAATGGTTGACTCTCTCCCAGGTGTTTTAGTCACCTGCTTAAAGGGTGCCAGGATCTGTGTGATTTCCCGTGCAGCGACCCACGGCACCGGCTGGAACCACGTTGCTGCCCGGGAGTCTCCTGGCCTGGCTTTCTGTTTAAGTCCCATTTAATCAGATGAATGTGCTAATCTGCCTTCCGAAATCTCCAATTGCCAGTTTATCAGGGCAACCAAACCAGTGTATTTTGTACAGAGTGCCACTGCACTGTGGCCCCGGCCCAAACAGCCGTGCCAGCGGCCCGTGGGGTTCGTACACCTGGGAATCTCCTGGTCTGTGAGCAATAAAGATCCGTCTGGGAATGCGGCGTCCACTCACCATCTACAATTTCACTGGGAGCTGCAATCCTGAGTTGGTCCTACAGCGCCATCTTCTCAAGGTCCCATCGAGACAGAGTTTCATTCTCGTTGCCCAGGCTGGAGCGCAGTGGCATAATCTCGGCTCTCTGCAATCTCTGCTTCCTGGGTTCAAGTGATTCTCCTGCCTCAGCCCCCTGAGTAGCTGGGATTACAGGTATGCACCCCCGTGCCTGGCTAATTTTTGTATTTTTAGTAGAGACAAGATTTTGCCACTGGTCAGGCTGATCATGAACTGCTGACCTCAGGTGATCCACCCACCTTGGCCTCCCAAAACACTGGGATTACAGTGAGCCACTGTGCCTGGCCTGTTTCCTGCTTTTAAGTACTTGTATAGAGTAACTGGGGTGTCTGAGATAGTGCTTTCAATGTGAGTATACACAGGAATTAAATATTTGAGTCTGTGATCTTACCTAGTTTCAGTCCTATCCCTTTTTTGAGCCTCTTAAGATTTCTCTGAGTTGAATCTGAGTAGGCCTCTGGGGCATCTGTATAAGTATCTTACTTCACTCAAGCAGAAAAGAAAGCTGTAGTGCTCTTTGGATATCTCATGGTCCTCTTGAAATAAGAGTGTAATCTTATGAGGAAAAATGTATTCTTTCTCTAGGCAGTATAAATTCTTAAGTATTTGCCAAATGTGATGTGTAGTGGAAGAAAGAGTGGCTTTAACTCATTCATAGAGGAGGCTCTATTGGTACCTGCTTAGATTGGTGGTTATAGAATGTGGGCTTTGACATCAGAAATCAGTGTTTGAATCCTGGTTCTATGAATCTTTATGACAAGATACTTAACCTTTCAATGCCTAAGTTTTTTCATGTATAATACAAGGCACAATGGCTCACTCCTATAATCCCAGCACTTTGGGAGGTTAAGACCGGAGGGTCACTTGGGCCCAGGAGTTTGAGACTAGCCTGGGCAAGAGAGTGAAACCATGTCTCTACAAAAAGTAAAAAAATTAGCTATGTGTGATATCTTGTGCCTGTAGTCCCAGCTACTTGGGAGGCTGAGGTAGGATGATCGCTTGAGCCTGAGAGGTCAAGGCTGAAGTGAGCTGTGATTGCACCATTGCAGTTCAGCCTGGGCAACAGAGTGAGACCCTGTCTCAGTCAATCAGTAAACAAATAAACAAGGCAATAACAGTCTTACTTCACCTGGTAATTCTGAGGATTAAATAGGTTTGTAGATGTAGAATATTTAGAACAGTGCATGGCTCCTAGAAAGCACTCACTGTCGGTTGCTGTTAACTAGCATGGAGGCTCCATAAGGCGCTGCTTTTGTCTGCTTGCTTTATCTCTTGTTTTAAACTTTCTAATTCTTCTTTCTTCCGATTTAGCTAATCTCTTGTCCCATCCTAGTGATATCTTACCCTGTTGGTATTTAAATTTCACTCCGAAACACATGATAATGATATAAACTGACATGAAATAAAATCTTTGGTGAAGAAAAGATGACATCTACCTAGAGTTTTCAAAGGTGTTGCACATTTATTTGTTCTTTACAAAGTAGAAGGTAAAACCAGTAATAAGAATTCTATTCTTATTACTGATTTTAGAAATATATTTTAATAAATAACTTTTATAATATTTTAGAAATACAAACTTAAGCAAAGCAAAGCTTTTCATCAATGTACTTCATATCTATTAAGCAATATATTCATGCTTTGTAATTTATTTTTACCAGTTGCCTCATTAATTCAACTAATAGACCAGGGCAGTGTGCTGAATATGAAGTGTTATAGAAAGGAAGGCAATGTGCTGATGTAAAAAGAGCCTCGAATGCCCTCCTCCGTTATTTGTTAGCTTTGTAACATTGAACAGGCCATTTAATGACAACAATTATATAAAAGCTTATGAACAAATTTTGTGCTAAAAGCTAAATGACAAAGACATAATATCAGGGGATCATTCAGAAAAACAATGTCCAAGTCACTTAAAACGTCTGATTTATCAGAAGGTGATGGAGTTATACATAGCTAGTAGTCAGCCTGTTACAATGAAGAGTTTTAGTATTCCTGATAGTGTTATAAAAATCACACTGACAAAATTACTCCAGCTTTTTTGGAGTGGTACTTACATGTTTAGAGAAATTGAAACAAGTACACAAACTGTAAAATATTTTGGGAAATAAAGGCTTTACAACCTTTTTTTTTTGAGAATCTCACTCTGTTGCCCAGGCTAGAATACAGTGGTATGATCTTGGCTGCAATGTCCACCTTCCAGGTTCAAGTGATTCTCCTGCCTCAGCCTCCCAAGTAACTGGGGATTACAGGTACTTGCCACCATGCCCACCTAATTTTTTGTAGTTTTAGTAGAGATGGGGTTATACTATGTTGGCCAGACTCATAAGCTTTTTTTTTTTTTTTAAGCTTTCTATTCACTGGAAAATTTACTATTAACCACCTGATTCAAGTCTCCATTTGATTCAATACTTCTAGTCAGTACTATTGTTGATTCTCTTGATGAATTATAATGATGATGAAGAAAAATGATGATGTCTGAAAGTGATGGGCTTTTAAGAAGCTTCAGTGGTTGTTTCTCCTAAGATCCATTTGATTATTCTTTACTTATATATGACTGCTAACATGTTATAGTGCTGAAATCTGATACTCAAGGAATAGTTCAGTTTATCAGATTACTTCTCACTGTGGGATTTTCTATGTAAAACATAATATTGTAGCCAATTTATATATTCATTTATTTTGGGATGGTCTTGACTTATTTTATCATTCTTAGACACATGAACATGATGAAAAGTATTTAAATATAAATTTATTTTAGTTCAGCATTGATAGAGTCTGTATTTTTAAGATAATCCAGAAATGTGAATACCATTAAATAACCAGATTTCTTTTTCTAATTTTATGTCTTTATTCTGCTTAATTTCAGGACGAATAACCTTTACAGAACCAAATATTCAGAATGTACCAAGAGATTTTGAAATCAAAATGCCAACACTAGTAGGAGAAAGCCCACCTTCTCAAGCTGTAGGCAAAGGCCTACTTCCCATGGGCAGGTAGGCACTGTTTCTCTGGTCTGTATTAATAAACTTTATGTAAGTATGAATGGCTCAAAATAGCTTATTAGACAAATAAATGAAATTAGTTTAATTTTATGTTTCAGACATACCCATTTCTGTCCTAGACCATTTTGAATCCTGAGTCCATGTGTAAAGAAGCTACTTCATGTTTAATTGAATGTTTGCTGAAAGAATTCTAGTATCTTTGTTAAGCTTTAAAGTGATTCTCAGGTTTGTTTTGTTTTGAAATGGAATCTCGCTCTGTTGCCAGGCTGGAGAGCAGTGGTGCGTCAGCTCACTGCAACCTCCAACTTCTGGGCTCAAACAATTCTCCAACCTCTGCCTCCTGAGTAGCTGGGACTACAGCTATGTGCCACCATGCCTGGCTAATTTTTGTAGAGACAAGGGTCTCACTTAGTTGCCCTGACTAGTCCTAAACTCCTAGGCTCAAGCAATCTGCTCGCCTCGGCTTCCCAAAGTGCTAGTATTACAGGTGTGAGCTATCACACCCAACTCTCAGATAAGGTTTTTATTCTATTTCTTAGCTGGAAATACTGATGTTGCTGAAAATTAGACCTTTTTCATATATTTGAGACTGCTTTATGTTTAGCTGATGATGTAGTTTGTACCACAGAGGAAAAATTAAGAAGGGTTGGAGCCTGAACCCTGGATGCCAAGCACAGATGGAGGAGAGAGCTGCAGAAAGAGGAATGCCATTTTCAGTTAGCATGCGACATGCCTTTGTGCCTTTCCCAGGTAAGGTGGCTGATAGCTTTGAAGCTTCTCATTGTTGTGAGAATGTTTTTAAAAGCCTGAAATTTCAGTGAGACTTAGAGCATGCATTCATCCCTCCATCTTTCTGTCTACAGTGAAGCCCACCTTTCTGTTTGTCCTGCCAGGTTTATAGCAGTCATCTTCTCCACGATCTGCTCTGTGGGAAACTTTTGTGGTGTGTGCTCAGCAGCAGCAGTCTGCTGAAACCATGTTTTCTAACGTCAGTGTAAACTTCTTTGCAAAGTCCGGTTGATTTTGTCAGTCTTCATCCTCTTTAAGCTCTTTACAGCATTTGTCACTGTTAATCAACTCTTTCCTTCTTCAATTTCCCTTCTCTCTTGACCTCTAAAGGGACAATTTTTTTGTCTCTCCTTCTAACTTGTTTGCTTTTATATCTGTTCCTTTTTCTGTACTGCAGCTTCCTATTGCATGGGGTTGGCCCCTAAGGCTATTCTCATTCTGCCTGACCTCAACTCAGTACTCTGGGCGTAAACCTTTTGTTGTCAAGACATTCGGAAGTGGTGATGTAACTTGCAGATCATCCCGACTCTTAGTATACATATTTGTTCTTTTATTTGTCATCAGCTGGCAGGTCCAAGTGAGTGCAATTAACCATCTGAATTTATTTAAATTCCATCAGAAACTTATATGCCAAGGGTAAATTCCGAACTATGATGATGTGTCCTGCTAGGCAATTTTTAGTGTTGCTTATGTCTGAACTGTCAGCAAGCAAAATTCTATCACAGTTATCCAAGAGAGTCCCCAGAAGCTCTGTGTGGTGTATGGTAATTTCTTTCTATTTTGAGATGGACTCTCACTCTGTCACCCAGGCTGGAGGGCAATGGAGTTTTCTTAAAACGCATAGATCAGTTTTTTGTTTTGTTTGTGTGCAGCTTCCTCACCCCTCTCAGCCTTCATAGAAATTGTGAAGTAGGAAAATACTGTTGACATACTGAAGGGTACCTCAGAGCCTCCTTGCTGTGGATTAGACTTTGGCCTAAGAGGATGTTATGGCTGGTCTTACTTTTTATCCAGAACACTCCGATTTTCTCCATATTAGCAATAAGTCTGTCTTGTCTTCCTATTATTCATGTGTTCACTGGAGTAACACTTTTAATTTCCTTCCAGAACTTTTCCTTTGCATTTACAACCTGGCTAACTGTATGACACAAGAGGCCTAGCTTTCAACCTATCTCAGCTTTTGACATGCCTTCTTCAATAAGCTTAATCGTTTCTATCTTTTGGTTTAGTAGGAGAGAGATGTGACTTTCTCATTCACTTGAACACTTAGAGGCCATTGCCATTGTAGGGTGATTAATTGGCCTAATTTTAATATTGTATCTCAGGGAATAGGGAGGTCTGAGAGAGAGAGAGGGGAGAAAGGAGGTCTGAGAGAGGGGGGGGGAACAGCCAGTTAGTGGAGTAGTTAGAACGCACACAACATTGATCGATGAAGTTCACTCTTACGTGAGTATCGTTCATGGATAGTAATAATAGTAACATCAAAGATCACCATAACAGGTAATCATGAGAGGTTTTTGAAGTAATATGAACATTACTATTAAGAAAATGTGTCACAGTGAACACATGCTGTTGGAAAAATTGTGCTGATAGACTTGCTCCACTCAGAGTTGCCAAAAACCTTTAATTTCTTTAAAAGAAACTGCAATATCTGTGAGGCATAATAAAGTGAAGTGCAATAAAGCAGGGTATGCTTGATTTTATAAAACTTATATTTTGACAAAGTAGATCACATGCCCATGTTTTTTCAAACATACTTTAAAGTATTTCATGCAAGGCATGGTGGCTCACACCTGTAATCCCAGCACTTTGGGAGGCCAAAGCAGGAAAGCTGCTTAAGTTCAGGACTTCACAACCTGCCTGGGCAACATAGGGAGACCCCATCTTTACAGAAAGTTAAAAAGTTAGCTAGGCATAGTGGTGTGCATCTGTAATCCCAGCTACTGAGGAGTCTGAGGTCTGAATACCTTATCACTTGAGCCCAGGAGGTTGGGACTGTACTGAGCCATGATCGTGCCACTGCACTCCAGCCTAGGCAGAAGAGCAAGACATTATCTTAAAAAAAAGAAAAAGAAAATTCCAGTAACTGAATTGAGTACCAGAAACTCATTTTTTTGTCTTTTTCTATTTTTTAGAAACTCATTAAAAAAAAAAAATAGCGGCCAGGCGCGGTGGCTCAAGCCTGTAATCCCAGCACTTTGGGAGGCCGAGGCGGGTGGATCACGAGGTCAAGAGATCGAGACCATCCTGGTCAATATTGTGAAACCCCATCTCTACTAAAAACACAAAAAATTAGCTGGGCATGGTGGTGCATGCCTGTAATCCCAGCTTTTCAGGAGGCTGAGGCAGGAGAATTGCCTGAACCCAGGAGGCGGAGGTTGCGGTGAGCCGAGATCGCGCCATTGCACTCCAGCCTGGGTAACAAGAGCGAAACTCCATCTCAAAAAAAAAAAAAGCATCTGTATTAACAAAGCTGGTTCATCTTTTCTCCGAAGCATTAATTTGACTTTGAAGCAGAAATATCCATTACAAAACAATGTCTGTACAAGTTAAGTAAATTTACCAACTCTTATGTTACTCGTTATGACACGTTGCGTATCCCTGGTCTCAAATCCTTGAGACTAAAAGTATTTGAGATTTTGGAATATTTGCATATACATAATGCAATATTTTGGGGATGGGATCCAAGTCCTAATATGAAATTTATGTTTCATGTACACCTTATAGACATAGCCTAAAGGTAATTTTATACAATATTTTAAATTTTATGCATGAAACAAAGTTATAACTTTGCCTTGTTACAAGAGGTCAGTTGTGGAACTTTCCACTTGTAGCATCATGTCAGTGCTCAGAAAGTTTTAGATTTTGGAACATTTTGGATTTTGAATTTTCAGATTAAGGATGCCATTCCTAATATTATGTCAAATTCAAAGGACTGTTACTTATAAATAAAAAAGCAACTCTAAATTTATCAGCATCAGAGCATTTAAAAAATTTTTAATATTTGCAGTTTAGATAACATGTTGATTGTAATTAAATATACTGCATATTGATTTATACTTGAAAAATGCATAAAGTTATTATTATTACTATTGGAAGAGATGGGGGCTCCCACTGTATTGCCAAGGCTTGTCTGGAACTCCTGGGCTCAAATGATCCCCCAGCCTTGGCCTGCCCAATTACTGGAATTACAGGTGTAAGCTACTGCACCCAGCCCGTTATTGATTTGTTTTATAAAAAGTTTTCATTTCCAAATAAATTCTCATACCTGTCTAGCTAGGTCACAAGCACATTCTTGGAGGCTCCTTTCTTGGAGCCTCAAATATATGCTGTGATATCAGTCAAAAAACATAAATCACATTGTTCTTTTTGTCTTTGATTACAAAATATGTGGCAAGTGTTCTTCTGTTTCAAGAAAATATTGGAGTACAGTAAATCTTTGGAAAACTCTCACAAATCAAACAGTGAGCTTTGACAGAGTACGCAAGATTGTTACATTCATTGTTTTCTATTTTCAGCAGCTCCTTAAGCTGGTGATGACTCAGCATTTGTACATTTACATAAAATAATTTTAACTGTGTTATAACCCTTTTGATGATCTGATTTAGGAAACTGAGCATAAATCTTTTCTATACATATAGTGGAATGAAGAAATAGGGAAACATCAGACTCCTGTTTAAAACTCTAAAAAAAAATAAGTTTTTAATGACAAAGCCAGACTATTGACTATATGATGAAAGCTATTTTATCTATTTGAAAGTCTTCTTTGATAAATGTAAAAGATTCCAAAATATCTGTGCCACTAGTTTGATTTTGTAAGCTAAGAATGGTATTTTCTTTATAAATTTAGAAGTCCACTGAGACAAAACCTATTCAGAATATTAATTAAGCAGCTTCTCTGTTATGGGACAATTCTTCCAAAGCCAAAAAAGAAATACTTGAAATTTGATTAATCTCTGATACTGTTAGACAGGTTACCCTATTGAGTCAATAGGTAATTGTTTGGTAGTTTATTAGTCCATTGTCATGCTGCTAATAAAGACCTGCCTGAGACTGAGTAATTTGCAAAGGAAGGAGGTTTGATGGACTCAAGGTTCCACATGGCTGGGGAGGCCTCACAATCATGGTGGAAGATGAAGGAAGAGCAAGGGGCATCTTACATGGTGGCAGGCAAGAGCTTGTGCAGGGGAACTCACATTTATAAAACCATCAGATCTCATGAGACTTACTCACTACCATGAGAACAGTATAGGGGGACACCCCCATAATTCGGTTATCTTCACCTGGCCCTGCCCTTGACATGTGAGTTTTATTACAATTCAAGGTGAGATTTGGGTGGGGACATAGCCAAACCATATCAGGTAGGTTATTTGAAGATCTTTTGCTTTTTGTAAAATGTAATTGATTCTTGTTATTCATGGTAGTGCATTATACAAAGCCACAATGCACACTAAATTAACAAATACTGAAGTAAAGTTTTCTTTTGTCAGACAGTTTACTTTCACATCAGCTTGGTCCTTTTGAGGCCTTTGAAGCTTTGCTAACAAATGTTTAGAGTAGCCTGCACTCTAGGGCTAGATTATTCCTGTTCATAAGGTGTGGCCTTTTTGGAGTCTACTTGGTGCTGAAGCTGTTTAATAAGATCTCTTCTCAGTCTTGTTAGAGCTTAGTCATTTCTCAGCATTCAAGAATGTGTTGTTGGACTGGGTGCGGTGGCTCACGCCTGTAATCCCAGCACTTTGGGAGGCCAAGGTGAGCGGATCACGAGGTCAAGAGTTCAAGACCATCCTGGCCAACATGGGTGGAACCCTGTCTCTACTAAAAAAAATACAAAAATTAGCTGGGCGTGGTTGTGTGCAGCTGTAATCCCAGCTACCCAGGAGACTGAGGCAGGAGAATCGCTTAAACCTGGGAGGCAGAGGCTACAGTAAGTCGAGATCGTACCACTGCACTCCAGCCTGGCAACAGAACAAGACTCCATCTCAAAAAAAAAAAAAAAAAAGAATTTGTTGTTGAATTACTTGTTCAGCTAAAAGCTATGCAGTGTTCGTTCTTCCTTTAGTAATAGTCATTTCTTCAGTGTGTGTTCTTCGCCTGGTGCCCTGCACTTTCTTCCTGCACAATGTAATATTTGGTCAAAAATCCAAAGGGTTTCCTGTGCTTATTTCTGGTGCTTCGTTTATGCACACCATTTTTCTCTCGAAATTCCAGCTGCCTCAAAGGCCCAAACTCTAGACTCTGTTTTCTTCGTTCAGAGAGAGATACAGTGCTGTGTTTCAGCTCCCCTTCCCTGCTACAGATTCTGGAAAGTGCCTCTATTCAGATCCCTGAGACCTTTGTGTGGCTCACCTTGTTTCCTTCCCTTCTCAGTGATTATAGTTCTGCCTGGCTTGTTGTCTAACATCTGAGAATTTTTTTTATATAATTTGTCCAATTTTATGGTTGTGGTAGGAAGTTCACCAAAGTTGTAGTCATTTACAGGTTGAATATCCCTTATGTGAAATGCTTGGGACTGGAAGTGTTTTAGATTTAGATTTTTTTTTTTTTATTTTAGAATATTTACTCTATCTTTACCAATGGAACATCTCTAATCCAAAAATCCAAAATCTGAAATGCCCCAGTGAGCGTGACATTTGAGCATCTTGTTGGTGCTCAAAAGTTTTAGATTTTGGAGCATATTGGATTTTGGAATTTTGGATTAAGGGATGCTCAACCTGTATTTTAAATTAGTATTTATCTCTATTTTTGAATAGGTTATTAATTTACATGTTGAGAAATCAACATGATATAAAAGATGGGTATTGGGAAGCTTTGCTTCCTTCCCTATCATCTACTATCCTTCCCAACTCTTAGAGGTTAGTATATGTATGAGTTTTTTTTAATATATTTTGACAGTATTTCTTTATGCAGATAATAAGCAAAGATGGATATATAATTTTTTATTTCCCTAGTTTTACACAGAATTAGCATTCTGTATACACTATTGTGTACCTTGCTTTTTTCATGTAATGTTTCTATACTAAAGACTTGTGCTTATCAATAAGGACATTTAAATAAAAAACAGTTTAAACTGTGTGCAGATAGTGCGTGCAGCAATCTGTGGGCTTGTTTGCTGAGTCATGGAGTAAAAACCTGTTTAATTTCTATAGATATTGTTAAATTGCCCCATTAACTAATGGGGAGGAGGTTACCATTTTACTTCTCAGTAACAACATATGAGTGTTTTTCTTCTCAACCTTATCACAGAGTGTTGCCCAACTTTTGTAATTTTTGCAATATAGCTGACGAAAAATTGTTTCTTGCTGTAGACTTTTCATTTCTCTTATGAAGTTGAGCATTCTTTAATACGTTTAAGGTTCTTTTGTTTTTAGTATGTCTGAACTTCTTATTTATAGTTCATCTTATTCTCCACAAGTAAAAACTCTTCTTATGAAATGGCAATGAATTCTTTGTGATATCAGTTGCAAATATTTTTTCTAATTTTTCTTTGACCCTACATTTATTTATTTATTTAGAGATGGCATCTTGTTCTGCTGCCCTGGCTGGAGTGCAATGGTGTGATCTCGGCTCACTGCAACCTCTGCCTCCCTGGTTCAAGCAATTCTGCCTTAGCCTCCCAAGTAGCAGGGACTACAGGCATGCGCCACCATACCTGGCTAATTTTTTAAAAAATATTTTTAGTAGAGGCAGGGTTTCACTGTGTTGGCTAGGATGGTCTTGATCTCCTGACCTCATGATCCGCCCGCCTCAGCCTCCCAAAGCACTGGTATTACAGGCATGAGCCACCACGCCTGACGTATTTTTTTAAGTTTGTTTTTGTTTTGTCATGCATATCTAATCTACCCATTTCTAATCTATAGGTAAATTATTTTAATCCTTTTAATAATTTGCTCAGCTGTTGACTGCTTGATTTTTTTTTCATTTAATGACTTTGTTATTGTCAAAGCAGGGCACACATTTCTCTCCAGCCCACTTAACATTTGCACACATTGGACACAAGTTTTTTCATTAATTCATTCAACAACCGTTTGTTAAAGGCTGATTATATACCAGCAACTATGCAAGATTTTCTGTAGAAAGAAAAGGAAAATTAAGCTTCCTATTCATAAGGACTCAGAGCAAAATAAGAGGGGCATGAAAGAACCATTTTGGATTATGTGCTGGGTGCTCTAGGAACACTGAGGAAAGCACTCCACAGTGGGCACATGTCAGGGGTGGCTTCACCCATATTATACATACTTGAAAGCTACATGGAAAAAAATGACCTAAGATACAGAGCTGAATTACATCATATTAAGAGGAAGGTTTTAACTTTGACATATGATTTCAAAGTTCTAAGTTAGACCTAAATTTCTGTCATCCTGCTCAATTATATGATATAGAAGTTGGGTTGTGTGATAGAGAACTTTGTACTAGCTTTTCTGAAATCACTTCTACTTCAGGTGGTTTAATACTGGCTGCTGACTACTCTCAGCTTGAACTGAGGATCTTGGCTCATTTATCCCACGATCGTCGTCTCATTCAAGTGTTAAACTCTGGAGCTGATGTTTTCAGGAGCATTGCAGCAGAATGGAAGATGATTGAGCCAGAGTCTGTTGGGGATGATCTGAGGCAGCAGGCAAAGCAGGTGATTTTAGTGAACATGCTTAATATGAAGGAGAAGAATTTAGGGACTCAAAGAATTTAAAAATGGTCTCAATTATTTGCAACTGAGAAACCATTTCTCCATCTTTGGATCTTTCAAAGCACATTTCATCTGAGCTTATTTCATGGTATTTGTTATACTTTCTTTTGTGGAGGCAGTAGAAATAACCAGAAAGACTGAGATCTGAGGCTGCTTCCTGTTAGGAAAACCATATGCATTTAAAGCCATTATATGGCTAGCCACAGTGCCTGGTACTCAGTAGGTGTCGTGGTGTTGGTGATGGTCAGTGTGTATGTGTTCATGCACACCAGCAGGCGTGTACATATGTATATTTAAGAAACCTCCTTCTAGTCTTCAAGTGTTCTGAGGTAAAGTTCCATATTTTCATTTTTATATTTTCTCCTAGCATCAAGGCATAACGCTTTGTAAAGAAGGTGGTCTCCAAATGTTTGTTGAAAAAATATTGCTGAGCTGTAGATTATAGTGAATATCTGATAGCTTTTTAGCTCTTGAAGTTATTGGTTAGTTAATCCACTTATGAAACTTCATGCTGCCTTTGTAACTTTGAAATAGATCCATATTAGTTTCTACTCTGAATAACTATTGGGCAGAGAGTAAGTCAAAGGCCACATTTATACCATTCCTAGGCCTAGATTAACATTGATACTTTCTTACCACATAACCTGTGGGAAATCTGATACCATTTGCAAGACAGTAGGATTGCTGGCCGAGGTGAATGCATACCACTGTACTCTGAGATCCTGCTGTTTTTCTTTCACATTTACACTTTTAGTTCCTCACAGCTGTATTTTTTTGAGATATGGGGTCTCAATTTGTTGCCCAGGCTTGTCTTGAACTCCTGGCTTCAAGTGATCCTCTGGCCTTGGCCTCCCAAATTGTTGGGATCGTAGGTGCTAGCCACTGCACCCAGCCTCACAGTTATACTTCTTGACTGGCTCATCGAGCATGGGATATTTCCTCTCACCACCACCTGGTTACACCAACACTTGTTTCTTCCACTATTTAAAAAGCCAGCTCTGTCCGCTCTGTTTAATCCCCAGAGGGGTCCTGCATTTAGCAAGAATCAAACCCTTGGTAAAATAGATAACATTCCCATATTTAATTCTCATAACCCATGAGATAGCTATTATTATTATTATCACCATTTTATCGAGGAGGAAACTGAAACACAGAAAGTAATTTGCTTAAGGTCATGCAGCTATAAGTGGTAGAGCCAGAATAAATTCAGAATGCCAGAACTTGGGCACTCTGACTTCCTATCCAACACACACATCCTCTGGAGATAGCTGCTTCTATTTAATAGACTCTTACGTGATTTAATAGTGTTTATGCTATACCAGTTTTTGTTTGTATCACCATGTACCAAACCACCTAATCCCTGAGCCTTGCTGAGATCTCAGACAGCACTAAGTAACATGAGTTAAAAAAAAAACAGGAGTCACAAGAAAACAAAATGTAGGGGAAAAAAAGGAAAGGAAAAAAGCCCTCTCTCAATATATTAAAAACATAGGGGTGGGAGTGGGGTGGACTTTAGCTAGTTTATTATCATGTTGAAAGTTTTTTGGAATTGTGATAATTATTTTAAGCAAATTATCTTTTTAGATTTTATTTAATGATATTTATACAGAGCTTGCTTTATGTGAGTTTTGTAAACAGTTATAAGTAATAACTCATTTAAACCTAACCATCCCATGATGTAGGTATTACTACCTTCATTTTTTAGATGAAGAAATTAAGATACAAAGAGGTTAGGTGACTTGTGCAAGATTATACATTTTGTGAATGGTAGAGCTGGCCTTTGAGCCCCGGAAGTCCTTATGATTAAATCAGACTTTCTTTAATGCCCTATTTATAGATAATTTCCCTTCATTGCTTCCGAAATTTTCCTGAGTTTTTATTTGTATTTTAGTGAAATGAATTCTGCAGTTGTGGCATTTTAGGTGGCTGTGAGGTGAGGAAGATATTTTTTTTTTCCCATTAAGTCTTCCCTGTCATAAAGTTATGAAAGCCTACTCTTTCTATTTTTAAAGTCTTGTTCAAGGGCAAGGAGAGGGACATCTGTAATGCTTCTCTTCCCTGACTCCTAGGCACTTGAAGTGGAAGTTAATGAAGTGCTGTGAGGAGTAAAAAGTTACTATAAAGAGTGCTGTATAAAGGAGAAATAGTCAAAAATAAATTTTTCCTTAGATCACACACACCTATTCATCCATACTCCCTCCTGCCCTCCTCTCTCTCTCAACAAGTAATGCTGAAAGGCAGAAAAGATGTTTGCTGGATATCAGCCTCTGTGAATCTAACTCAGCAAAAGCAATCTAATCATTTTTGACTCACTGTGAAATTAAAAGGTCGCCAAAATTTCAATCCTAATGAACTCTTTTATTTGCATTTTGTGTACTTACAAGCTTTATTTGTTGGATGACTCCCTTTCAGATTTGCTATGGAATCATTTATGGAATGGGAGCTAAGTCTTTGGGAGAGCAGATGGGCATTAAAGAAAATGATGCTGCTTGCTATATTGACTCCTTCAAATCCAGATACACAGGTAATTTTATCTTCTAGATAGTATTCTTTTCAATCATCTTACCATATTATGTTTTTAAATATTTGTGTTATGGAATTTTATATTGAAATATCTATTAGAAGTTTTCATCAGGCATTGTTGAGGGTAAATAATATTAACCTTGTTATGATCACTTACTAAGTTGTAATAATCTTATTTTGTATTTTTCATTAGAGACAGAATAGTAAAATGTAGTTGATGTATATCTACTGTGTCATTGTGAACATCCCATAACATCTGGGACTTGACTTGTGCTTTGGTTTAGATAGCTGTAGTTTGAAACAGTAAACTTGAGTATATATACAAGGAATTCTGACAATTGCTAATAAATATTTCAGGAACTCTGAGAACAATTGCTGTTATAGAGCAGTTTGAGTATTGTCTTAAATGATCTGTTTTGCCTGTTTGTTGTGGTATAATTTATATATAATAAGATTCACCCTGAAAAAGGTATATAGTTCTGTGAATTGTTTTTTCTTTCAAAGATAATTTTAAGGATGAGCAGTTCTGTGAATTTTGACAAATGAATATGTTCATAAAATTACACCACAACCAAGATATAGAACCATTACTCTATCCTCCCAAAACATTTTCTTATACACTTTTTTTAATCAACCCTATCCCTTACCCCCATTGGTACTGAAGCAAACAATGTAATACCGCAAGAAAAAAAAAAGCATATGGATTTAAAAGGGAAAATAAACCTTGGTCACATGTGACATGACCTTGTACGTAGAAAATCACATGGCTTCTACAAAAACAATTAGTAGAACAAATAACTAAATTTAGCAAGTTTCACTCTGTAAAAATAGACTGTATTTCTGTATACTAGCAACAAATAATTAGCAAATGAAGCATCACAAACCATGAAATACTTGACATAGATTTAGCAGAATGTGTGCAAGACTTATTTATTGAAAACTCCGAAGCAATCCTAGAGTTGACAAATAAATGTGGGGTATACCGTGTTAATTTATTGAAAAGCGCAACATTGTTATGATGACAGTCCTCTGTAAATTGTTTTGTGGATTCAGTGTGATTCCAATAAAAATTCATTAAGCTTTTGTATAGAATTTGACAAGCTGATTTTAAATTTATATGGCAATTCAAAGAGCCTGAAATAATGAAGATTATGTTTTGGGAAAGTACAATGTTAAAGACTTACACTCCCTGATGTCAAAATTTATAAAACCACAATAACCGGCTGGGCACGGTGGCTCACGCCTGTAATCCCAGCACTTTGGGAGGCCGAGGTGGGTGGATCATGAGGTCAAGAGTTGAGACCATCCTGGTCAACATGGTGAAACCCCGTCTCTACTAAAAATACAAAAAATTAGCTGGGCATGGTGGCACGTGCCTGTAATCCCAGCTACTCAGGAGGCTGAGGCAGGAGAATTGCCTGAACCCAGGAGGCAGAGGTTGCGGTGAGCCGAGATTGCGCCATTGCACTCCAGCCTGGGTAACGAGCGAAACTCTGTCTCAAAAAAAAAAAAATACCCACAATAATCAAGATAGGTATAAAGTTAGACAAAGAGAACAATGGAACATAATAGAAGACCCAGAAATAGGCCCATATATATATATTGAGTTGGGTGATTTTCAACAAAGTTGCCACGGTAATTCAATTGATGAAAGAATGGTCTTTTCAGCAATTGGTGTTAGAACAACCAGACACCAGTACTGGAAAAAAAAAATCAACCTCAATATTTATCTCACATTATATACAAAATTTTATCTCACATCATATACAAAAATTATCTTGATGTGGAATATAGACTCTAAAAGTACATAGCTAAAACTTTAAATGTTCCAGAAGAAAATAAGGGAGAATCCATTGTAACGTTGAGGTGGGCAAAGACTTCTTAGTTCATCACATTGGATTAGCCATTAAAGAAAAACACTGGCTCACCACAGAGAGAGAGAGACTCCATTCATTTGGGAGGAAGTAAGGGTAGAGAATGAGAGTCTCTGTCTGGTAAAGCAGAGAATTCTTCCAGATCTTACCCAAGACTGCCAAAGTGGTACCTCTACAGGTCTGCAAGAACCATAGCATTACTGGGTTTAGGTGGCACCCTAATGCAGATACAGCTAAGATAACAACACCCAAGTCTCTTTGAGTGTTTCCAAGAAGGATAAATACAAATAAGCCCAGATTGTGAAGACTACAATAAATACCTAATTCTTCAATGCCCAGGCAAACTTCCACAAGCATCAAGACCATCCAGGAAAACATGACATCACCAAGTAAACTAAGGCACCAGGGACCAGTCATATAGAAACGCAGATATGTGACCTTTGAGACAGAGAATTCAAAATGGCTGTGTTGAGGAATGTCAAAGAAATTCAAGATAACACAGAGAGGGATTTCAGTATTTTGTCATAAATTTAACAAGTTGAAATAATTAAAAAGAATCAAGCATGGCCGGACGCGGTGGCTGTCACCCATAATCCCAGCACTTTCGGAGGCTGAGATGGGCATATCATTGAGGTCAGGAGTTTGAGACCAGCCTGGCCAACATGGTGAAACGCTGTTCCTACTAAAAATACAAAAATTAGCTTGGAGTGCTGGCACATGCCTGTAATCCCAGCTACTTAGGAGGCTGTGGCAGGAGAATCGCATGAACCTGGGAGGTGGAGGTTGCAGTGAGCCAAGATCATGCAATTGCACTCCAGCCTGGGGGTCAAGAATGAAACTCCATTTCAAAAAATAAAATAGGCCTGGCACAGTGGCTCACACCTATAATCCCAGCACTTTGGGAGGCCGAGGCAGGTGGATCACGAGGTCAAGAGATCGAGACCATCCTGGTCAACATGGTGAAACCCTGTCTCTACTAAAAATACAAAAATTAGCTGGGCATGGTGCGTGCCTGTAGTCCCAGCTACTCGGGAGGCTGAGGCAGGAGAATTGCTTGAACCCAGGAGGTGGAGGTTGCCGTGAGCCAAGATCATGCCATTGCACTGCAGTCTGGGTAACAACAGCGAAACTCTGTCTCAAAAAATAAATAAATAAATAAATAATAAAAGAATCAAGCAGAAATTCTGGAGTAGGAAAATGCAATTGACATACTGAAGAGAATATCAGTGTCTCTTAATAGCAGAATTATTCAAGCAGGATTACTGAGTTTGAAGACAGGCTATTTGGAAATTAACAGAAAAGACAAAAGAAAAAAGTATAAAAAAAGAGTGAAGCACACCTGCAACATCAGAAAATAGCCTCAAACGGGCAAATCTAAGAGTTATTGGCCTTAAAGAGGCAGTAGAGAAAGAGATAGGAGTAGACAGTGTATTCAAAGAGATAATAAAGAACTTTCCAAACCTAGAGAAAGATATCAATATTCAAATAAAAGAAAGTTATAGAACAGATTTAATTCAAAGAAGACTGCCTCAAGACATTTAATAATCAAACTCCCAAAGGTCAAGGGTAACGAAAGGATCCTAAAAGCAGCAAGAGAAAATAATAGAATAATATACAATGGCGCTCCAATATGTCTGGCCGCAGTCTTTTAGTGAAAACCTTACAGGCCAGGAGAGAGTGGCATGACATATTTAAAGTGCTGAAGGAAAAACAGCTTTTACCCTACAATAATATATCTGGCAAAAATATTAATATCTTTCAAATATGAAGTAGGAAAAAAAGACTTTCTCAGACAAATGAAAGCTGAGGGATTTCATCAACAACAGAGTTGTCCTACAAGAAATGCCAAAAAGAGTTCTACAATTAGAAAGAAAAGGATATTAATGAGCAATAACAAATCATCTGAAGGTACAGAACTCACTGGTAATAGTAAGAACAAAGAAAAACACAGAATATTATAACATTGTAATTATGATGTACAAACTATTAAATAGACAAAAGGATTAATCAAAAATATCTATAACAGATCTTCATGATATAGGCAGTACAATAAGATATAAATAGAAACAAAAAGTTTAAAAGTGCGCCAGGTGCAGTGGGTCACACCTATAATCCCAGAACTTTGGGAAGCCAAGGTAGGCAGATCACCTGAGGTCAGGAGTTCAATACCATCCTGGCCAACATAGTGAAACCTTGTCTCTACAAAAAAAATACAAAAGTTAGCTAGGCATGATGTCAGGTGCCTGTAATTCCAGCTACTTGGGAGGCTGAGGCAGAAAAATCGCTTGAACCCGGGAGGCGGAGGTTGCAGGGAGCCAAGACTGTGCCATTACACTCCAGCCTGGGCGACAAAGCAAGACTTTGTCTCAAGTAATAATAATAATAGGTTATAAGACATTACTTTTGCAAGTCTCATGGTAACTCAAATAAAAAACATACAACAAGATATACAAAAATTAGAAAGCAAGAAATTAAATCATAACACCAGAAAAAAAATCACCTTTATTAAATGAAAGACAGGCATGAAGGAAAGAAGGAGGAAAAAAAACCCCAAAACAAGAAAACACTAAAATGTTGTAGTCCTTACCTTTCAGTAATAACACTGCATGTAAATGAACTAAACTCTCCAATAAAAAGACGCAGAGTGGCTGCATAGATTTTGAAAAAAAGAAAAACAAGAGTCAATGATCTGTTGCCTACAAGAAACACAGTTCACCTCTAAAGATATAGACTGAAAATAAAGGGATGGAAAAGCGATTCCATGCCAACAGAAACCAAAAAAGATCAAGAGTAGCTATACTTGTGTCAGATAAAATAGATTTCAAGACAAAAATTATGAAAGGAGACAAAGAATGTCATTATATAATGAAAAAGGAGTCAATTAAGCAAGAGAATATAAGAATTATATATGTACCCAATATTGGAGCATCTGGACATATAAAGCAAACATTGTTAGAGCTAAAGAGAAAGAGAGATACCGACAATCATAACTGGAGACTTCAACACCTCACTCTGAGCAGTGGACAGATATGCCAGACAGAAAATCTAAGAAATTGTACTAAATATGCACTATAGACCAAATGGACCTAATAGATACTTGTAGAACATTTCATTCAATGGCTACCAAATACACATTCTTCTCTTGAGCACATGGATTATTCTCAAGGATAGACTATATATGTTAGATCACAAGTTTTGAAACATTCAAAAAATTAAATTAACATCAAATATCTCCTCTGACCACATGGAATAAAACTAGAAATCAATAACAAGGAATTTTGGAAACTATACAAACATGGAAATTAAACAATATGCTCTTCAGTGACCAGTGAGTCAATTAAAAAATTAAGAAGGAAATTTTAAAATTTCTTAAAACAAATGATAATGGAAATACAACATACCAGCACATATGGGATACCGCAAAAGCAGTACTAAGAAGGAATTTTATAGGTATAAGTGCCCACATTTAAAAGAAAAGGAGAAAACTTCAAATAACCTAACAATGCATCTTAAAGAACTAGAAAAGTAAGAGCAAGACAAATCCAAAATTGGCAGAGGAAAAGAAATAATGAAGATCAGAGTAGAAATAAAGAATGAAATTGAAACAAAACAATACAAAAGAACAACAAAACAAATAGTTATTGGTTATTGCTTTTTTTTTTGAGATGGAGTTTTTCTCTGTCATCCAGGCTGGTGGACAGTGGCATGATCTTGGCTCACTGCAACATCTACCTCCTGGGTTCAAGTAATTATCCTGCCTCAGCCTCCCAAGCAGCTGGGATTACAGGTGTATGCCATTATACCCAGCTAATTTTTGCATTTTTAATAGACACAGAATTTTGCCATGTTGGCCAGGCTGGCCATGAACTCCTAACCTCAAGTGATCTGCCCATCTCAGCATGGGATTACAAGCATTAGCTGAGATGTCAACCACCACCTGCAGAAGTCTGTCCTGTAGACCCTGACTCAATAATGGATGAATTAATGCACTCTCACACCATTACAGTGATACGAGTGGGCTAGGGATGGCTGTTGGCTGCTTTCAGAGGCTGAAATTCAACCAATTGACCAAGACCTTCTGTCCATCCACAAATTTATTCATAGCAGAGGTTCTGAGTCAACATGCTTGTAGATAATTAACATGGTTAAAAGAGTGGTTTTACGAATGATAAAAGCTTTAGGGTTCTGGGCCCAGAGTAAACATTAATAACAGGTGATTCCCCTTTGATCTCCCCCTCAGAGGACCATCCAGCCCAAAGTTTACATGAGTAAACATAGTAGAGACAAAGGGATGTGGGGTAAACAGACTTAAACCGGGAAGGCCTTTGATTGTCTCTCTCTTTCCTATGCTAATGCTAATGAGGCGGCTGCCTTCAGCATGCCTCAATAAACCTCTTGGCCTTCCAAAAGTTTTGAGGTTATAATCTATAACTTTCCCTAATATTTTCCTTAATATTTTGCCAGCCACCCTGAGTGAATATCAACAGTGAGCCACTGTGCCTGGCCTGAAAATTAGCTGGTGTTTTGTTTTGTTTTTGAGACAAAGTTTCACTCTGTCACCCAGGCTAGAGTGCAATGGCATGATCTTGGCTCACTGCAACTTCCACCTCCCAGGTTCAGGCAATTCTCCTGCCTCAGCCTCCTGAGTACCTGGGATTACAGGCATGTGCCACTATGCCCAGGTAATTTTTGTATTTTAACAGGGACGCGGTTTCACCATGTTGGTCAGGCTGGTCTCAAACTCCTAACCTTGTGATCCACCTGCCTTGGCCTCCCAAAATTCTGGGATTACAAGCTTGAGCCATCACACCTGACCTGGTTTTTTGTTTTGTTAAGGATAAAATTGACACACCATTAGCCAGACTAAGAAAAAAGAAGAAGATCTAAATAAATAAAATCATAAATGAAAAAGGAGACAGCACAACAAATACCCCAGAAATTCAAAGGATCATTAGTGGCTTACTATGAGCAACTATATGCCAGTAATTTGGAAAATCTAGAAGAAATGGGTAAATTCCTAGACACACTAAACCAAGAAGAAATCTAAAATTTGAACAGTCTAAGAATAAGTAATGAGATTGAAGCCATAAATAAAAAGTTTCCCACAAAGAAAAGCTCAATGGCTTCCCTGCTGAATTCTACCAAAAATTTAAAGAAGTAATACCAGTCCTACTCAAACTATTTTGGAAAATAGAAGAGGACAGAACACTTCTAAACTTCTAAACACTTCTATGAGGCCAGTATTACCCTGATTCCAAAACCAGACAAAGACACATCAAAACAAACAAATAAGCAAAACCTACCTACAGGCCAATATTTCTGATGAAAATGTATGCAAACATCCTCAACAAAATAGTAGCAAATGGAATTCAACAATATATTAGAAATATCAGTAGATCGTGGTAGGGTTTTGGTATATTTTGCTATATTTAAACCAGTGAATGAAGTGAAGGATAGACCTTGGTTCTAATTAATTATTTCTGTATTTTCTTTGTAGGGATAAATCAATTCATGAGAGAGACAGTGAAGAATTGTAAAAGAGATGGGTTTGTTCAGACCATTTTGGGAAGGCGTAGATATTTGCCAGGAATCAAAGAGAACAACCCTTATCATAAAGCTCACGTATGTTGAAATTTTTCAGGATTTTTAACTTAACATTTCAATGACATAAACTTTTTCAGCAAAGAGGAAATACTAATGTCCCTTTTAGGGGTTACCGGCATATTAATTGGATCTTCTGTATAGACTAGGTCAACCATTGGTTTCATTAAGGACTTCTGAAGTGATGGCACATGCCAGTATTTGCTGAACAGAGTCTGGGGGATTAATGTAAACATGTACTCACTTAATAATATTTTAAACATGTTTTGTTGCAGTAAGCCAGTTATTTATTAGCTTAGGTAATAAGTTGTAATAAACTTAATTTTAAAATTTTTTCTTTTTTGATTGCATCATTGACCAAAACTTAATTTTTATATTTGGTAATTATTCTTTGTTTCTGATACCATACACTAATTTGCCATATCATACCAGATTGCTAAGTTCCTCAGAGGTTAACCAGTCACTAAATTTTGATTAATTTTTGGTTCATTCTACTTGTTTGTTTATTTTAAAAGCACTATCTGCTCAGGCATGGTGGCTCATGCCTGTAATCCCAGCACTTTGGAAGGCTAAGGCAAGAGGATTACTTGAGGAGGAGTTTGTTTGAGACTAGCTTGGGTAACATAGTGAGACTCCAATATCTACCAAAAATAGAAAATTAGCTGGGTATGGTAGTCCATGCCTGTAGTATTAGTTACTTGGGTGGCTAAGGTGGGTGGATTGCTTGAGCCCAGGAATTGGAGGCTGCAGTGAGCCATGATTGGACCACTGTATTCCAGACTAGGTGGCAGAATGAGACCCTGTGTTTAAAAAAACAAAAAACAAAAAAGCACTATCTTACCAGAGATTATTAGGATATCTCCAAGTAGTGAATAAGGCTATTTTTAACAGCATTTAAAAGATTTATTGATATTTGCTCAGTCTTTTTCTGAATTCATTGGGATTCATGAAAGTATTCCGTGTATTTAAATATTTAAATTTGTAGTATAGTTCAGATCTTACTATTTTAACTAGATGTTTTTTGCCCTTCACCCATAATTTTGTGTTTTAGTGCTCATTAGACGTTGTATGTAATGAAAATACCCAGCTTAAAAAAAAAAAAATTTAAAGAAAATACCCAGCTAAAGTTCTGACTGGAGCTCAAAGCCTGCAGAGCATTAATGCTTTTAGAGACCATGGAGGAATAGTTGGCTTTTTGTTACTTCATTACTCTCTAGCCTCCCATATATCCACATGCAGATATCAGATATTTATCAGGCTTTTACTGTATCTCTAAGTGAACTAGTAACTTTACTTGATGGGCTAGCAACCTAAATTTTAAGTCTTAGAAGAGATAACACAAAAAAATATGAAAACATCATTTATATACTTAATTTAGGTTTCAGGGAGAAGGAAAGACTTAGATTCTTGGAGTCTGTTTAAAGTTTAGGCTCTTGGGAATGAGAAGAAGACAATCACAAAAGGATAACAGAGTGAGAACTGGCTAGAAGCCAAACTAGTAGGAATGGAGAGTTCGAATTGTCACGTAGATAATTTTCTCCTGGATAGATGGAGCCACCTAGAAGCTAGGAGACAAAAAGGCTTCTTTTAAATGACAGAAGGCTTTCAATGGCAGTCTGAGAAATTAGGACTTGATCTAATAGGAATCTAATTATGTTTTTTTGAATCTGCATGATAAAAAATGAAATATATAGTTATTAATGTAAATCACATAAGTTTGTGAGAATTAATATTATTGCACCCGAAGATGTGAGAGAGTAATAAGACTTTTTCATACCAAATACTTCAGTTCTGATTCATTATGTTGTTGCTGAGGAAAAAAAATTGCAGCCCTCTGAATTAGGAATAAACATAGCCAGGTTATTTTTTGGTTTTTGTTTGTTTTGGTTTTTGCTTTTGTTCAAATTTTGTTATAGTGAAAAATACATTCTCACACATAATGTAGGTTTCACTAAATTATCACAGAGCTACACCTGTGTAACTACCACCCAGGTCAAGAAATAGAATATTATCAGTGCCCCAGAATCATCCCTCATGCATCCTCCTAATCATCACCCATCGTCTTCCCATAAATAGCCATTGTTATAATTCTAACACTATAGTTTTGCTTTGCATATTTTTGAGCTCTAGATACATCATGTATGTATATTTTGTATCTAGCTTCTTTCAAAATTATGTGGGAAAGTCATTCTTGTTTCATGTAGGAATAGCTGTATACTCTTATATGAATATACCATAATTTATTTTTCTGTTGTTGAGAACTTGGGTTTCCAGTTTGAAGCTAAGCTATTGTAGCCTGGAACATCCTTGTACAAGGTTCTTGGTGCACATATACATGCATTTATGTTTGGTAAAGACACAGTGGTAGGATTGCTGCATATTTTCAACTTCAGTAGATAAAGCCAAATTGTTTTCTGTGGAGATTATAGCAGTTTGTCCTCCCATCAGAAGAGTATGTGACTTCTCACTGCTCTGCATTCTTGTCGACACTTGCTATTAGACAAATATAATTTTAGGTATTCTGGCGGGTACAAAGTAGTATTCTATAGTTTTAATTTGTGTTTCCTTGGCTACCACTGAGGTAACCCTACAAATTAGCAACCTTACAAATGTGTATTAACCATTTAGTTATTTTTTTCATGGGTAAATACCTATTCTGGTTTACTTTTTAATTTTTCTGTTCAGTTTTCTGCATTTTTAAAAATCAATTTGTAGGAACCTGTTATGGGTTACATTCTCTCCCACATTGTGTTCAGCCTTTTCTTCCTCTTATTAGTAATTTTAGATGAGGAGATAGATTTTTGTTGTTGTTGTTTTATTTTGTTTTTCTTAAAGACAGGGTCTCACTGTTTCCCAGGCTGGTTTCAAACTCCTGGCCTCAACTGATCCTCTTGCCTTAGCCTCTGAGGAGCTGAGATTGCAGGTATTTAATATACTAGAAGTTGGGTATAGCTTAGGTGACAGAACTAGAGAATACCTCTCATGTTACATTGACCTCCCTCCCTGGAGTAGACCTTTTTCATTTTCTGAGGCATTTGGGGGCACTGGGAATGATATTCATATATAGATTACTCCTGGATATTAACCCAGACTCCCTCCTCTACTCTTCCAAGATCATTAATTTTAGTAGGAATGGTTCCCTGCTAAAAAGCATTTGGCAGGAGTCATTTCAAGGAACTGAATACCCAGGGATCTAGGATGTGCATTTTCACTAGCAGTTAAAGATTTGCCTCAGCAACCCATGAAAAGCTCTCTATCACATCAGAGGGCTCCAAACCTGCAGGGGCCAAACTCTATATAAGACCAAGGGGTCATTGGTATAGAGGGTGTGCTTAGGACATTCCAACCCACAACCCAAAGAATGATACTCTATTTATTTAGGATTAAGATTATTTTGTGGAGTAGATCTTTTAGAATGATATCTAGAATAGCTAGAGCACTAATGAGCTAAATACATTCTAAGTGCAATGTGGTTTTTGGATCCTAACTGAGTAGGGAAGATTTCTAAGCCAAAGCAATCTGATCTTATATTTTTGTCTGCCCTAATGTGGAAACCACAGAATCTAGAGCCCTGGATCATTATAGTTGTTATTCTCAGGATGCAGCCTAATAGTTGGTGTCCTAGGTTCACATCTCAGTCCAGCTTTCCAGTCTGGCTGCAAATGTAAGCACTGATTTGTGAAAGGTATGAAACCATGTTGGCATATCTGGTGGAGCACCTGTTAATTGTTTTTATAGGCTGAGCGTCAAGCTATCAACACAACAGTCCAAGGATCAGCAGCTGATATTGTCAAAATAGCCACGGTTAACATTCAGAAGCAATTAGAGACCTTCCACTCAACCTTTAAATCCCATGGTCATCGAGAGGGTATGCTCCAAAGTGACCAAACAGGTTTGTTCATAGATGAGGCCTGTGCTGTAACATGGTGAGAATAATTGTATCAGAAATGTAAATGAGAAGTATTTTTTATTTTATTTCTCAACAGTTCTCAAATGTTTTGGTCTCATGTTATACTATTAGAAATTATTAAAGATTTCAAAGAGTTTTTGTTTTTGTGGGTAATATCTACTATATTTACCATATTATAAATTAAAACAGGGAATTTTAAAACATATTAGCATTTAAAGTAATAACTCATATTTTGATGTGTCATATTTTTATGAAAATACATCTTTTCAAAACTAAAGAACATTCTTGGTAAGTGGCTTTATTTTACAAATGTGTAAATCTCTTTAATGTTTGGCTTAAGAAAACACAGCTGGCTTTTTGTATCTACTTCTGTATTCAATCTGTGGTAATATCGCATGTCTTGTAACCTTCTTTGGGAAACTCTGTACAGTCTGGGTTGATACCTGTCTCAATTTTGAGAGACTCATGGGTTTCCCAGGATGTGGGAATTTCACTTCTGCACCAGGACAGTTGGCCACCTTGCTGCACGCTTATAAGAAAGTAAGACTGAAAAAGACAAATAACCTCATAGTGTTGTTATGAAAGTAATTTTGACTGCAGATTTTGGGATCCTCTCTGGTCTCCAGACCATACGTTACAAACATGTTCATTTTCCTCGTTATGACCTTCCGTGTTCTCTGGTCTTAGAATGTACTCTTGATCTCATTATCACATATGTTCCTTTGCTGATGTTTTTTCTTGTTCTTAATTTCATATTTCCCTGAGTTCTCTGTTTATTGCTTGGATAAATTATTTCTTGCACTAACAAGGACAGTGAAATTTTGTTTTTCTCTCTTGTGACATGTCCATATTTCTGCTTTAAATACCATTTCACTGTCATTTAGATTGTCAAACCATGACAGCAGATGTGTTTTATTATTTTGTTTTTTTAGACAGAGTCTCACTCTGTCACCCAGGCTGGAGTGCAGTGGCATGATCTCAGCTCACTGCAATCTCTGCCTCCCAAGTTCAAGGGATTTTCCTGCCTCAGCTTTCTGAGTAGCTGGGATTACAGGAGTGAACCACCACATCTAGCAAATTTCTTTAAAAATATTTTTAGTAGAGAGGGGGTTTCGCCATGTTGTCCAGGCTGTTCTAGAACTCCTGACCTCAAGTGATCTGCTTGCCTCCCAAAGTGTTGGAATTACAGACATGAGCCACACCCAGCCAGAAGGCGTGTTTTAAAATTTTCCTGGGAAGAAATTAAGATTTGGTGCATATAGAGGAAGAAAAAGCTGCTGGAGATGGGGCAGAAAAGTCGTGATCAGTTATTGAGAATGAGATTTGCTATTTCTCGAAGAGACATACATACAGGTTATAGAGAAGAATACAGCCCGTTATAGCATGTTCACTTATGTGCAAAAATACATAGATACAAAAGTTTATTAAATGAGAATGATTAATTTTGTCATCAGTCCCCCTCAAAGTATCTGAGGCCCCTCATTTATTTTGAATGTAGGACTGTATATATACACACATATACACATTTCTATTTATAGAGAGAATATATAAATAAAATTATATATCAAAAATATAAAAATTTTAATATATTTTATATAAATTATATATATTATATATACAATTATATATATATATAATAGAATATATAAAAAATAAAACACATCTGCTGTCATGGTTTGACAATCTAAACTTATTTATAAAACTTATTTGGGTAGTAATACTATGCTGTACGTTCTGGGGATTTAGAAATAAAAGTTATCAATCTATGTTTAAAATTTTAAGTCTATGTAAGAAAGGAGAGGAAGGTGTGATACCTGACTGAAATATTTGTATTAATTCCACACAGCAGAGTGATAAATGTCACAATAAGGATACAGACAATAACGACTTTAAGAGTCAGAGGAAGGTTATATGACTCTGTCACTGCGGAAGACCTCATGGTGTCATGGGAGCTTAAAGTAGTGCTAGGTCGGTGGGATGAAAGGAAGGGGAGCATGAGGAAGCAGAACACACGGGGAACAAGAGCATCATGGCATTCTGGGTCAGAAGCCAGGTAGCCAAGGGAAATCAAGAGGGCAAAGGCATGGTCATCAGAAAGCAGAAAAGCTAGAGCATCCAGACAGTCAATAGTATGAGCTAAGTGTGACTTCATGGGGCAGATCAGACTTCAGCCAAACTGGTGAACAGAGGTACCGCCTTTGCAGTCCTGGTGTGGAAGCAGCTTGCTCCAGCCTTGGGTGCTTGTGTTTGGCTACTGTGTGAGAACCGCCTCTGAGCAAACTGGCACTACATATAGTGACAGTTGAAGAACTCTCTCTCCCTCAGAGAGAAGCACCAGATATACTGAGGGAGTTGGTACTAATGCTGGGCCTGAAAGATAAATAGGGAATTTAGACAGCAGAAAGGAAGATAACTGCTGTGAGGTTTAAGCAAACAGGTAAAAGCAGTTCCAGTAAAGGTGTTTATGTTGAGCTTTATCTTTGTGTTAAGAAGAGCATAATCTGTACCACTAGGTCCAGCTAATGAGGAAATACTGACTAAGTCTAATATATATTCTGGAATTATGGCTACTGGAAGGTATGGATTATCTCCATAGAAAAACTTACATAGACTCTTACATATAATGCAAGGGGTTTACATCTCTCTGAAGTTCACATTGGGAGCCCAGGTTTAGAATTACTTGTATCGAGTGTACGGTCCAATTGGGGAAGCACCAGTTCTATCACAGTGACACTTCTGGCCATACAAAGACATGAGGGAGTTTCCCCCTTAAGAAGCACTGCCTGACAATACTAATTTGCTTTTCTGGGGCAGGAATCAGGCCCCATACCTCCCTGGTGTTATTACACTCAGATGGTGGTAGGGGGACTCCATGGAATGAGAAAATATTGTTCATGAGAAATAAGTCAGACTAGAGTTTGGAGCAGAGTTCTTTACACCCCATTTACTGACTTCTTTGTGAGACTTTCTCTTTCTGGGAGGAAGTTGATGAGTTTATGCCAGATAGGTAGGGTAGGTAGCAACCAGGAAGTAGTTATGTTCCTGATAGTTCTTAGTCTTGTGTGTTTTGATCTCTTGATTAAAATTCCTCAGAGTTACTCAGAATCTCTAATAATATTCTATGACACAGCAACATGCTGATCAGTATTGCTACTTTTTTGTGAAGTAGGATTGTTACCAAAGAGAAAACTGCAAGGGATGTTCTGCCCAATCAGAGGAGGCTTCTTCATCCTTCAACTCCATGATGAACTCTTATATGAAGTGGCAGAAGAAGATGTTGTTCAGGTATTTTTGCAATGCTTGTGTCCATTCCATAGGAAGCCAAGACACTGTATTGTAGGGCTGACAGCTTTTTTCCCTATGCATCAGGATTTTGGAATTCTACCCTAGCCCCAGGATGACTGTGTAAATATTGAGTCCTTATGGGTAGAAAAGGAGCTAAGAGTGTTCCATTTTGTACCAATTCTTAATAAGTTAAGAAATTGCCAATGCAGAGATGTTTTTGTCTTAGAGAAATTGAACAAAAATTTGCAGTTTTTCCCTGAGGGTTTCCAAGCTCCAAGCATTCTAGCAAAAAGTGTCAGAAACTCCTGCTCATCAGTGAAGAAGAGTTTGAGATGTCTGGTTTTTTATTTTCTGATCTAGCATTTCAAGCACCACTGGGTGAAGAGCTCCAGTCTGGTTTATAACGTACTCAGTGGGTGGCTTGGGAAACATTCTTTGACTGGACATAGAGTTCGTTAACCTCGTTTTTTTTTTGTTGTTTTTTTGTTTTTTTGTTTTTAGGTAGCTCAGATTGTCAAGAATGAAATGGAAAGTGCTGTAAAACTGTCTGTAAAATTGAAAGTGAAAGTGAAAATAGGTGCCAGCTGGGGAGAGCTGAAGGACTTTGATATTTAACTGTGCTGTTGATGAAGTCCTCCCATGGAAGCTTGTGCGATATAGTCACCTGGAAGGAAGAGAGATGACCCTTTCACCTACCTCAGGAAAACAAACTTTCAAGCCTTGATAGACTTAGCCTAGTAATTTTATAGTGAGAGTTTCAAACTATGTATCAGGGTCTATTCTTCGCAGCATCAAAAACTTTTGGGGGTTAGAGGAAGTGAAATACCAAGTATAATAGTTACACTTTCAAAGAGCATCTGTGAATTTGCCTTTTGTAATTTATCGTGGCTTTAAACATATTCAGAACAGATGCTTGAAATATGCACTTGGCACTTTGGCTCCACATCTGTCTGGGTCAACCATGAAGAAAATGAAGCTGCTGCCTCTGCTGACCCTGACAGGAGCCATAGGTGGATAAAGATTTGGTTTCACCCTGGTGGTGGCAGGCATTGTGTGTGACTTCTTTTCCCTCTACTATCAATTTTAGAGTACTGAAATCATATTTTAAAATAGTATTGGCTAATAAATGATGAATTCTATAAAGTGGTAAGACTTGGTATGGCTGGAGTCTAGGAATGAATATGCATGTAATGTTTCTTACTGCTTTTCCTTCCCTAATTCATACAATGAATGTATTTGGAATACTTACATCTTATCAAATAAACTAAACCTCTTCAAGAGGTATCCTGTTCTGTAAGATCAGATGTTTTTATTGCAGGTAAATATAATACTCCCAGAGATGGAAAATACCCGCTTCTCACTCCCTTAGTGCCTCTTTCTATTTGTGGCATGGTAAGAAAACCCATGCTGAAAAGATTATATTTTGTAATCTCAATCAGAGGTATGGAGCTGATCTTTTTGCTGTTGAAATAAAAAGAATTAACGAGAAACTTTATATCAACAGTTGTTTTGTTTAAAATGGTAGTTGGGCTAAGATTGTCAGAAACTCACTCCATAGCTTGTTCAGCAACATCTGAGTACAGAGGAAGCACTGATTATATTCTTAATCAGTTATCAGAACAGCTCTTTTATGTTTATTAATAATAAAGAAAAAAGATATTTGCTTTATAATGTGTAATGCATTATCAGTAGTTGGGTATTAATGCATAAGAGACTTAGACATAATTTTTTGGGGGCATCAAGGAGGGCAGAGATGGCAGCAGTAAGAGGAAAGATACCATTCTTTCTTGAGTTTTTTCCATATTTACCTACAGTGTTTCTTAACTTTCTTAAAAGCTGAAGTGCTATCAGTATTCTGGTAGACTTGAAAGATCTGGCACAAGAGAAAGCTCAATCTGTTTACCTGTGAGTGTTCTTCAAACATGAGAGCAAACGAAAGTCACTTCTGCCTCATTCTCTGCAGCCGTGGGCCAGTGTGTGTAGTCACATGCAATTTCTCATTGTTTGACCTGTCAACTGGACCTGAAACAGGCCCTCCCCACTTTGCATGATTCAGATATGCACAAATCCCAGTTACTATCGTTTACTTAATAACACAAGCCCCCCTGCAACACAATTCAAATTTCAGTTACCGGTGGATATTGACTATGAGTAATTGCATGAGAGTCAAACTTCATGAATATTTCTTCAAATCACAACCACCGTGTAAATAAGAAATGCACATGTGTTAGGCAGAATAATGCCCCCCACCCCAAAGTTCACATCTTAATTCCTAAAACCTATGAACTGTTATATTCCATAGCAAAAGGGACCTTGTTGATGTGATTAAGTTAGAGATCTTGAGGTGGGTGATTATCCTGGATTATCTGAATGGTTCCATTGTAATCACCAGGGTCTTTATAAGAGGGAAGAAGATGGTCAGAGTCAGGGAAGATGTGACAAAGAAACAGAGAAATATTTGAAGATGCTACACTGCTGGCTTTACAGTTGGAAGACGGGGCCAGGAGCCAAGGAATGCAGGAACCCTCTAAAAATTGGAAAAGGTAAGGAAATGGATTCTCTCCTAGAACCTTCTGAAGGGGTGTATCCCTGCCAACACCTTGACTAGCCCAGTTAAGACAATTTTGGACTTCAGCTCTTTAGAACTGTAAGACAATAATTTGCATTGTTTTGAGCTAGTAAGTTTGTGGAATTGGTTATAGCAGTAATAGGAAATTCATACATGCATCATGATGGGACCAAATACATCATTCTTTCAAAGGCTGTCTATGATGGGTCACTTCACATCTGTTATTCACTTTACTTACAGATGGCAAAGTATAGTTGTGTTGATTGCTTGTCTCTCAATGGTAAATCCGCATTCTATAAAAATGGATAATCAAAAGTGGAAATTGGCTAATAAAGATGAAAGTGTAGCAGAGGAATAAAAATGATAACACTGGAAGTGAAAGTCAAATTGAACATAAATGGAATTACAGAAGAACTAGCGGCCTGGGCATGCTGACACTGCTGCTGTTTGAGAGGCTGTAGATTGTGACCTGAGAAACAGTGAAGGCTCAGTTAACACAAATGAGGACAATGGTTGTGAGAAAAGGATAAAGATGTCCCAGAAGAAGCGATGCCAACAAAAAACTTCATTATTTTTTAATCTATAACTTACTGTAATTCCATCAAAGTCTCATCAGGATTTTATATGTTTTTAGATAGATGATATCTGAAGATTCACTGGGTAGAAGAATAGTTTTTAAATTATTTTTTTAATACACTGGTAGAAGAAAAGTCAACATCTATTTAATTTGTTTAAATGAGCATGCCCTTTAATTCAGCTATTTCACTTAACATCTTACCTAGAAAAACACTTGCACATATGCAAAATACATTTGCAAATGTTCACTGCAGTCTTGTTTGTAAAATCAAGAGACTGGAAAATAAATACTAGTAAAAGTGTGGTAACAAGTTATGGCTGACACCAAGGAATAATATAAGTGAGTGAAAAAGAATGAATCATAGGTACCAACATAGAACAATCGGAGACATAGTGGAGACATGAATAACCACGTTGCAGCATAGAAAAATATTTAGAAGGAAACACAGCAAACTAATAACTCGTTAATTTAGATGAGTGGGAGGTAGCCAAGAGAGATACTTAATATTGTCCAAATTTATATGACTATTACACTATGCATTTATGTATCATTTGTGCAATTAAAACACATTTTTTAAAAAGTTTAAATAATGGTTGGATTTCCAAACCAGCTCACAAGACCATTCTTTAAGCCATAAAGTGGTTGTCCATTTGCTATGAAAGGTAGACAACAATGCCATCGAACTACAAGTAATGCGACAAGATTGGAAATATTTTATTTTTATAATTTTATTTTGAGATAATTCAAAACCCAGGTAAAAGCTTGAAGAATAGTACAAAGAATCCCAATCAAGTCAGAAATCACCACTCAAGTTTTGTTAACTGCTCCACTTATGTCATTTATAAGCATCCAATCCAAGATTGAGTTGCACCTAGTTGCCATGACTGTCTAGTCTACTTAAATCCGGAACATACATCTTTCCTTGAGTTTCATGACACTGAAAATTTGTAATAGAGGGCAGATATTTTATAGAATGTCATTCAATTTGGTTTTGCTTATTGTCTTATGATTAGACCTTGATTGTGTGTTTTTGGCAGGAATATTGCAGAGGTGATGCTGGGTTCTCACTGCATCCTGTCAGGTGGCACATGATGTTGATTTGTTCCCTTGCTGGTGGTGGGAACTTTGATCACTTGATTAAGATGGTGTCTGCCATGTTTCTCTAGTTGTTTTTCTTTATGATTAGGAAATATTTTGTGTGTGAAGACACTTTGAGACTATGAAAATATCCTCTTCCTCTATCCCACTTTACCTCACTAGTGTCAGCATCCACTGGTATTTGTTGCCCAAGTCATTCCGATAATGGTTGCCAAATGGTAATTTTAAAATTCCATCTATATTTCTTTATTTGTTGACATTCTATTGTAAGGAAGAGTTTTCACTTTCCCCTCTTATTTATATCAATGTGGGTATAAGTTACTGTTATGACTTTTAATGCTTTTTCCTTTCTATTATTGTTATAATTTTTTTGTAGAGACAGGGTCTTACTATGTTGCCCAGGCTGGTCTTGAACTCCTGGCCTCAAGCAATCCTCCTACCTTGGCCTCCCAAAGTGCTGGGATTACAGGAATGAGCCATCAAGCCACCTGGTCTTGATGCTCAAATTATACCTGATTTGTCCTGTGTAGGCTTTCAGCTAGCTGCTGTGTCCTTTTGACATGTCCTTGTTATTCTTTGAATACTTTATTTTCTGAACAAAAATGTTCTAGCCTTGAAACTAGACTTTATTTTTTTATTGTAGTTGGGCTCTGGAGTACATGTGCACATCCTGCATTCTGCAGTATTGTTGCATAGGTACATACATGCCAGGGTGGTTTGCTGTCTCCATCCATCCCTCTCTGTCGCCCCCACTCCCCACCGCCACTGTCACCTACATCAGGTATTTCTCAGTGTTATCCCTCCCCATCCTTTCCGCCCCCCACCCCCACTGTCACCTACATCAGGTATTTCTCCCAGTGTTATCCCTCCCCATCCTTCCCGCCCCCCACCCCCGCTGTTCCCCCCTTTCCTCCCTTCCACCTAGCCCTGTGAGTGTTATTCCCTTCCCTGTGCCCAGGTGTTCTCATTGTTCATCACCCGCCTATGAGTGAAAACATGCAGTGTTTGGTTTTCTGTTCTTGCGTCAGTTTGCTGAGAATGATGGTTTCTAGGTTCACCCATTTCTCTACAAAGGACATTGTTTTTAATGTCCTTTGAACTCATTGTTTTTAACGGCTGCATAGTATTCCATGGTGTATATGTGCCACATTTTTTTTGTCCAGTCTATCATCAATGGGCATTTGGGTTGGTTCCAGGTCTTTGCTATCGTAAACAGTGCTGCAGTGAACATATGTGTGCACGTGCCTTTATGATAGAAAGATTTATAATCCTCTGGGTGTATACCCAGTAATGGGATTGATGGGTCAAATGGAATTTCTATTTCTAAATCCTTGAGGAATCATCACACTGTCTTCCACAATGGTTGAACTAATTTACACTCCCACCAACAGTGTAAAAGTGTTCCTTTTTCTCCACATCCTCTCCAGCATCTGTTGTCTCCAGATATTTTAAAGATTGCCATTCTAACTGGCTTGAGATGGTATCTCAATGTGGTTTTGATTTGCATTTCTCTAATGACCCATGATGGTAAGCATTTTTTCATGTTTGTTGGCCACATATTTTTCTTCTTTTGAAAAGTGTCTGTTCATATCCTTCGCCTACTTTTGAATGGGTTTGATGTTTTCTTGTTTAGTTCTTTGTAGATTCTGGATATTAGCCCTTTGTCTGATGGATAGACTGCGAACATTTTTTCCCATTCTGTTGGTTGCACGTTTACTCTAATGATTCTTTCTTTTGCTGTGCAGAAGCTTTTAAGTTTAATTAGGCCTCATTTGTCTATTCTGGCTTTTGTTGCCATTGCCTTTGGTGTTTTAGTCATGAAGTCCCTGCCTGTGCCTATGTCCTGAAAGATTTTGCCTAGGTTTTCTTCTAGGGTTTTTATGGTGGTAGGTCTTATGTTTAAATCTTTAATTCATCTGGAGTTAATTTTAGTGTAAGGTGTCAGGAAGGGTTCCGAAACTAGACATTTCTTCAGAGAGCTCCAGTTCCTTTTAGTAGAGAACAGTAATTAGAAATAAATATCCAGGCACTAGCTGTGCTCATTGCTCCAGGGGGTAAGGGGCTTGCTCTCTGTCCTCTAGATGTGCAGATTTAAGAAATATATATATATTACACAGGCACACACCTTTATATCACATATGTAAATTATATAGTGATACCCATACATATTTGTATACATTATATATACACACTTTGTATTTATGTAAAAATTTACACTGATAGTTCCAATTCTAATCTAAGACTACAGGGATTATTCTAGCTTTCCCTTTTAATTTTTCCATTCTTTGTTCTCCATCAGTGAGAAACCTGGTTCCCATAGTCTCAATATGCTTATTAATTGCTCAATGTCCTGTATGTAGCCAACCTCCTGACCCCACTGGGCTGCCTTCTGCCCTGCTCCAATGCCAACATCACATGCCATCACTGACCATTGAAGAGTTGACCCTGCCACTTCACTCCAGGGCTGTCTCCTCCCTCTACTCCAGTGCAGTCTTTGTATGGAGCTGCCATCACCAGCCTTTGTGAGTGTGGCTGACTTTTGGAGTGAATGAATGAAAGGAAAGACAGAAGAAAGGAAGGGAGGAGAAGAAAGGGAAGTAGGGAACAGAGGGAGAGAGGGGGTGAGGAAGAAACAGGAAGGAAGGGAAGGAGGAAGAAAGGAAGTCCAATCAGTATTTCAAATATTGAATGCAGGTATCTGAAGCCTAAGTTATTGTAATTCAAAAATAATAAGGTAAATGTATATTTGTAATCAACACGTTTTTTTAGCCTTGAGCTTGTTTGCTGTTTTTTCAATTTTTATATGGAACCAAAATTAGGAGAAATATTATGGTGGAGGGGGAAATTTTCCTGCGATTAAATTAGACAGGATTTAGAAGAAAGCCAGTTGTTTACAGCCAGAGTCTACATAAATATGAGGAAAGTGTCTGAAGAGGAATTAACTATGCTGATGAAAGCCAGAGGTGCAGGAGACAACACTCTCCAGAGAACTGTTGGAGGTCTTGAGTTAATGAATGTTTATCATAACTACTAGGAGATGAAATAAGCCCATAGTAGCTTAATTTTTCTTCCTGGCTCTTCAGCCAGGAAGCTGGAGCTGAAAAGAAGTGAGGAAGTAAGGTCTGAATGTTGAGTTTGTAGGTACATCTTATTCCCCTTGATTTCTTTTGCTGCATTATTACCAAATTATTTTTACTTGTAATTCACTGAAAGTGGATTCAATCAACACCATCAAAGGTTGTCTTTCAAGTCTTTCCATAAAAAGTAACACATTTCCTCAATTTGATGGAGATTTTGAATGGCTACTGGGTTAATAAATGCTAGTGAAATGTATGAGTTTTGGGAAGTTGTATTTGATAGATTTGCTATACATTGCTCTCCCGCCCCCTTCCTGCCTTTTTAAAACAATTACACTTTGCAAAACCATAGTTCATAGTGTTATAAATGTGTCTTACCTCTGTCCATATGTAATCTTGGCAAAAATTATTAGTGCATGACATAAGAGAGCATCTATGTACAAACGTATACAATTTTTTCTGTAATCCCAGCTACTCTGGGAGGCTGAGGTAGGAGAATTGCTTGAACTGGGACCAGGGAGGCGAAAGTTGTACAGTGAGCCGAGATCATGCCCATTGCATTCCAGCCTGGGCTACAGAGTGAGACTTCATCTCAAAAAAAGAAAATGAGGAGAAGAGCTACATTAAAAAAATGAATGAAAACAGTCATCTATGAAAGGTGGGTGGAAAGGCATGCAAGGTATGGGTATAGGAGTCAGACTTCTCTGACTATTCCTGTTGATATAGTTCTGACTTTTGAATCACAGAAATGCTTTATATATTAAAAATATAAAATACAGGCAAACACAAAATGTTTTGCCTAACCTAAAACATAAGTGTATTTTAATTGTCAATGAGCCAGGGGTCAAGGCCTTTTGAGCATGAGTCTGTTGATTGGAATTTACTATGGCTTTTTTAAACCATAACCACAATACATTGTCTTAAGAAATCCAGTTTCTGTTTTGTAATGTGAAGTTAGAAATTAAACATAATCATTGGCTGGGTGCAATGGCTCACATCTGTAATCCCAGCACTTTGGGAGGCCAAGGCAGGTGGATCACACAAAGTCAGGACTTTGAGACCAGCCTGGCCAACATGGTAAAACCCCATCTCTACTAAAAATATAAAAATTAGCCAGGCGCAGTGGCATGCACCTATACTCCTACCTACTTGGGAGGCTGAGGCACAAGAATTACTTGAACCTGGGAGGCAGAGGTTGCAATGAGCCAAGATTGTGCTACTGCACTCCAGCATGGGCCACAGAATGAGACTACTAAAAAAAAAAAGATAGATAATCACAAAATAAACTTTGAGCAGTTTCCTTTTGTTTTCTTCCCCGTCCAGATTCCTGTAACTTTTTCTCAGAGCTTTCAGTTATCTCACTCATTTTTGTTCGTTTTTAAGACACGGAGTCTCTTGCTGTCACCATGGCTGAAGTATGGTGGCGTGATCATAGCTCACTATAACCCAGAACTCCTGGGCTGAAGTGATTCTCTTGCCTCAGCCTCTCTGAGTAGCTGGGACTATCGACATGCACCACCACACACAACTACTTTTTAATTTTTTTGGGTAGAGACAGATTCTTATTCTGTTGCCCAGGCTGGTCTCAAACTCCTGGCCTCAGGTGATCCTTCTGCCTCAGCCTAATTTTCTCAGAAGCAAACTGGCATGAACAAGTTTGGGACCACAACTAACTCTTGAAGGGCATCCAACTTGAACTGTGAGAGAAGTAAACAAGATCACTAACCACAAGCATTCAGCATACTAACAGTGCCAAGGGTCTACATGTTTTAGGGAGGGGACAGGAATAGTTAGGTAATTTGGCAAATGACTCACATAATGTTTATGGGAGAATTTACTAGAAATAATAGATAATGTTATTAAAGATTTATTCAGACACCAAACATTCAAAAGACTATCAGCCCTGAGGTGAGTATTGTTTTCTCCATTTTACAAATGAGAAAATGCAATCTTAAGAGATGTTAAGTACTTAATCAAGGTTGTACAATTACTAAGAGATGAGGCTGAAAGTCGAACTAAGGCAGTCTGACCCTAGACCCCACAATCAGCCGCTGTGTAATAAATGAGACTTATTTTTAAGGCCATGATAGACGACTGGTGAGACCTGCTTTGAGGTTCCTCCCAGCCGCATTCTTGGGCACAGACCTTTGAGCCTGTTATCACCCAAGTATTATACGTGTTTGCAAGAAAAGAAAATTGACACTGTGTAGACATTTCCCCTATGCTTACTACTTAGTGTTTTTTACTGAAACACATTTCCTGCTAAGCCCCCTTCATTCTGAAGAGAATTTCAGTTGTACCCACCTCCATCACTTGCTTATCAAAATGCATGCATCTGCTCTTAACTGACAAAATTAATTATTTCTGATCAGGTTCTTGCCAAAGAATATGACCTCAAACACTATCCAATTCTTATCAAAATCTGTTATAAAAAGTAGTATTCAGAGAGCATTCTAGTCTAACATAAACCTTTAAAATTCCTTATTGCAGGCCAGGCGTGGTGGCTCACACCTATAATCCCAGCACTTTGGGAGGCTAAGGAGGATGGATCACGAGGTCAAGAGAGCAAGACCATCCTGGTCAACAAGGTGAAAACCCATCTCTACTAAAAATACAAAATTAGCTCGGCATGGTGGTATGCGCCTGTAGTCCCAGCTACTCGGGAAGCTGAGACATGAGAATTGCTTGAACCCAGAAGGTGGAGGTTGCGGTGAGCCGAGATCATGCCATTGCACTCCAATCTGGGTAACAACAGCGAAACTCCATCTCAAAAAAAAAAAAAATTAATTAATTAAAATTTCTTATTGCATTTATTATAGATTTTTACCAACAATGGTAAGTTCCAAAGTATCCTTTTAGGACTAAATTTCTCTTACACAGGGAAATGCAATGTTTTTCCTAAACTTGTTTTGTTTTTTTATCTTACGAATATTAAGACTAATCAAGCTTCCCTCTTTCTTTTAGTTGTTAGAAAACCCAGATCAAAGTTGACACCAGCATTGGATATAACGTAATGGCATGCATGTTTGTGTCCCAACCTTTGCTTGAGTTTTATATCATGATCTTATCAATTTTCTGATATCCCATTCTCCTTTGCTGTTCTTTTATATATTGTAAAATATATTTATGTTTTAAACCAACTCTAATCTTTTTAAAAGAAAGTTGGGGAAAATAAAGGTAACTAGAACATTTAGATGGTTATTTTAAAGCAATTCTCTTCTTACTTCTTCTCTATTCCCACCAGTACGAACCTAGTCAAGGAAAACAGACAAGATGTTTTGTCAGGGTATCTCTGATGCTCAGGATTCTATATCTATTTTTTCTCCCTATTTCCACAAACACAACAGAACTTACCAGATAGACAATATGAAGATCATTCTCTAACACAAAGCCCTTCATTGCTCTTTGCAGGTCAGCAAAAATATCTAAAGTATCAGCTGGAGAAAGTGAAGAAGAAAGAGTAGCCGAACCAAGATGTGTTGGATGATACACCTTTCCTGGTTTAGGGTTAAGGTGAAGAAAGAGAGGAACATTCAAAATAAAACAAAACAAAATACTGTCTTTCTGTATTCCAAAGCTAACCCTCTCGGCGGATAAATTTTACAAATAATACCTTATCCAGTGCATGAAAATGTATGAGCAGGTTCTATAATGATTGTCTGAAGTTGCTACATACGATACTGATTTACTAAAAATGACTTGATACACTGCTCAAAAATCAATTTCCTGTTATACTACAGGAAAAGACAATTTCCATTTACTGAGCAGTCATACACTCACTAAAGATGAAAAAGTGAGTAAATTGCAACTGAGAAGTCACACTTACCTTCTGTTCCATCACTGGCTTCTGTAATGTGGATGAATTCATTTTCTAGCAGCCACATGACACAGGCCTCAATTGCTCCAACCTGAGCACACTCTTGATTTCTCTGAATTCCTTGCTTTCCTTCTTTCATACTTGCAGCCAAAAACGTACAGTCAGCATAAGTATGCATATCTTGTGATGTACTTGCCACTCCACCAACTATTATCTGAAAGAAAATATTTGAAAATTTCTGTAACTTTTTACTAAAACATGCAAGCCCTCTGGATATAAAAGATAGAAAGCAATTCCATTCTCATTTTTAAAAATTTTCTTAGAATGGTCCAGGCATGGTGGTGGCTTGCGCCTGTAATCCCAGCACTTTGGGAGACCAAGACAGGCAGATCACAAGGTCAGGAGTTCAAGATGAGTTTGGTCAACATGGTGAAACCCCGTTACTGCTAAAAATACAAAAATTAGCCAGGCGTGGTGGCGTGCACCTGTAATCCCAGTACTCAGGAGGCTGAGGCAGGAGATTCACTTGAACCTGGGAAGTGGAGGTTGTGGTGAGCCAAGCTCATGCCACTGCACTCCAGCCTGGGGGCAACAGTGTGAGATTCCATCTCAAAAAAAAAAAAAAAGTTCTTAGAATCTTAAGGTAGAGATTATTTATTAACTCTTCCATCATCACTCACTGTTACTGCTAACCCTTAATGACAACAGAAAAGTTCTCCTTAAAGTAGATAAAATATTTTCTTATAAAGAAAAATAAATGAATCATTAAATCCATCTGAAACTCTAGATGACAGAGCGAGACTCGGTCTCAAAAAAAAAAAAAAAAAAAAAAAAACAAACAAAGCACCAGGCGCCATGGCTCACACCAGTAATCCTGGAACTTTGACCAAGGCAGGGAGATCACCTAAGGTCAGGAGTTCAAGACCAGTCTGGCCAACATGGTCAAATCCAGTCTCTACTAAAAGTACAAAATTTAGCAGGGGATGGTAATCTGCCCCTGTAATGCCAGCTACTTGGGAGGGTGAGGCAGGAAAATTGCTTGAACCTGGGAGGAGGAGGTTGCAGTGAGCTGAGATCATGCCATTGCACTCCAGCCTGGGCAACAGAGTGAGACTCTATCTCAAAAAAACAAAAAACAACGATAACAACAAACCCAGAAAGCTAAGATGTTCATTTACTAATTATTTTACCACTTTAATTTAGGTATAAAAGAGCAAATGGTAATTTAGCAAACTCTTTTACCTCCAGAATAGCTCGTACCATGCTGGCAGTTACATCTCCTTCTCGTCTTTGCAGACAGCTGCAAACAGGCTTTAGAGATTCCTGAAGGAGAGCTATGCCTTTTGATTTCTCAGAGTTCTTACAAATTAAGATACTCTCACCTATAACCGAAAGACATGCATTTGCAAAATCCCAATATAGTTCTGTAAGATATGAGTTAAAGAGATTTTAAGTTGCCTTACTTATTTAAAAGGAGACAAGAGATGATGGTGGTTGTTATAGTAATAAAATTATGGCTATTTTTATTTTCTGAACTTTGGACAGAAGGGGATCAGAATATGCTACTCCAAAATATGCCACTTTAGCCCAACGATTATTTTGAGCTGAAGGCCACGGGGAAGCAGCAAACACAGAAAGAACTCTTTGTCCTCTCCCTATCTGCCTAAAAGCAAGAATGAATTTTTCTCTTTGTGATGTTGTTTCCCCTTCCCTCTCCCATACAGGACAACAACCCTTATCACTGGAGACAGGTCGGCACTGAGATGGGTCTGCACAGACAAATTCTACTGAAATAACTTCTAACTTCCATTAGTTCCCCCCATATATTTATCTTCTCATAATTTGTTGCCCCTAGAAGCCCAGATACCTTTTCCTTTTTGTCACTTCTCAGTTTTTACTGCCCATTGTTAAAATGTTACATAAGACCCCAGGTTTAACAGTTTCTCAGGTCTTCAATCCTTTTCTCTAATGGCTTCCATGCACATAAAAATTAAAATATTAGCATCAAATAAAGTGTATATGCCTTTTCTCCTGTTCATCTGTCTGTTCATTTAATTAGCAAGTCCCAACTGCAGAACCTAAGAAAGTAGAGAAGTCTTTTTCTTCCCCTACAGGATTAACCATTATTATTGAATAGTGAAGTAATTAATAGAGGTACTTTCAAACCTGTAAAGGAAAATGCAAATGTGAAGTTTTACTAGTTATAGATGATAAAATAAATTCAAAAATACTTGTAGATACCTAAAATTTATTACAACATTTACTAATCTAAATGCTTTATTGTGACAATTGAGTGAACAAACATACATGAAAGCACTTACATGTTAAAACCATATGCAACTATATGATTTGAACAAATACAAAGTATTATTGCAACAATTATGACAAGAATCATAAATTTTCTTCAAAAATGAATCCAATACTGTGGAAAAGAAAACAGGCAAGAGGTTATAAAAAGCCAAATGAAGAATGCTTTTTAAAATAAAACTGGCACAGTGTTGAATGTACTTACTACCACAGGCAAAGAGAAGGTATAGATCATGCTTTCCAACTGCCAAACTGAGAATCAAGATATGATAAAGTAAAGGGACTATAAATTCGATGATAACTGGCTATTTGTCCCAGAAATGATTATAAAGATAGGTACCACTGAAAAAGTGAAACAACATGTCAGCAAGATGGTGGAATAGGAGGCTTTAGTACCCGCCTCCCCAGAAGCTTGAACTAGCTTCCATCTGCAGACAAGAACACCTTTGTGAAAACAAAACTGCCTGGCGCAGTGGCTCACGCCTGTAATCCCAGCACTGTGGGAGGCCGAGGCGGGTGCATCACCTGAGAGCAGGAGTTTGAGACCAGCCTGGCCAACATGGTGAAACCCCATCTCTACTAAAAATACAAAAATTAGCTGGGCATGGTGGCAGGTGCCTGTAATCCCAGCTACTCAGGAGGCTGAGGCAGGAGAATAGCTCGGACGTGGGAGGTAGAAGATGCCGTGAGCCTAGACTGGGCTGCTGCACTCTATCCAGTCTGGTCAACAAGAGCAAAACTCTGTCTCAAAAAAAAAAAAAAAAAAAAAAAGGCCAGGCACAGTGGCTCACACCTGTAATCCCAGCACTGCCAGAGGCTTAAGGTGGGTGGATCACCTGAGATCAGGAGTTCAAGACCAGCCAGACCAACATGGTGAAACCCTGTCTCTACTAAAAATATAAAATAAGCCAGGTATAGTGGCACATGCCTGTAATCCCAGCTACTTGGGAGGACAAAGCAGGAGTAAGGCAGAGGCTTAACTCGGGAGGCAGAGGATGCAGTGAGCCGAGATTGTGCCATGCACTCCACCTGGGCAGCAAGAGCGAAAATTCATGTCAAAAAACAAAGAAATACCAACCAACCCCCCCCGCACCCAAAACTTGGGAATAAGTCCCAAACTTCTGCATGGACCACAAAACCAAATAAAAATTTCAAGATATATAAGAGAAACTATCTCACTTTGACCGCATCACTCCTTCCACTCCCCCAAGTCAGCATAGTACCACACAGAAAGCAATCCCCAGGGCTCCCAGCTTCCACAGTGGAAAAAGAGAACCAGAGGCAAACATATAGCTTCCCTAGCATTCCAAGAGGCTTCACAAGAAGCCAACTCCAGTCTCACCTCACAGAGAACACACTGGGTAACAGCACAGCTAGATCACCTAGGACCAGGCAGAAGCAAAGCAAGGAAGCAGAGCTCATGGCAGCCAGCATGCCGACCTTGGTGGGGCTCTGTGTACCTGCCAGCAGTGGTGCCCAATCAGAGATACCAGCCAACAGCATAGCCCACCACAAAGACGAGCTTATCACTTCCAGAAGTGGTAGGAAATTCCACCTGGCTTGAATCTTTAGATAGCCAGCTTACAGGACCAGCATCAAAGCTCATGAGGACCCTGCCCAGGAAGGGAGCTGACCATCACAGTGCATTTTGGAAAGAAACAGGGGATAATTATGCCAAACCTGGGATTTTAAACAGTGCTCAGCTCAGCCTCAAGGACCTGCCCCAGGTGGAAGATGCCTATCATAGTGTATTTTTGCAAATTGCAGGGACTAGCTCTGCCACAGATGGAATAGCCCTCAGTTCAGTCTCAAAGCCCATTCTAAGCCCCCACCTAGGCAGGGAGGCAAACCTCAGATGTGCATTTATTATTTTATTTTTAGAGATGGGATCTCTGTCACTCATATTGGAGTGTGGTGGGATGATCATAACTCACTGAAGCCTCAAACTCCTGGGCTCAAGCGATCTTCCCATCTCAGCCTCCCAAGTCTCTGGGCTTATAGGCATGAGCCACCATCTCAATCATGCATTTCCCCTGAGCATAGCAGCTGGTCCACTGGTCCAGAACAGCAATTCCACCTAACCTCACAGTCCAGCCTGCAACACTGTCCAAGTGCAGATCTCAAATAGGGGTACCACCTGGCCAAGGAATACACCCTAGGGCCCAGCCCAAAGGTGACTGCAGTACCCAACCAGCAACTCTGCCTGACTGCAGAGCACAGCTAGTGGGTTCAACTGAAAGCAGGGCCCAGGCAGCAGTCCCACCCAAACTCAGAGCAAACGCAGCAGCCCAACTATCTACAGAATCCAAATACAAGCTTTGCCTGCTCAAAGCTGCTACCAGTTGGCCTATGCAGAATCAAAGGCTAGATAAGTGAAGTTCTATCCCTGCCAAAGAACACCTATTAAAGCCAAAGAGGTAGCTGTCCCCTCAAATGTGCAGATACCAACACAAGAACACAGATTACAAGGAACCAGGAAACCAAGATACCTTGAAGAAACCAGCAGAGCTCCAACAATGAACCCTAAAGAAATGAAGATCTGTGAAATGAGAAAGAATCCAGAATAATTATTCTCTTTAAAAAGTCCAATGAACTACAAGGATATATGGATAAAAAATTAAATAAAATTTGGAAAACAATACACAAAATAAGATCAACAAAGAAATAGAAACAATAAAAACAAAAGAGAAATCCTAGAGATGAAGAATACAATGACTGAACTGAAAAATGCAATCAAAGCTTAGTACAGGCTCAATCAAGCAGAAGAAAGACTAGGGAGCTGGAGGATAGTGATGGTCAAAGAGTACAGTGCTTCAGTTAGGAAGAATAAATGGTAAGTATTTGGGGGTGATATGTTAATTGACTTAATTCCATCATTCTGCATTGTATACATACAGCATCACTCTGGACCTCATAAATATATACAATTATAATTTGTCAATACCCCATTTAAAAAATATCACATGAATGTAACACCTGGCTCTTGCAATGGTTACAAAACAGCCCAGCTTAAGAAAAACACACACAGACATATAAGTTACCTAGAAAATGAATCAACTAGCATTAGCAGCAATACAACAAGCCACTTTGGGCTGCTTAAAGGTCTTCCAGGCTTTGATTCTTCAACAAAACAAACTAATCTTTTTCTGAACAGGCAAGGTTTATGAAATGTCCAAATGAACCTCAGTATATATGTACAGGTTCCTGCAACCACCTGTCTGGGAGGTCTCATCCACATCACAAAAGGGAATTGAAATTATTTAGAATCAAACAATTTATTACTGACTGCTGAACTTGCAAATTGCTATTCTGGCACCAAGTACCATCATCCTACAATGGAAGCTTCTAAGTAGTCTATGGGAAGACTGAAGTGTTATCTAAATAAAACACCATGTGCCATCCAGGATATATTAATATCACTTATAAAGGGCACAGAATTTACAATGACGCTACACAATACAAAAAGCATGACCAAATATTTAAATCTCCATAGTCACTATAAAACACTATATTCCTATATTCCTCACTACCTTGAAGTTATGAGCAAGTCATATGTCATCCTGAAATACAATGATATGTAAGGTCAAAAGCTTGGAAGTCTTCAAGACCTCAGAAATGAACTAATTACAATATATTTTAGTTCTGCTTGAATGTCATGATTTAAGACTTGATAATTAGCCCAGGGCACTGACTTTCCAATTGTTCTTTCCCATAATAAACACAAGCTAAGAACATAGCAAAGCAAATAAGCTCTCATCTTATTTATCTTATTTCTCCTTATCTTCTACATTAACTAAAAGACCCCCTGTCCCTGAGAGAAGAATATCTGTGTAAAATGAACTTATACTCCATTCCCCAGAATGTGAGTCCACTGAGAATTGGGGATGGGCAGAGGTAGTCAAATAGGAATGGGAAGGAAGAGTCTCACTCTCTTCCCCCAACCCTTTTTAAGCAAGTACATGTTGTCTACATATTTTGTAGGTAAAGTAAGAGAGAAACAGGATAAACTGCTCTGACGTCAGTTGTAGGAAAAATCTAACAAATTAGAAGTTTTTTTTAAAAAAAATCAACACCGGGGCGGGCGCGGTGGCTCACGCCTGTAATCCCAGCACTTTGGGAGGCCGAGGCGGGTGGATCAAGAGGTCAAGAGATCGAGACCATCCTGGTCAACATGGTGAAACCACATCTCTACTAAAAATACAAAAAATTAGCTGGGCATGGTGGCGCATGCCTGTAATCCCAGCTACTCAGGAGGCTGAGGCAGGAGAATTGCCTGAACCTAGGAGGCGGAGGTTGCAGTGAGCCGAGATCGCGCCATTGCACTCCAGCCTGAGTAGCAAGAGCGAAACTCCGTCTTTAAAAAAAAAAAAAAAACCATCAACATTGGCCAGGCATGATGGCTCACGCCTGTAATCCAAGCATTTTGGAGGCCAAGGCGGGCGGATCACCTGAGGTCAGGAGTTCAAGACCACCCTGACCAACAAGGGGAAACCCCGTCTTTAAAAAAAAAAAAAATTATCAACATTTTCGGGGCTTAAAAGAAAGGCAGACCAATGCCCCTCAGGGATTATAAATGGGTCAGTTACTACTGGGGCTGAGACTGAAGGCTGTTCCAATAGCCATCAGCGTCTTCTTTCTTCCTTAAGTATTAGTTGGGTGCACGGCCACCTGGGCTAAAGATTGTTATTTCCCAGCCTCTCTTACAGTTGGGGAATGTAACCATGTGAAAGAGTGGCCTTAAAAGGCAGGACGTGCTCTTTGCTTCCTCATCTCCCCTTCCTGAGGGCTGAAATGCAGGTGTGATGAGAGAGACTGCACTAGCCAACTTACACTGAGGATAGAAACTATATTGCTGAAAATGTTAAAACAGAATAGAAGGCTAGGTCCCTGACACACTACAGCCATCATATAAGGCCTAGACTGCTTACAATTTTGCTGTTACATGAGAAAGAAATTAACTTCTATCTTGTTAAACACCTATTGTATTAGTTTTTGTTACAGCAGTGAATTTATATTCTAATTAATCCAGTTACTGATAAATTATGTCAATGTTTGGTATTTGTGGTAGTCACATTCTATACAGCTGCCATGAACACAGAATACTGATTATTCTGCCAAGGAAAATAGATGATTAGTTTTCTGCAAGTCTCTAGTAAAAACATTTTTATCACTTAATCAATACAAAACCTTGTCTCATGCATGTTTTTGTTTAAAGACATCTTATTTAATATACATAGTTGTTTATGTTGAGCTCCAGCTAACAGCATTATAATTCATGCCTAAAGAAAGCTTATCACATATTTTCTCTGTAAGGCACAGCACAGCCTTAATGCACTAGGAACATTAGACAGCATTTCATACTTTGCTTGGGAAGTCATGTGAACAGCGAAATCATCAGCTAAAAGCACAAAAATGTGGCACTAACTAGCCCATTAAAAGCAAGCTTGTTCACAGTATAAGAGCTGAATCAAGAAGGCAGAGCTTTGGCTTGTTCAATCGAACAGGGAAAGTGTGCTTGGAAAGACTCCAATTTTTCACAGATCTGCACATGCCCACAAAAGCCCAAGAGATATTAATTTCAGGATTCTGAAGAAATTCTGTTAAGTGGGAAAATTCAAATGTAGAATCCACAAATAATGATAATTGACATATTTGAGGACTTCATGTGACAAGTCAGTTTATTTTAAAGGTTACTTCCTCAGTGTACTATCTGGCCTCCTGTGCCCAGAATATCCATTTCCCATCCACTTTCCTTATTCTCCTGAATTACCTAATTTCTCTTTAATAGCCACAAAACTGTTTGCCTGTTGTTTTTTTTTTCTGACATATCTAATAAAATACTGGACTCGATTATGTCCTGGAGTAGAAAAATGTGACAGGGAATGTTCCTCCCAAGGTTCTTTAATGTTAGATGGCTGATAATGATTTAGTTACATACATAATATACAACACATTAGAAATAAAATTTGCTGCCGTTTTGACATTTAATTCAAACAAAGCTCTTCCTCACTGCTTAAGATAAAACTTTTGTTTGGATTTCCAGCAATAAAACCATAACTTGCTGGTACAAGGAAAGAAAATGAAAAGGTGTTTTTTCAGAGCTGGTACCAATTTAGAGAAAAAAGATGGGATGCCAAGTTCCTACTCCCAAAGTGTGAGGGTGCTTCCCAGCATCCTTGTCTGATTTCTACAACTAGTCACCTAAGTTGAACTAACATCTGTGAAAATTAATTAGTGCTAAAAAATAGACTATACTTGGAAATTAAAAATCATCTTCCAGCTAAGTAATAAGAAGTCTCCCGCGAGAGATCCAAGATGGCTGATGATTAGCAGCTTGGGGCTGTGGCTCCCAGTGAAAGCACCGAAAACGAGAGGACACCACATTTTTAGACGAATTTTTGCTGCTCATGGACCAGGATATTCCCAGCGAAGGAGCCCCACGGGTTGCCACCACGACTCTTGTGGCTGACGCGGTGGTTTTGCCAGTGCCTTGGCACGGCAGTTTTTGGTGCAGTCAGAAAAGCACCATCAATCTTAACACTGCTGTTTTAGCCGACACAGTGGGTTGCTCAGATTCCAGTGCTGGTGAATCAATAAATTGGATGTCCACTCAGAAACCTAATTAAAAAGGCAGTAATTAAAAACACGACAGATGGATAAATTTATAACAAAGGGAAGAAACCAGCCTAAAAAGGCTGAGAATACCCAAAATCAGAATGCCTCTCCCTCTACAGGGGATCACAGTTCCTCATCAGCAACAGAACAAGGCCTGATGGAGAAAGACTGTGTTCCATTAACAGAGGTAGGCTTCAGAAGGTGGATGATAAGAAACTTCTGGGAGTTGAAGGAACTTGTTCTAACCCAATGCAAAGAAACTAAGAACTTGGAAAAAAGGTTTGATGAAATGCTAACAAGAATAGATAATAGAGAGGAATATAAGTGAATTAACAGAGTTGAAAAATAAAACACGAGAACTTCGTAAAGTATGCACAAGTTTTAACAGCCGAATTGATCAAGCAGAAGAAAGGATATCAGAGGTTGAAGACCAACTTAATAAAATAAAACGAGAAGACAAGAATACAGTAAAAAGGATAAAAAAAAAAAATGAGCAAAGTCTCCAAGAAATACGGGACTATGCCAAAAGACCTAATCTACATTTGATAGGTGTACCTGAATGCGACAAAGAGAATGAATCCAAGGTGGAAAATACTCTTCAGGATATTATTCAGGAAAACTTTCCCAACCTAGCAAGGCAGGACAATATTCAACCCCAGGTAATACAGAGAACACCACAAAGATATTCCTCAAGAAGAGCAACCCCAAGGCACATAATCGTTAGATTCACCAGGGTTGAAATGAAGGAGAAAATACTAAGGGCAGCCAGAGAGAAAGGTCAGGTTACCCACAATGGGAAGCCTATCAGACTTACAGCAGATCTCTCAGCAGAAACCCTACAAGCCAGAAGAGAGTGGGGGCCAATATTTAACATCCTTAAAGAAAAGAACTTTCAACCCAGAATTTCACATTCAGCCAAACTAAGCTTTACAATCGAAGGAAAAATAAAATCTTTTGTGAATAAGCAAGTACTCAGAGATTTCATTACCACCAGGATTGCTTTACAAGAGCTTCTGAAAGAAGCATTACACATAGAAAGGAACAACCAGTATTAGCCTTTCTAAAAATATACCAAAAAGTAAAGAGTATCAACATAATGAAGAATTTATATCAACTAATGGGCAAAATAGCCAGCTAACATCAAATGGCAATAATCTTAAATTTAAATTGACTAAATCCCCCAATCAAAAGATACAGCCAAAACCCATCAGTATGCTGCATCCAGACCCATCTTACATGCAAGAATACATAAAGAGTCAAAAAAAGGGGATGGAGAAAGACTTGTCAACCAAATGGAGAGCAAAAATAACTAAATAAATAAAAAGTAGAAGTTGCAATTCTCGCCTCTGATGGAATGGATTTTAAAGCAACAAAGATCAAAAGAGGACATAATGGTAAAAGGATCAACGCAACAAGAAGAGTTGACGATCCTGGATGTGTACACACCCAATATAGGATACATAAGACTTGTAAGAGACTTGGACTCCCACACAGTAGTAGTGGGAGATTTCAACGTCAATATTAGACAGATCAATGAGACAGAAAATTAACAGGGATATCTAGGACTTGAACTCAGACCTGGAACAAGTAAACTTAATAAACATTTATAGAACTCTCCACTTTAAACACACAAGATATGCACTCTGACCAGTACCACATCACACCTACTCATAAGCTTAAATGAAATATTGGTTGGCCATTATTAAGCACAATTGATGGTATAAAGGAGGTTTTCAATACCCATTTTTAGACTGCATTCTAGCCTGGACAATTAAGCAACACTCCTATTCTCTCTCCCTCCTCCTCTTCCTCTTTTTTCCTCTTCTTCATTCCTTTTTCTTTTAAAAAAAAAAAAAAAAAAAAAAAAAGAACTCTCCCAGCACTTTGGGAGGGTGAGGCGGGTGGATCATGAGGTCAAGAGATCAAGACCATCCTGGTCAACATGGTGAAACCCCGTCTCTACTAAAAATACAAAAAATTAGCTGGGCATGGTGGCGCACGCCTGTAATCCCAGCTACTCAGGAGGCTGAGGCAGGAGAATTGCCTGAACCCAGGAGGTGGAGGGTGCAGTGAGCCGAGATCGCACCATTGCACTCCAGCCTGGGTAACAAGAGCGAAACTCCGTCTCAAAAATAAATAAATAAATAAGAAGTCATCTTGATTTACATAATACTAAATCATTTTATTGTACAGAATACAAAAGAAAATCTTAATTTAACATTTGTAGAAAACCAACAGTTGATGATATATGAAAATTATAACTCATACTCACTGTAAATATTAACTGAATCCAAAATCATGACATTAGTGCATTGGATAATAAAGAAATACAGCATGATGAGAAACAGGTTGCCAGGCATCAGTCAAATTCCAAGTAGACACTGTCCTTTAGCAATGCTGCTACAATTAAATTCAAACTCACTTACCTACGGTATCTTCTCCTTTCCTGCCAGCACGACCAACCATCTGCTTATAAGTAAGAATATCTAGAGGTCGACCACCAAAAATAGGAGTTCAAATAATCACACGACGTGCAGGTAAATTCACTCCAGAAGAAAGAGTAGAAGTTGCTGCCAAGAACCGAATGAAACCTTGACGAAAGGCTCCTTCAATGACATCCCTCTCTTCAAAAGACAGACCTAAAAAAAGGTTTTTATGTATTTACAGATATATAATGAAAATATTGTTCTTGATCATTCACAAATGGATTTGAGAGTCTGCCTCAAGCCTCTAAAGATTTTTGAAACTATTGTTATGACTGTTGATGAAGGAGTCATCACAGTCTACCTCTTTAAGAGTATAATCTGGCCACATGTGGTGAGCATGTTGGGACACCGAGCCACGTGGATCACTTGAGGTCAGAAGTTCGAGACCAGCCTGGCCAACACGGTGAAAACTCTTCTCTACTAAAAATATAAAAAATTAGTTGGGCATGGTGGTGGGTACCTGTAATCCCAGCTAATCAAGAGGCTAAGGCAGGATAATCACTTGAACCTGGGGAGTGGAGGTTTCAGTGAGCTGAGATCACACCACTGTACTCCAGCCTGGGCAATACAGTGAGATTCAGTCTCAAAAAACAACAGCAGCAGCAACAAAAGAGTATAAACTGCTGCCTCTAGTATACCTCTATCTTATTTTATAGACCAGAGGTCTACAAACTTTTCCCGTTCCTATGAAACAGCAGGTCTCTGCTGCAACTATTCGATTCTGCCACTATGACATGAAAGCAGCAACAGAACAAATGGGCATGAATGTATTCCAATAAAACTTTATTTACAAAAACATATGGTAGGATAGACTTGACCAGCAGACTACAACTTGCCAACTGCTGTTCTAGACAATGAACTGCTCGTGGGTAGGGATATGCCTTATTCATCGATACATCTTCAGGGCCTATGCATCACAGTGATCAGATATACTTCTGACGTAAATATGTGATGAACAAAAATGAGTAATTGAAAAACAGTGTACAGGATATATACTTATCTGGTTCATTTTCAATTTTCTTTAAAAATTAAAAGGGCTGGGGTTCTAGTTTTAAAATTAAGTGGTGGGTACACAGTTGTTCTCTTTTTTAGTATGCATCATACGTTATATACAATGTAAATTTCATGTGTGTGTATATATAGTAGTTTCCCCCATCTGTGGTTTTGCTCTCCACAGTTTCAGCTACCCAAAATCAAAAATATAAAGAGGAAAATTCCAGAAATAAGCAACTCATAAGTTTTAAATTGCATGCTGTACCACCCAGGACATGAATTCAGTGTATCCATGCTGTATACACTACCTGCACTATACAATGTGACTATATAGGAAAGAATGTAGTATATAGAGGGTTTAGTACTATCGGTGGTTTCAAACATCCACTGAGGATCTTGGAACATATTCCCCACAAAGAAGGACTACTATATACCAATTATATAAATATATGTACCCCCATACACACCCACATTTCAAATGCATTTAAAATTTTTAATTTTAAAAATTTATGAAAAAACATCGTATGTAGGGTTGGTACTATCCATGGTTTCAGATATCCACTGGGGGTCTTCAGTGGACAAGGGGAGACTACTATATACAAATAAGTAAACCGAAACATATTTGTTTTACTCTTGTTTAATCTATCATACAATTTCACTCTGTCCCCGAGGCTGGAGTGCAGTGGCATGATCTCAACTCACTGCAACCTCCATCTCCCACGTTCAAGAAATTCTTCCTGCCTCAGCCTCTGGAGGAGCTGGAATTACAGGCACCCGCTACAACACCTGGCTAATTTTTCTATTTTTCATAGAGACGGGGTTTCACCACGTAGGCCAGGCTGGTCTTGAACTCCTGACCTCAGGTGACCAACTTGCTTTGGCCTCCCAAAGTGCTGGCATTACAGGCATGAGCCACCACAGTCTCACCCTGTCACTCAGGCTGGAGTGCATTGGTATCACGCCTGGCCCACACAATTTCTTAAAAAGAAATCTAAGTATATTAAGTGTGTTTAACAAGAAATAAATGTACACAAATGTAAAAGTTAAGACAGTATGAAGAATTTTGGAGGTTTCTGAATAACAGATTATAAACATGAAATACCTGCATGATGAAATGCTACTCCCCATGGTACAGTTTTCTGTAATACAGAGTCCAGTCCTGAAGGCAAACGTCTTAACTGATCCATCACTTCCAGGAGGTCTTTTTGTTCCAGAATTACTGGTGGGAATTCTGAGGATTTCACCAATCCTGTCACAAGAAAATTATCAACACTGTGCACTTCTAGCTCAGTCTCTTTAAGTGGTATCTGTCTAAATCATACTAGAGCTTAATAACAGGGAAATGGTTTTGAAACTGCTGCACACTGTAACCCCCTGGAGATCTTGTAAAAATACTGATGCCTGGTTCTTAATCCTGGACATTGTTATGTAATTGGTGTGGGATGTGACTGGGGCATGAAGAATTTTTAAATCTCCCCAGGCAATTCTAATGTGCACCAAAGTCTAGACCAAGCCGACAGGCGGGGAATCAAAGGAAACTGCTGAAGGAAGTACAATATCATGGATACTGATTTACCACTAGAAGCCCCCAAAATCAAAACCCTTGCTCAAGGTGTATACCACCAACCAGCAGTATCAGCATCAGAGGGTTTCACCAATCCTGTCACAAAAAAGCCTACTTCTCTGTGAAATTATTCTAGCCTCTTTGGCACTAATCTGGTAATTACATACTACCCTGCTTTTTGTCCCTATATATAAACTTCTCCCCTAGTAAAAGCTTAACATTGTTTTGAAACAGGGTCTCACTCTGTCACCCAGGCAGAATGACGTGTGTATACAATGGCACAATCATGGCTCACAGCAGCCTCGACTTCCTGGGCTCAAGTAATCCTCCCACCTCAGTCTCCTGGTTAGCTAGGACCAGACGCATATGTCACTATGCCCAGCTAGTATTTTTTTTTTCCACTTGTAGAGGTACGGTCTCCTTATGTTACCCAGGCTGGTCTAAAACTCTTGAGCTTAAGCAATCTTCCCACCGTGGCCTCCCAAAGTGCTGAGATTACGGGCATGAGCCACCACCCAGCCTTAACTTTTTTAAATGTAGTAAAAGCTTTACATACTTATATGTTGTGTTTAAAAACTTCCCAGACTTTTGAATTTTTGAACTTGTAAAAGTTTTCATAAAAAGTAAATATATGGCTGGGCATGGTGGCTCATACCTGTAATCCCAGCACTTTGGGAGGCCAAAGTGGGCAGATCACTTGAATCCAGGAGTTTGAGGCCAGCCTGGAAAATGTGGCAAAATCCCATCTCTAAAAAAAATACAAACAAATTAGCCAGGCATGGTGGCATGCACCTGTAGTCCCAGCTACTCAGGAGGCTCAGATGGGAGGATCACTTGAGTCCATGAGGTTAGAGATTGCAGTAAGCTGAGATTGTGCCACTGCATCCCATCCTGGACAACAAAGCAAGACCCTGTCTCAAAAAGAAAACAAAAGAAAATAAATAAATGCATGTTTTAGAATTATGTGTCAGTGGAAAATAATAGAAATATGTATAAATATATATGACAAAAACATGAGTAAATGAAAAACAGTGTATAGAATATACATTCATTTTCAATTTTATTTAAAAATTAAAAGGGCTGGGGTTCTAGTTTTAAAATTAACTGGTGGGTACACAAGTGTTCATTTTTTTTAGTATACATCATAAGTTATATACAATGTAAATTTTGCATTTCTCTCCCATCTACAATTTGTTGGCCAGGCTGGTCTCAAAGTCCTGATCTCGTGATCCACCCGCCTCGGCTCCCAGCATGCTGGGATTATAGGTGTGAGCCACCATGCCTGGCCTGTGTGTGTGATTCTTTTCTGTTACACATTCCTTTGGAAATATAAAGAAAGATATGGTTACTTTCCCCTAAGAAATGTCTGCACATGACGTTTTGCATACAATTTAGGGGCTCCAAAGATCAAACTCTCAAAGTTCATGGATCCTGGGTAAAGAACTTCAGTATATATCCAGTGTTCTAAAAATCTAAAGTTGATTAATCTAAGACTGTGTGTGTGTATACATAGTCTATACTAAGGACAGAATATAATTAGAATCGGATGGCCGACCACTAACAGCTCAGGATTGTAGCTCCCAGTGAAAGCCCAGAGAACGAGACGACGCCACACTTTTAGACAAATTTTCGTCACTCACCGATCAGCCGATTCCCAGTGGAGGAGCCCCACGGGTCGCCAGCGCGACTCTTGTGGCCGCCGCAGCGGTTTTGCCAGCGTCTCGGCGCAGCAGCTCTTCATGCAGAGCCAACGGGACTGCTTCCCCTACTGACCAGAGTTTGGAGCTCCAGGAAGTCAGAGCCGCTTGTTGCGGACTCAAGAGGGAAGCCAGACCAGAGATTCCCAGGCAGAAGAGCACCATCAGTCTTATCGCTGCTATTTAGGCTGCCACAGTGGGTCGCTCAGATCCCAACACTGGGAATCAATAAGTCAGACGTCGACTCAGAAAACTAATTAGAAAGGTGGTTCATCTATAATGAAGGGGAAAAAACAGCCTAAGAAGGCCGAGTATACTCAAGGTCAGAACCCATCAGCAACAGAACAAGCCCTGATGGAAAAGGACTCATCAGCAACCGAACAAGCCCTGATGGAAAAGGACTCATCAGTAACGGAACAAGCCCTGATGGAAAAGGACTGTGTTCCATTATCTGAAGTAGGCTTTAAAAGGTGGATGATAAGAAACTTCTGGGAGTTAAAGGAACTCGTTCTAACCCAATGTAAAGAAACTAAGAACTTGGAAAAAAGGTTAGATGAAATGTTGAAAAGAATAGACAATATAGAGAGGAATATAAATGAACTTATGGAGTTGAAAAATACAACATGAGAACTTAGTGAAAAATGTACAAGCTTAAACAGCCGAATGGATCAAGCAGAAGAAAGGGTATCAGCGGTCGAAGATCAACTTAATGAAACAAAACAACAAGACAAGAATAGAGAAAAAAGGATAAAAAGGAATGAGCAAAGTCTCCAAGCAATATGGGACTATGTGAAAAGACCTAATATACGCTTGATTGGTGTACCTGAATGTGACGGAGAGAATGAATTCAAGCTGGAAAATACTCTCCAGGACATTATCCAAGAAAATTTTCCTAATTTAGCAAAGCAGGACACTATTCAACCCCAGGCAATACAGAGAACACCACAAAGATATTCCTCAAGAAGACCAACCCCAAGGCACATAATCGTTAGATTCACCAAGATCGAAACGAAGGAGAAAATATTAAGGGCAGCCAGAGAGAAAGATCAAGTTACCCATAAAGGTAAGCCTATTAGGCTTACAGCAGATCTCTCAACGGAAACCCTACAAGCTAGAAGAGAGTGGGGGCCAATATTCAATATACTTAATCAACAGAACTTTCAGCCCAGAATTTCATATCCTGCCAATTTAAGCTTTACATTTCAAGGAAAAATAAAATTTTTTAGGAACAAGCAAGTACTCAGAGATTTTATTACCACCAGGCCTGCTTTACAAGAACTTCTAAAAGAAGCACTATACACAGAAAGGAACAACCAGTATGACCCTTTCTAAAAATACACCAAAAAGTAAAGAGCATTAACATAAAGAAGAATTTTTATCAACAAAAGGACAAAATAGCCAGTTAATATCAAACGGCAGCAACCCTAAATTTAAATCGACCAAATCTCCCAATCAAAAGATATAGACAAAATCTAACGGTATATCCAAAGATATACATAGACTCAAAATAAAGGGTTGGAAAAAAAAACGTACCAACCAAATGGAGAGCAAAAATAAATAAATAAAAAGCAGGAGCTGCAATTTTCACATTTGACAAAACAGATTTCAAAGCTACAAGGATAAAAGGATTAATGTAATAATAAGAGATCTTAACACCCAGATACATAAGACCCATAATGAGATTTAGATTCAACGAGACAGAAAATTGATAACGATATCCGGGACTGGAATTAAGATCCAGAACAAATAAACTCAATAGAGCTCTCCATTTTAAACACACAAAATATACATTATCCACAAAATGTAACCATATATCTAAAGATATACAAAGACTCAAAACAAGGGGATGGAAAAAAATTCACCAACCAAATGGAGAGCAAAAATAAATAAATAAAAAGCAGGAGTTGCAATTCTCACACTTAATAGATTTCAAAGCTACAAGGATGCAAGGGTAAAAGGATTAATGCAACAATAAGAGATCTTAACACCCAGATACATAAGACACATAATGAGATTTAGATTCAACGAGACGACAAATTGATAACGGTATCCAGGACTTGAACTCAGAGCCAGAACAAATAAACACAATAGAGGTCTCCATTTTAAACACATAAAATATGCATTAACCACTTTAAACACTCAAAATATTGATCGGCCATTATTGAAACCCATTTTAGGAATGAAGTAATATTCCTTTTTCCCTCTTTTTTTTTCCCCTTCTTCTTCTAAAAAAAAAAAAAAGAATATAATTAGAATCTACACATCTGACAAAGGGCTACTAACCAGAATCTACAAAGAACTTAAATTTACAAGAAAAAAACAACCCCATCAAAACGTGTAAAGGATATGAACAGACACTGCTCAAAAGAAGACATTTATGCAGCCAACAAACATATGAAAAGAAGCTCATCATCACTTGTCATTAGAGAAATACAAATCAAAACCACACTGAGATATCATCTCATGCCAGTTAGAATTGTGATCATTAAAAAATCAGGAGACACTAGATGCTGGACAGGATGTGGAGAAAGAAGAATATTTTTACACTGTTGGTCAGAGTGTAAATTAGTTCAACCATTGTGGAAGGCAGTGTAGCAATTCCTCAAGGACCTAGAAATAGAAATACCATTTGACCCACTAATCCCATTACTGAGTGTATACCCAAAGGAGTATAAAACATTCTATTATAAAGATACATGAACAGGTATGTTTATTGCACCACTGTTCACAATAGCAAAGACTTGGAACCAACCCAAATACCCATTAATGATAGACCTGATAAAGAAAATGTGGCACATATACACCAAGGAATACTATGCAGCCATAAAAAAAGATGACATATCCCTTTGCAGGGACATGGATGAAGCTAGAAACCATCATTCTCAGCAAACTGACACAAGAACAGAAAACCAAACACCACATGTTCTCACTCATAAGTGAGTGTTGAACAATAAAAACACATGGACACAGGGAGGGGAACATTGCACACTGAGGCCTGTTGGGGGCTGGGGAGGATAGGGGCGGGTTAGCAGGGGATAGGAGGACTGGGAAGGGATAACAGGAGAAATACCTAATGTAGATGACGAGGAGAGGGATGCAGCAAACCACCATGGCACATGTATACCTATGTAGCAAATCTGCACATTCTGCACATGTACCCCAGAACTTAAAGTATAATAATAAAAAATAACTAAAAAAATAAAAATCTCAAAAGCACAGTTTGGTAAAAAGAGTACCACCTAGTGGGCAGGCAGTAGCAATGATGAACAAGAGCCATGGTTTTGCTAACATAATCACTACCATTACTTTCAAGCAAATGTACTAAGCATGAAGGCTTTCCTTTCCATCCATAACTCACCCTCAGCTTGATGATGTAGATTATAAAACTCTCGAGCAATGATATCTGCCAGCTTCTCACACCATTTCTTCGATGGACAAAAAAGTAATACTGAATGGTTATCATGAATTGTCTCATAACATAAACTAACAACATGGTCCTCATCTCCCTAAAAAGGAAAGATAAATAACCACTTTAGTGGTACTGTCGACAGATTCTCACATCACTTTAAAAGCACTCATTTTCCTTTCTGGGGAAGTTTTTCTTCTCGAAGGCATAACAAAAATCATTTATGTCTTGAGATTTGAGTGAGAAAGGAAAAAAACGAAGAAAGAGAAAAGAAAAAGAAAAGAAAAAAATCAGTTACAAAGTGAGTAAGAAAAGAAAAAAGAAAAAAATGAACTCCTTATAATGCAAGGGAAAGAAATACTTTCTATTCATTCAACTAATATTTATTGAGCTCCAACCCTCAGGCAATGGGGATACAAAACTCAGTAAAAAGAAAGTCAAGATCCTAGTAGTCCAGGGGTTTCTAGTCTCACCAAGAGACACATTAAACTACAGATGTCCCAACTCACAATGGTTGGACTTTACGATATTTTTTTATTTTACAATGGTGCAAAAGCAGTATGCATTCAATAGAAACCATACTTTGAGTATTTATACAACTCTTCTATTTTGTTTTTTCTTTTTTGAGATGGAGTTTTGCTGTTGTTACCCAGACTGGAGTGCGATGGCACGATCTCGGCTCACCGCAACCTCCCCCTCCTGGGTTCAAGCAATTCTCCTGCCTCAGCCTCCCGAGTAGCTGGGACTACAGGAGCGCACCACCATGCCCAGCTAAATTTTTTTGTATTTTTGGTAGAGACAGGTTTTCACCTTGTTGACCAGGATGGTCTCAATCTCTTGACCTCATGATCCACCCACCTCGGCCTCCCAAAGTGCTGGGATTATAGGCGTGAGCCACCAGGTCCGGCCAACTCTTCTATTTTTCACTCTCAGCACAGTATTCATTAAATTATGAGCTATTAAACACTTTATTATAAAACAGGCTTTGTGCTAGATGATTTTGCCAAACTATAGGCTAATATAAATATTCTGAGCACATTTAAGGTAGGCTATTCAGTAAATTAGATGTATGAAATACATGTTCAACTTACAATGAGTTTATCAGGATATAACCCCATCATAAGTCAAAGATGAACTGTACTAAATAAATATAAAACACAACGATAATACATACTATTAAAAGAGTTTTGCCAGGCATCTATAATCCCAACACTTTGGGAGGCCAAGGTAGGCAGATCACGAGGTCAGGGGTTCGAGACCAGCCTGGACAACGTAGTAAAACCCCATCTCTACTAAAAATACAAAGAATTAGCCAGGCGTGGTGGTGCACACCTATAACCCCAACCACTCGGCAGACAGAGGCAGAAGAATCGCTTGAACCCAGGAGATGGAGGCTGTAGTGAGTGGAGATGGTGCCATTGCACCCAGCCTGGGTGACAGAGCAATACTATGTCTCAAAAAAAAAAAAGAAAGGAGGGGTGGCCCTGCAAATTATCCATACTGGAAGTATGTCAGTGTATTTATTAGTAACCAGATTAATTCATCCATCTACTGGCTCATTTAACAAATATTTACTATATGTCAAATACTGATGTAGGTACTGGGGATGGAGCAGCCAAAAAAGCACAAAAAAAGTTCCACCCTCATAATGTTTCTACTCCAGTAGGAAGAGACAGATAATAACAAAAACAAGGTAAGTAAAACACATAGTATGTCTGGCTTCGAAAAGTGCTAAGGGAAAAGAAATAGAGATCCTGTAAGGGAGAGCACTATAATTTAGACAAGGTGGCTAGGGAAGGTCTGAGACAGTGACATTTCAGTAAAAGTCTAAAGGGGAAAGGGTAAACCACACTCATGACTCTAAGGGGAAAGCATTCTAAAAAGAGAATCTGAGGTAGGAAATTCTTGGAATATTGAAAAAAAACAGCGAAGAGGCCAGTGTGAAGGAAGCGACAGGAACCATAGTAGATAGCGTCAGAGCACTAAGAGGGGTGGGGGGTATAGATCACCTAGGGCCTTATAGACTACTATGAAGACGCTGGCTTTTATTCTAAACGAAACAGAAAGCCATTTCAAGTTTCTGAGAAGAAGGATAACACAATCTGATGCTCAATTTAAATAGATCACTAGCTCCTGATGTAAGCATACAATGAAAGGGACAAGGTCAGAAGCAGAGAGAACAATTAGGAAATGTTTCAATAATCCAGGTAAGAAGTGTAAGTGGATCAAAAGTACAAAGGCACAGACATGGTAAAAGAAGAAAAAAATTGACAGAAGAGTAAATGAATGTGTTCACACATAAATGTATTGAAGAAACCAAGGCATAGCCAGGTGCAATACGAGGCACAGAGCAAAGCAAGTAAGATTCAACAGCAAGCAAGCAGAAGCTACAAATGTGTACCTAGGAAGTTAGTGAAACACATTCCCATTCCCAGTTCTAAAATGACCCTTAGTGTTTCAGTACTCAGAGGCACAACTCTGCATAAAAACAGCAGATGCCTCACTCCACCAATGTAAATGAGTCAGTTCTTTAACCTCAGAATTGAAGTGTATTTGGGACTATGGGAGGGTACTTTTTTATCAAGCGCTTTCTAGATGCCAGATAACTTTTTAAAATCATATTTAACTCTTACAATATTCAAGATAAGTATCATAATATCCTATTTTATAGGTGAAGATACGAGATTCAGATAGGTTTTGTGATTTAACCAGTATCACAGCCATATCAACTATCTCTATCAGAGGTAGATGTATCAGACTGCAAAAATATTCTTTCACTCTACTATATATTATACCTACCATTTAACAAAAAGTTGATCTTCCACACTAGCAGTTAGTGTAAACTAAACCATAAGAAAATCTTTTCCTAGTAAAAAGAAAAAGCTACAAAATCAGTTATTTTTTAAAAATGTTTTTATTATATATCAGGAAACATTTATTTATTTAAATTAAAGGTACAACTACATTTCCTCTCTTACCACCACCACCCATATTTTTCTTTTTTTCCAGATGGAGTCTCACTCTGTTGCCGGGGCTGGAGTGCAGTGACATGATCTCAGCTTACTGCAGCCTCTGCCTCCTATGTTCAAGCAATTCTCCTGCCTCTGCCTCCCAAGAATCTGGGATTACAGATGCCTATAGCCACGCCCAGCTAATTTTTATATTTTTAGTAGAGACAGGGTGTCACCATGTTGGCCAGAATGGTCCCGAACCCCTGACCTCAAGTGATACACCTGCCTCAGCCACCCAAGGTGTTGGGATTACAGACATCAGCCACCACGCCCGGTTTACCACCAATTCTTTAAGAGAAAACCAATTAGCTTAATATTAATCCTAATGAATATGTAACTCCTAATTACATAATTCAGAAATTGTTAACAATTTGCTAGAAAATGAAATCAAACACACAGATACTAATAGTAGTGATATAAATAAATAGATTTACCTTCACTTGTAGCATGGGTTGAAATTCCCTCACAAGTTTCATTGAAGAGTCATATATGGAATTTCCAACTTTTACTGACTCCAAAAGCGGTACAGGACAAAAGTCCATATGGTAGAGTTCGGCATTCAACCAGGAAGCCACAAGCTCCAAATTAGGAAGGGTAGCACTCATGCCAACAATTTGCACAGCATTAGACAGAGAACTGGCTAAATCTGCCTGACTGTCAAAAACAAATGAAAAGAATATTAAAAGATATACACTAAGTTAACAATTAATGTTGCTGACAATATCCTTGGTTATGTCCTTTGGTACACATATACATACGTTTCTTTAGGATATATACCTAAGAATAAAACTACTGAGTCACAGATTTCTCCTATTTTAATAGATAATGCCACATTGTTTTCCAAAGTAACATCTCCACAATCTATGTGTTTTCTGCTTTTCCACAATCTTATCACCACTTGGTATTGTCAATCTTTTTAATATTAGCAGTTATAGAGAGTATGTCATAGTATTTCTTTGAAGAAGTAATTCACAGTTCCCTGATAGCTGATGAGACTAAGCATCACTTCATGTATATGAACCACATGGATACCCTGTTTCAAAAAGCCTGTTTTTTTTGTCCATTGATACAGTGGGTTGTGTTTTTCTTGTTCATTTGTAGAATTTTTAAATGTCTGGATAGTGACTTTCTTCTTTCATTTTTGGCTCTGTTTTTATCATTTTATCAAGCTTTCTGTTACATTATTTTTCTTTTTTTGAGACAGGGTCTAGCTCTGTCACCCCGGCTGGAATGCAATAAGGCAATCTCAGCTTACCGCAACATCCACCTCCAGGGTTCAGGTGATTCTTATGCCACCTGAGTAGCTGAGATCGCAGGCATACGTCACCACGCCCAGAAAAACTTTGTATTTTTAATAGAGACAGGGTTTTGCTATGTTGGCCGGGCTCATCTCGAACTCCTGGCCTCAAGAGATCTGCCGGTCTTGGCCTCCCGAAGTATTGGGATTACAGGCATGAGCCACCATGCTTGGCCTTTTTTCTAAGTTATTAGGATGGATAATTAAATAATTGATTCTCAGTCTCTCTTCCTTAATAATATGAACATTTTATGCTATCAATTTCCTTACAAAAAAAACTTTTGCTACCCTTCACAAGTTTTGTTAAGAGACATTTTAATTATACTTTCAGTTCAACCTATTTTCCAATTTCTGTTGTGATTACTTTTTTGACCTAAAAATGTGTCGAAAATGTGTTTATTTCCAGTCAGGTAGACATTTTCTAGTTATGCTTTTCTTATACCTAAATTCACTGTTTTAGAAAACAAATGATATGAATCCACTAGAATATATTAAGAATTGCTTTATGGTCCAGCATATGGAAAACTTTTTAATAAGTGTTCAATGAGTAACTGAAGTGAACACGTACTCTGCTGTTTTGAGGTAAATGTTCAATATATATCCATTAGGTCAAATGTGCTGATTAATCATATTTTCTATATCCCAAGTGATTTAAGATGGAGACAGTTATCTGCTTGTTCTATCACAATAAAGATGTGTTCAATTCTCCCTTAACTTTTTGAAAAGAACCTATTGAGTACCCAGCACAACGACTAAAAATAGATCAACACACATCAGTATTAAATTTCACAGCACTGAGGCTGAAGGAAAAGTACTTCCAGTTTTGACTCTTAGACCTGGACAGTCCGTGGAATAATTATGGAGGCCGGGCACAGTGGCTCACACTGGTAATCCTAGCACTTTGGGAGGCCAAGACGGATGGATCATCTGAGGTCGGGAACTGGAGACCAGCCTGGCCAACATGGTGAAACCCCGTCTCTACTAAAAATACAAAAATTAGCCAGATGTGGTGGCAGGCACCTATAATCCCAGCTACTGGGGAAGCTGAGGCAGGAGAATCGCTTGAACCCAGGAGGGGAGGTTTCAGTGAGCCGAGATTGCTCCACTTCACTCCAGCCTGGGCGAAAGTGTGAAAAAAAAATTTAATTAAAAAAAAGGAAAAATCACAAAACTCCATCTCAAAAATTAAAAAAAAAGAAAAAAATAATTAAGAGGCATTTTCAGACATGCAAGGCCTCAAAAAAATTTATACCTATGTGTGTTCATTGAAATAAAGTAGAAGTTCCTGGAAGATTTTCCCACCAAAATGAGAAGGTAAATTAACAGACATGTGGTCAAAAAATGGATAGGGGAAGGGAATCCCAAGATGATTGCTATGTAGCACATATATAGCTTAGCCACTTATCTAGACTGGAACATCTTGAAGGGTTTTAGGAAAATCTTCCAGAAGATGACTGGAAGAATAGCAAATGTGGGAGAATACACAACTAGGGAATAGGCTAGGAATACATTAGTTCTAAGTATATGGAAAACCAAGCCATCAAACAAAAAAGACAGTTATTAATTTCAGAGAAAACAAAAAGTTGTTTAGAAAAGCAAAAGAAAGGCCAGGCGCAGTGGATCACACCTGTAATCCAAGCACTTTGGAGGCCAAGGCGGGCAGATTACCTGAGGTCGGATGTTCAAGACCAGCCTGACCAACATGGTGAAACCCCGTCTTAAAAAAATAAATAAATAAAAGCAAAAGTAATCATATTATGCTATAGCCCAGTTACTAATTTTATTTATACAGTCACAATAGTGTAACACTGAGTAATGATCTAAGCAAAATTATAACCTAACTCTATTTGAAGAGTGGGAAGATGATGAGAAAATAAGGAGACTGCAGAGAAGGGGGAAAAGATTGAGTAGCGGTGAGTAAAGAAATTAAAAGAAAGCGAGATCTTCATCTTTCATAGTAAAAGTCAGTATATAAAGTGCAAAATTAAAAAATTAAGTAGCAACAGTTAGAGATGCTGCTGTAAACATTTTTAAAAAGCTGGAAGAGTTGAAAGGTAGTTACCTCTGAGAAGTGAGGGCTAAAAAAATACTACTTTTCAAAATTAGCCTGACTACTTAAATTATATATACAAATGACAAATACAGAACCTGGATTTCTAGAAATCTGTAACAAAAACATATATACTGAAAAAGAAAGGGTGAAAAGTCAGAAAATTAAGAATGTTTACAAAGTAATCTAAAATCAGTTTTAATCTGAAATACTTTTCCTGTGGTTGTTAGAGACATAGTCTTGCCCTGTTGCCCAGGCTAGAGTAAAGTGGCACAATCATAGCTCATTGCAGCCTGAAACTCTTGGGCTCAAGTAATCCTCCTGCCTCAGTCTCCTGAAAAGCTGGGACTACAGGTATGTGCCATGATGCCCAGCTAATTTTTTTATTATTTATAGAAATGGGGTCTCACTGTGTTGCCCAGGCTGGTCTGGAACTTGGGCTCAAGTGATCCGCCCACCTCAGCCTTCTAAAGTGCTGGGATTACAGGTGGGAGCCACCATGCCTGGACTGACTTCTTCTGGAACAAAAATAAACTACTTTACATGAGTTTTTCTCAATGTGGAAAAATATAATACTCCTTTAATTTATTTAACTCAGGTACTTTTTCAGACACTTTCTCAACATGATTTGAAATCTCAGGAACTTAGTTGTTTCAAGTACTCACGAAGACGCTGTTTTCCGAGAAATATAGCAAATTTTGGTCAGCAAAAGTTCCAGCAGATACCCTCGGTGAGAGTCTCCCAGCATATGTAATTCATCCACAACAACCATTCCTAAAAAGATTTTCCAGATACTAGGTTTTTACAGAATCTCACATCCACATAATTTTTTCCAACTTTTATTTCACTCTATTTTACTTCCTTTATATCAACTTTTACTTAGATTCAGGGTTACATGCGCAGGTTTGTTACTTGGGTATTTTGTGTAATGCTAAGGTTGGGAGTACCAGTGATCCCATCACCCAGGTACTTAGCAATAGTACCCTATTATTAGTTTTTCAATCTTTGTTCCCCTTTAGTAGTCCCCAGTTTCTGTTGTTGCCATCTAGTTCCCACTTACAAGTGAGAACATTTGGTATTTGGTTTTCTGTTCCTGTGTTAATTGGCTTAGGATAATGGCTCCAGCTGCATCCATACTGCTTTGCTACAAAGGACATGATTTCATTCTTTTTATGAGTGTGCCAAGAAGAAATTTAAAAGATTCATTATCTTATACCACATAATATGTAGCTGTCATAATAATATATTGCAAGTGATGCAAACTTCAAACCATAAAGCAAAAGTCAGATTTCTCATAATGGGCAATTCTTTTCCAAGATCTTTCAGCCACTACAGGCAGTCCTACTATAAGGTATTCTGGATCTAAAATCAATTATTAGCTTACTCGGGGCTAAACAAACCCAGGGAAAACTGCCTCTTACTACTCTTCTCAATTGCCAACTTCACTGAAATAAACATACAATGACATATCAAAGACATCTATGGCAGTTAGTCAGTGTTTTCAGTGGGAAAACAGACGTACCCATGTTAGAAAGCAGCTTAGGAAAAACAGAATAGGGTCCAGAATAAAAAGATAATTTTAAGAGATTTTTTAAAAATATGGTAGGCTAGTGAGTCACCCTACCGCAAAACAGAAATATGATTACAGTGTCCTTCACTACTTGGAGAATTTAACCAATGTACATACTTAGAATAATTCTTAAGAATTACTGAAAATTCAGTATAAACCAACACTTTCTTTGAACATTTTCATAAGAACATAGTTTCCACATGTACTGGTGTTCCCCCACCCCAAATTCTCCCCACCAAAAGACAACTTTCTGGTGAAAAGGAATTTGAGGAGACAATAGACAACTTCCTAATAACACATAATGATGTTCTTTTTCCTATCAGTAAGCTATCTGCAAAATTGTACTGTCTGAGGAGTTGTTTCAATGCTTACTCATTTCTTCACCAAAAAAAAAAAAAAAAAAAAAAAAAACACTCTTCTGCCTACTATGTACCAGGCACTGTGCTGGGTACATTGGAAATAGCACTTACTAGGGGTCTATTGCAACTCTCGAAATATTTAAAGTCCAATGGAGTCACAAGTGATAAGACAATTCGGATACAAATCAATTGCAATTTTTCTCTCCAAGCTTTATAAAGCATAGCCCATGTCTTATTCATCTTTGATTTCCACCCTCCACCCCTACCTTACCATAACTTTACCATGGTATTTTTAAGTTCACCGGGCTCTCAATAAATAGCTGATATTCTTGCTACTTCTGCAGCTGCAATCCTTTTACTGCTGTTGCTACCTCTACATAATGGCCTTTCCATAATGGCAAAACATGCATTCAGATAGAAAATCTTCCCAGAACCCCAAGCTCAAGTACAGTATCAGTTTCAGCAGGTCCCTACCACTTCCATGCTAAATGGTAGCCTCTGGGTCCAAGCCCAAAATAGACATCATAGCACCAGAATATAGGAACAAAAACACATGTACACTAACTGCAAAAATGACAGATCTGGCCCAGCAGGCTTCCTTCTATTCCTGGTAAGGTTTAGATAAGAAAGAAGCAAGAAGAAATTATCGAGGGCTCAAGGATATCCTTTACGTTTTGTAAAGTACAAACATGCAACGCAGTGGAGTCAATAACAGCAGCAGGACACAAAACTTATAAACACAGAGTTCCTATCATTACAGATGCCAATTCTCACCTTTAGAAGTAGATGATAGACAATAGAAAAACAAACAGGACCTACAGAAATCACAAGAGCTCCCCTTCATCCCATCAAGAAAAGCAACAGAAAGTATTTACTTCTTTTCGAACTTTCTTACCTAACAGATCCATCTTATTTTCCTCTATGAGGCGATTGATCAGACCATTGGCTCTTTCAATTGTGCAGACTGCAACATCCAAGGAAGAGAAATGCCTTGCTGGAGAGGTGCTGCCCATATAACCGTCTACTTTTATTCCTACTTCCTGAAACAGACTCTGAATTGAGTAAAAAGAAACAATACAGGTGAAAAAAACTTGAAATTCAAGAGGTATAGACAGGTTCTATCCCAGAACACAGACATAAGTATCTAAAGACATCTATTAGATTACTGTCATCCGTTGTTTCTGGCCAAGACACACTGGTTCTTTTTAGAATCATATGCTAAAAATATAAAGTTTAGAACTGGCAAAACTTAGATCTCTGTTAAGAGTGAAATAAAATTATACTATTTTAATGAAAGCATAATAATCTAAAAAGTTCTAAGAGCTATTTATAGGAATTAAAATGGGAGAAAAACTACCTTAAGCACTAACATTTTTAATCTAATAAACAGCAAGAAACTAGCTGTAACACTTGAAGAAATAAATTTATATCTCGTGAGAAAAATAGTCTCATTATCCTACTAGACAAATTTTTTAATGTAATTGGAAGAAAAGTTTTTTAAAAGTAAAATTCAGTGGGACTTTCATAATAATTTTTTTTTGGCTTAACTTTTAACTAACATACCTTTCAATAAAAAGGATCCTTTCATCACTTTGTTAGTTTGAGTCTAAGTTGAGAGATGTTACCATGTAGGACCAGCTTTGTTGCTATTTGGCCTCTGAAATAACTGTTAAAAAGATTTATAGAACCACAGAAATTTAGAGTTGCTTATTCAATATAATTTTCCTGAGTGTTTGCCAAGTTAACCCACAGTGCTAAGGTTTAACATCCTAATTTTACACATGAAAAAAACTGAGGCCCAGCGGATTACGTGCCTGGCCTAAAGACATAGTTAGTGGCAAAACTGGGACTAGAACCCACATTTCTTTAACAATCAGTATACTGATCTTTCCATTCCAAAAGCACCTATTTTTTACTGTGGAAATCACAACAGTAAATTTATTCCCTTTAATAAATCACTGTAGTTGTGAAAATGCCCTAAAAACTGTGAGCATCATGTTGATATAAACTATTAGTCATTTTTGCAGAACAGAGGAACAGATCACACCCCTGGAGCTTTACATAAGCACCAATGGATCTTGACCTTCATCGCCTAGATATTCCTGGACAACATGATAAAACCCCATCTCTATTACCATAAAAAATTTTTTAAAAAGCCCAGCATGGTGGTGGGCACCTGTAGTCCCAGCTACTTGGGAGGCTGAGGCAGGAGAATTGCTTGAACCCGGGAGGCAAAGGTTGCAGTGAGCTGATATCATGACACTACACTCCAGCCTGGGTAACAGAGGGAGACTCTGTCTCAAAAAAAAAAAAAAAGTTGAGGAAAAGGAGCTGTAAGGAATCTTATGAGAAGGGAAGGAAGAAAACAAGAGGAGGCTGGGGGCGGTGGCTGATGCCTATAATTCCAGCAATGTAGGAGCTGAGAAGGGGAAGGTGGTATGTGCCTATAATTCCAGCTACTTGGGAGGCTGAGGCCTGAGACTCACTTGAACCTAGGAAGTGGAGGCTGCAATGAGTTACCATCATGCCACTGCACTCCAGCATGGGTGACACAGCAAGACTTTGTTTCAAAAAAAAAAAAAAAAGTAAGAGGAAAGGAATGCCATGCCTAAGGAACAGCATGTGGTACAAAGGCCTAGAAGAAAGACTGGCATGTTCTGATGACACAGTAAGTAAATTAGTAAGCATGGAGTATAAAGTACTCCAGGGGTGTACAAGAAGAAATAATAAAAGTGTCACAAGAAGGGTTTGCAACCCCACCATTTAAGAAGTTTAAACCTTGTCTGAAAGCAATGCAGAGACTGATGAGCTTTATGAAAAGGAGTGATAAAATCATATTTGTACTTTATAAAGATCACTTTGGACTGGGCACAGAGAATCACACCTATAATCCCAAAACTTTGGGAAGATCACTTGAGCCCAGGAGTTCAAGATCAGCCTGGACAACACAATGACACCCCCATATCTACAAAATATTTAAACAAAAATTTTTTTAAAAAGACCACTTTGGCTGTAGGAGCAGACCAAGATCAGAGGAAAAGGAAGAACTAGTTTCAAAGCTACTGCATAGTCTAGAAGAGAGATGATAATGAGTTGTATGTACCAGGTAATGGGCCTAAAAACAGAAAGGAGTCGGAAGCAAGAGATATATGAGGTAACAGACACAGGACTTGGTGATTAACTGTATAAGCTGGTGACCAAGGTTCTGAATGATACCCAAGTTTCAGTTTCAAGCAATTGAAATGGTCAAGCCATTATGCCATTGCCACTAACTACGACTTCTTAGCATTTATGAGTATTTTATATTTTATTTTTTGTAATGTCCTTTCACAATACAAGTACTTTATATGTGCCAAAAAGTTTCTGAGCTCTCATATATGAAATAATGTAATCCTCCTCAAACAAACAAACAAGGTACACATACTCACCAACATATAGACACTCTCTCACTCTTCCTAAGTGATCTGTGAGGCTGCATAGCCAGTGACAATTTTCAAATCCAGTCTAACTCCACTGCCTGAACTTATCTGCTGATAAATTATTTATTTTATTCTTCCTTACAGCCAAAAGTCTGACTCATAATTTCAGAGAAAACTGACACAAAAGAATTGTAACTTATCAAAAGATTAAAGTGGCATAGTAAGCATGGGTTAAAAATTGTGTATGTTACAGTTGCCCTTGAAAACTCATATAAATTCTTTAAATTTTATAAAGTATATTACATATTGTTTGTATATACAACCCTGCACAAACAGGTCAATTTATGACTGGGTGCAGTGACTCACACCTATAATCCCAGCACTCTGGGAGGCCGAGGTGGGTGAATCACTTGAGGTCAGGAGTTCAAGACCAGCCTGGCCAACATGGTAAAACCCTGTCTTCACTAAAAATACAAAAGTAGCTGGGCCTGGTGGTCCACACCTGCAATCCCAGCTATTTGGAAGGCTGATGCAGGAGAATCACTTGAAGCCGGGAGGCAGAAGTTGCAATGAGCCCAATAGAGCCACTGTATTCCAGCCTGGAGCAAGACTCTGTCTCAAAAAAAAAAAGGTCAGTTAACAAACATTCAGGGTATAATGTTCATACCCTGAAAAGCAACTGGGATCAAATGGGAGAAGAGCAGGTTTATATCTCCCATTGCATACTCACTGGGATATATGTATGCTGAGCATGATGATGGCAAGTGGAATCGCTCACTCTTTAAATTGTCATTTTTCTTGCTTTCCCCCCACTGTAGTCATATAATAAAACTTTTGTAATTTAAATATAAATAAAACTCCACTTTTCACACATATTTTAAGATTTTCTCTAGTTTCAAAGCACTGCCTCATTCACCTTTTAAAAGAACCATAACTACTTCAATGGAGTACTCTTTGCATCATATCTTAAAAACAGTAATTAGTTTACATAAATTTGGATACCTGAATAAACTGTTTCCTTCCAGGACTTGTCCGAGCAAAAGGCACTCTATCATTCAAACATCTTTTTTATACCAAAACTGTGGTATTTTTCCAGAACTGCTTTAGGAAGTCCCCAATTTGCCAATAGTAGCTTGTCTATTTGGCAGTTGGGAGCAGTAGGCTTGCATTCTCCTTTTAGGAAAAAAAAAAAATTAAAATTTACAGTTTTACAGTTAGCCCTTCACTGTGTGTTGGAATTCCTGTTGAAATGAAGCTATTTAAAGCACATCCTGACGTCAACAATCTTATGAGAAACTGACCATGTATAAAAAAGTAATAAATTGTTATTTACGGCATATGATAAAAACAATTCGTTAAAAGCCTCAAACAAACAAACAAAAACCCCTGTGCAATACACAGTAGATAAAGTCTTCGAATTACGGGCGGAGTGGGGGGAGAGGATAATATGGAAGCATTACAAAGCTTAGTTAGGTAAGTTTCTATTTGTTTTAGTTCCATGACGACAGCATAACTAATGATTTTTTTAAATTGGGTAGACATCCACCAGACACCCAACCAATCTCATTAGGAATCCCTGGACGCCAAACAGCCTGTGCTATCCTCCAGGCCCAAAAATCCGGCCTTAAGGATCTGTAAGGAGCACTAGGTACTATGAGGAGAGCGCCCTTCAACAGGTGATGGTATTTGGCTAACTAGGAAGTTGTTTCTCAAAAGGTCGAAAGACCCAGAAACCAGGTGAACATCAATACCAAGCGACCACTGAAAACACGCGTTATGTCTGAACAGAAAGTGACCTGCCACACCGGGCCCGAGTCAGAGAAGGGGAATAGAAGCCCAATGGGGTATGCAATCAAGCAAGCCCCGTGAGGGGAGAACACCTCCCAACCCAGGGCCCGGAGGAGCTGCTCCCGTCGCCCGCGGCCTCCCGGGTTCCCAGAGAACCTGCAGTTGCGGCTGACTGACGGCCGCGATCCTTCAGGCAGCGACCCAGGCCCGGCGGCGGGCTCAGCACGGTCAGCGAGAGGAGCTGGGGGCTGGCACTGCTGTCACCGCCGCTTCCCGACAACGAATCTGAGCCTGACTCTGAACGCCGCCGTTTCCCACCCCGACGCAGAAAATTCATGGGAAACCCTTCTCGGAAGATCAGGGCAAGCCACAGTCCCAGCGTCCTTCCACTCGGGAGAACCCTGGCCTGCCGACAGGTGCTGTCATCATCTTCCCGCCTGTCTTCAAACTCAAACCTCCCGGCCCGCCCCGGAACCATAGAGTTCTCCGTGGCTTAAGTAACCCGAAAGCCATAGAGTCGTGGGGAAGAAGCCTCTCTCGCTGGTGTCTAAGATTTCCGGCCTCCAGCCTCCGTTGTTAGTGAATATGAGACTTAAAGAGGAAAGCCATAGAGTCGTGGGGAAGGAGCGGCTCTCTCTGGTGTCTAAGACTTCCGGCCTCCGGCCACCATTGTTAGTTAATATGAAACGTAAATTAAAGAGGAAGAATACAGAATCTACAGTTATAACCATACTTACCCTTTATTTTTATCAATTTCTGGTTTGAATGGGAAGGCCATACTAACTTCATAAAGTGGGCTTCCCATAGTAGGTAGGTCACGGAAGTAGCTCTTCTTAACGTATCGGTATTTTGTAAAAATTTATTTTACATTGCGAAGCATGCAAGAGAGCCTAGGGTTTCTAATGGAACATAATTTCCCCCTTTCTCCTAGTGTATGATGGCAGAGCAGGGCTATTTCTGAACGCAATTTCCATTTTAGCCAGCATGCATTGTGAGGAATATGTGATGAGGAATTGGGGATTGCTGGCCGACAGACCCCTCAGACACCTGCATGAACGCCGCGAGGATGGGGCTCTGAATGTACCTCAGGGATCGTTATGAGCCAAGAGCTTAGTAAGGGATCTGTGTACTCTCTTTTGTAAAAGTGGAAGCAAACGGGTTCTGAACGTAAAGCAGTGACCATGCATGACACAGGTGCACAATTCATTCCACCAAGCAAACCTAGTAGGCCCCAAACCTGACCTGGAGAGGCTGTGCAATTCTAGAGCACTAAAAATCTCAAAAGGTCCAGTTCAATTAAAAAAAAAAAAAAAAAAACCTACTCGAATACAATCTGAAAAATAGCACTCGAACCATCAATTCTTTCCAAAAATTTCCCAAAAAAATTTTTAAGGGATTTAAATGACAATATTTTAAACTTCCACGAGATGGCGATATTACTCCATGAATGAAACATTTTTTTCTTCACCTTTTATGCCATCAACAACTATTTATTGAGCATCTACTGTAAGCTAGCTACTGGGTATGGCAGTGAAATGGCATAAAATGGTTCCTGCTCTCGTCGGCCGGGCGCGGTAGTTCACGCCTGTAATCAAGCACTTTGGGAGACTGAGGCAGGCGGATCTTGAGGCCAGGAGTTCGAGAGCAGCCTGATAAGCATGATGAAAACCCGTCTCTACTAAAAATACAAAAATTAGCCAGGTCTGTTGGAGCGCGCCTGTTAATCCGAGCTACTCAGGAGGCTGAGGCAGGAGAATTGCTTATCCGAGCTACTCAGGAGGCTGAGGCAGGAGAATAAGCTGAGATCCTGACATTGCACTCCAGCCTGGGCGACAGAGCAAGATTCTGTCGCAAAAAAAAAAAAAAAAAAAAAAGGAGGTTCCTGGTCTCAAAGAGTCTAGAGAATGAGATAGACATTAAACACATCAGTTAATAATTAAGTGTGCCGTATGCCCAGGCAGAAATGAATAGAGTACTTGTTTGTTAATAATAATTACCTGTTTAAGAGAAAAAAATAAATGAATAGAGTACTATCAAAGAAATGAGAGATCTGACTGGGCTTGGTGACTCACACGTGTAATCCTAGCACTTTGACCAGCTTGGTCAACATGGTGAAATCCTGTCTCTACAAAAAATACAAAAATTAGCCGGGCAAGATGGTGGGTGCCTGTAATGCCAGCTATTTGGGAGGCTGAGGCAGGAGAATCGCTTGAACCGGAAGGCGGAGGTTGTAATGAGCCGATATTGGGCCACAGCACTCCAGCCTGAGCAACAGAGCAAGACTCTGTCTCAAAAAGAAAATTTTTAAAAAGGAGGACCAGGCATGTGGGCTCACTCCTGTAATCCCAGCACTTTGGGAGGCTGAGGTGGGTGGATCACAAGGTCAGGAGTTCAAGACCAGCCTGGCCAAGATGGTGAAACCCCAAATCTACTAAAAACACAAAAATTAGCCAGCCATGGTGGCAGGCACCAGTAATCCCACTTACTCGGGAGGCTGAGAATTGCTTGAACCCAGGAGGCAGAGGTTGCAGTGAGCCGAGATCACACACCACTGTAATCCAGCCTGGGCGACAGGGTGAGATTATGTCACACACACACACACACACACACACACACACACGCAAGATAGATTGTAATCATGAAAGAACTTTCTCAGATGCTGTGTAATTTAAGGGTTGACAGTGCTACTCTGGAGGCAGCCAGTCTAGGTTTGAAGATTTAGTAGCAGTGAGATATTGGGCAACTAGCCTAACCGTTTTGTTTTTCTTTTTTTTTTGAGGTGGAGCCTTGCTCTGTCACCCAGGCTGGAGTGCAGTGGCTCGATCTCCACTCACTGCAACCTCAGCCTCCCAGGTTTAAGCAATTCTCCTGCCTCAGCCTCCCGAGTAGATGGGATCACAGGCACCTGCCACCATGCCTGGCTAATTTTTTAGTTTTAGTAAGGACGGGGTTTCCCCATATTGGTCAGGCTGGTCTCAAACTCCTGACCTCAAATGATCTGTTCGCCTCTGCCTCCCAAAGTGCTGGGATTACAGGCCTGAGCCACTGTGCCTGGCCTTGAGACTTTTTTTTCTTTTTGAGACAGGGTTTTACTCTGTTGCTCAGGCTGGAGTGCAGTGGTACAGTCTCAGCTCACTACAACCTCCACCTCTCACATTCAAGCAATTTTCCTGCCTCAGCCTCCCAAGTAGCTAGCACCACAGGTGCCTGTCACCACACCCAACTCAGTTTTGTATTTTTTGGTAGAGATGGGATTTCACCATATTTCCCAGGCTGGTCTAGAACTCCTGACCTCAAGTGACCCACCCATCTCAGCCTCTGAACGTGCTGGGATTACAGGTGTGAACCACCATGCCCAGCCTATGCAGAGAATTTTAGATCTTACCTCTCACCCTGCTAGAAACTCCAGATTCCTATCCCCCAAGCCCATAATCCATGCTCTAGACCCCAGGGGGATCAGCAGTCATCAGTATGGAAAACTTTGGGTCAAGAGCTTTTCTTAATCCTCTGAAATGTGTTTGACATTTCTGTCCTGCAGAGGATTCCCTGATTTAATCAGCTTAGTTAGAATGTTAAGGAAGGTGTGCAATAGTCAAAGTGGTTTCTTTTTCAGTTTAATATTGCTAAAAGCAGAAGAAAAGGCTGGGCGAGGTGGTTCATGCTTGTAATCCAAGCACTTTGGGAGGCCAAGGTGGGCGGGTCACGAGTTCAAGACCAACCTGGCCAACATAATGAAACCTCATCTCTACTAAAAATGCAAAACATTAGCCGGGTGTGGTGGTAGGAGGCTGGGGCAGGAGAATTGCTTGAACCCAGGAGGCAGGGTTGCAGTGAGCAGAGATCACACCATTGCACTCCAGCCTGGGTGAGAGTGAGAAACTTCATATAAAAAAAAAATCAAAACCAAAAAAAAAAACAGAAGAAAAAAACCCCTTAAATAACAATAATTGATGTATATTCAAACATCATCTGATTTTTTTTGTAAGTTATCAAGAGTGATTTGCATGGAAATTTCAGAAGTTATATGAAAAAATTAAAATGTACCCAAACTAGACCAGGCACAGGGGCTGACACCTATAATCCTAATACTTTGGGAGGCCAAAGTGGGAGAATCACTTGAGCCCAGGAGTTTGAGCCCAGCCTGCGCAACATAGTGAAACCTTATCTCTACAAAAAAATTTTAAAATTAGCCAGGAGTGGAGGCACGTGCCTATAGCCCCAGCCACTAGGGAGGTTGAGACAGGAGGATCTCTTGAGCCCAGGAGGTTGAGGCTGCAGTGAGTTTTGACGGCACTGCTGCAGTCCCCTGTAACCCTGTTTCAAACATAAAAACAATTACTCAAACTCCTTTTGTGAATTGACCAAAACAGAATTATCTACCCAGACTGAAAACTCTGTTTCTCATGTAAGTGGAAGTGATTTGCCAAAGGGCAAAAAAGAAAGCTGGAAAATAAACAAGGAATGTGGACTGAGTGGTACTGATTAGATCTAAGGTACTCAGAAAAAAGGAGATGCTAATTAAGGATTTTGTGTTTGAATCCAGTGATTCTCAACTAAAACAAGTCTAGTGGAACAGTTAGAATCCCAGAGGAGCTTTTAAAATATTATAATACCCCTGGAGATTCTGAGTTAATTGATCTGGGATGGAGTGCAGGCACTGATATGCTTGCCTTAAAAGCTCCGCAGGTATTCTGACATGCTGGAATTGAAAACCACCAGTGCAAGCAAGGGATGAGGCTGACTTGAATTCAGGTGGCTTCAGTGAGAAACTTTTAATAAGGGGCTTCAATTAACACGGGACTCTGACAAAGACCAATTTTTCCACAATGCCTCAAGGAACTAGTTGAAATAGCTTATTTGTGGATGGGGATGAAAGCACAATTGAAATAACCTCAAAGGTCTAGGTTAAAACATCAGAAAGCCAACTTGAAGGTGGTAAAACTAAAGAATGAATCCCCCCAAAAGACTAAATTACCTGAATATGTAAGTACACAGACCCATAACTTCCACATTCATACATAGTCTGGTCTTAGTTTGGCTGCTGTATTAAAATTCCTTTGACTACATAATTTTTTTTTCCTTTTTTTTTTTTTTTGAGATGGAGTTTTTCTTTTGTTGCCCAGGCTGGAGTGCAGTGGCACGATCTTGGCTCACTACAACCTCCGCCTCCCAGGTTCAAGCAATTCTTCTGCCTCAGCCTCTCGAGTAGCTGGGATTACAGGCACGCACCACCATGCCTGGCTAATTTTGTATTTTAAGTAGAGACCGGGTTTCGCCATGTTGGATAGGCTGGTTTTTGAACTCCTGATCTCAAGTGATCCACCCGTCTCGGCGTCCCAAAATACTGGGATTACAGGCGTGAGCCACCGCGCCCAGCCTATTGCATAATGTATAAACAACAGAAATGTATTGTTGGCCGGGCATGGTGGCTCATGCCTGTAATCCCAGCTTTGGGAGGCCGAGGCAGGTGGATCACAAGGTCAGGAGTTTGAGACCAGCCCGGCCAACATGATGAAACCCTGTCTCTACTGAAAATACAAAATTAGCTGGGTGTATGGTGCGTGCCTGTAATCCCAGTTACTCTGGGGGCTGAGGCAGGAGAATCGCTTAAACTCAAGAGGCAGAGGTTGCAGTGAGCCAAGATCACACTACTGCACTCCAGCCTGGGCAACAGAGTGAGACTCCATCTCCAAAAAAAAAAAAAAAGTGTTCTGTCTTGCTTGGCGGACCTTTCCTTGTCCCTGGACTAGAGAAAACAGGCCTTTCTTGTGGCTGTGCGTGTGTGTGTGTTTGGATTGTTTTCATTGGCATTTCCAGGTTGCTGGCAACTCCAGCTTTCAATTTGGAATATATATATATATATATATATTTTTTTGAGACGGAGTTTCGCTCTTGTTACCCAGGCTGGAGTGCAATGGCGTGATCTCAGCTCACCGCAACCTCCGCCTCCTGGGTTCAGGCAATTCTCTTGCCTTAGCCTCCTGAGTAGCTGGGGTTACAGGCACGCGCCACCATGCCCAGCTAATTTTTAGTAGAGATGGGCTTTCACCATGTTGGCCAGGATGGACTCAATCTCTTGACCTTGTGATCCACCTGCCTCGGCCTCCCAAAGTGCTGGGATTACAGTCTTGAGCCATGGCGCCTGGCACAATTTGGAATATTAAAAAAAAAAAAAAAAAAAAAACAGAAAGAAAACCCAAGAAATTCACGAAAGTTTAGTTTTTTGGGTCCCCAGATCTGCCTTCAGAATCTTCTTGTGTTTGTTTACATATAATGTTTAGGGCTTTTAATGCAGTTATCAGGAGGAACAGGGGAAAGCATGTCTACTTCATCTTCCCAGAAGCGGCTATCTCAACTTTTAGTCTTTTGACAATCTTTTTACAAGCAGACATTTACAGTGTATGACGTTGCCCTTCCCAGATCCCTTTCACTGGGTGATTGACCGAACCCCTGGCTGCTGTGTTAGCTGATAACTCACAGCCGCCCCCTCCTTGGAGGAACATCTCAGGGACAAACAGACGCTGTCAGTGTGGGCTGTGCACCACCATCTACCCTTTCTGCTGGGGCCTGACTCCTATCAACGCTGCCGATTTATGCTACAGAGCTTCCTCCTCAAATGAGACTGAAGCTAGTCTGCACCTGAGACTATGTTCTTGATATTTATGGCGCTGAATTTTCTCTCATGGTAAATTTATCACTTGAACCTGTGAGGCACAGGTTGCAATGAGCCAAGATCCTGACACTGCACTCCAACCTGGACAACAGAGCAAGACTCCATCTGAAAAAAAAAAAAAAAAGAAGAAGAAGAAGAAGAAGAAGGCGAGGTAGCGAGGTATAGTGGTGAATGCCTGTAGTCCCAGCTACTCTGGAGGCTGAGACAGGAGTATCACTTGAACCTGGGAGGTGAAGGTTGCAGTGAGCCAAGACTGCACCACTGCACTGCAACATGGATGACAGAGCAAGACTCTGTGTCAAAAAATAAAAATTAAAAAATAAAATAAATGCATATTTTTAAAAACCTAGTCTCTATATTAAAAAAATTAAAATAACTTTTTTAAAAAATGCTGGGTACGGTGGCGTATGCCTGTAATCTCAGCACTTTGGGAGGCAGAGGTGAGAGGATCACTATTTATTTTGATCCTGACTTTGAGACCACACTGGGCAACATAGTGAAAGAAACCTTGTCTCTATATTAAAAAAGAAAATTGGCTGGGCGCGGTGGCTCACGCCTGTAATCCCAGCACTTTGGGAGGCCAAGGCAGGTGGATCACGAGGTCAAGAGATCAAGACCATCCTGGTCAACATGGTGAAACCCTGTCTCTACTAAAAATACAAAAAAATTAGCTGGGCATGGTGGTGCGTGCCTGTAATCCCAGCTACTCAGGAGGCTGAGGCAGGAGAATTGCCTGAACCCAGGAGGCGGAGGTTGCGGTGAGCCAAGATCGCGCCATTGCACTCCAGCCTGGGTAACAAGAGCGAAACTCCATCTCAAAACAAAAAAAATTATAAAATAAATTTTAAAAAAAAGAAAGCTCTTCCTGTGAAATATTCTGACCCACAGATGGACTAGGAGCTTTATGATTTTACCAAATTCTCATAAATCCATGAAGATTATATTTTCCCATTGTATAGATTAATAAACTTACATTCTTAGAGGTGAAATCACTTACCCAGGGTCATACAGCCGGTTCCTGGAGAGCTCTGCATTGACAACCAATTCTGCCTGGATCCAGAACCCATGCACTTAACTTATGTGTAATATTGGTTTGCCTGTTAACAGGAAAGAAGGGAGAAAAAGTTCCAGGCTGCAAAAGACGTTTCCCTCACATTTACAAATCTTTTCAGGAGCTTTTCTTATAAGACTCAGGCTCAGTGGTGCCCATGCTAATCTTTTGGATCTTCAGATGATTCATAGTACGCCAAAGTGATTTTGATCTTGGCACAGTTTTGAAGCTCCTAATGTCAGCCACACATTGTCATGGTAAAAAATAATGTAGTATGCCTATGTTCAACAAAACAAACAATTCTCATGCTTAATTCTGGCTTTTCTGGATGTTCTGCGATAGAGATGAAGAGGATGTGTACAGAAATATTTTTTTGCCTTCTTTTTTTTTTTTTTTTTAGACGGGGTTTTACCATGTTGGTCAGGCTGCTCTTGAACTCCTGACCTCAGGTGATCTGCCCGCCTTGGTCTCCAAAATGCTTGGATTACAGGCATGAGCCACTACGCCCGGCCTATTTTTGCCTTCTAAGAGTTAAAAGATGGCCAGACATCGTGGCTCACACCTATAATCCCAGCATTTTGGGAGGCTGAGGTGGGCAGATCACCTGAGGTCAGAAGTCCAAGATCAACCTGGCCAACACGGCAAAACCCCATTTCTATTACTAAAATGCAAAAGTTAGCCAGCTATGGTGTCACACATCTGTAATCCCAGCTACTTGGAAGACTGAGGCAGGAGAATTGCTTGAACCTGGGAGTTGGAGATTGCAATAAGCCAAGATACTGCCACTGCACTCCAGCCTGGGTAACAGAGCAAGACTCCATCTCAAAAAATAAATAAATAAAAATAAAACAAAATACCGATTGTATTAGGCCATTCTTGCATTGATATAAAGAAATGCTTGGCTGGGTGTGATGGCTCATGTCTAATCCCAGCACTTTGGGAGGCCGAGGCAGGCGGATCACTTGAGGTCGGGAGTTTGAGACTAGCCTGGCCAACATGGTGAAACCCTATCTCTACCAAAAATTACAAAAATTAGCCAGGTGTGATGGAGTGTGCCTGTGATCCCAACTTGTTAGGTGGCTAAGACAGGAGAATCACCTGAAGCCAGAAGGCAGAGGTTACAGTGAGCCGATATGGCACCACTGCACTCCAGCCAAGCAAAGATCATGCCACTGCACTCCAGCCTAGCCAACAGAGCAAGACTGCATCTCAGAAAAAAAAAGGTGGGGGGTTGTTAAATTCAGTGGCCCACGCCTATAATCCTAGCACTTTGGGAGGCTGAGGTGGGTGAATCACTTGAGGTCAGGAGTCTGAGACCAGCCTGACCAACATGGTAAAACCCCCATCTCCACTAAAAATACAAAAATTAGCGGGGCATAGTGGCGCATGTTTGTAATCCCAGCCACTCAGAAGACTGAGGCAGGAGAATCTCTTAAACCCTGGGGTGGAGGTTACAGTGAATGGAGATTGTGTCACTTCACTCCAGCCTGGGCGAAAGAATGAATGAAACTCCACCAAAGTTTCTCTTGCCTCAGCCTCCCCAGTAGCTGGGATTACAGGTGCCCACCACCACGCCCAGCTAATTTTTCTTGTATTTTTAGTAGAGACAGAGTATCACCATGTTGGCCAGGTTGGTCTTGAACTCCTGACCTCAGGTGATCCACCCGTCTCAGCCTCCCAAAGTGCTGGGATTGCGGGCATAAGCCACCACACCAGACCCTATTTCTTAATTTCTTCCTGCTTGGGAAAAGGATATTCCCAGCAGCTGGGATCTAGTATCCTCTTTCTGTAGACTATCTTGTGTATTTTAAGAAAAACTTTCAGGAAACTGTTTGGACTTGAGAGTTTCTGCTTACTTAGTTGTGGAAGATCAGCTTTAAACATTGGTTGTAGGGTTTTCCTAAAACATTTTGTCACTACCCAAACTGTGGTTGATGAAGTGCCACCCATTTCTTTTGTAAATAAGAGAAAGAAAACTACATTAATTCATGCAATTATTCCACAGATATTCTGCTTTAAAAGTTATCTTCTGGGTGAGACCTTCCTTGACCACTGTTTCTAAATATCCCCCATTGGCTCAGCTCTATTTTCTCTTCCTCTGCTTTATACTCTTCATAACACCTATAAGTCTCTGTAATGTATTATTTGTTTACTTTTATTTTTTTGAGACAGAATCTTGTTCTGTCGCCCAGGCTGGAGTGCAATGTCATGGTCTCCACTGACTGCAACCTCCCCTTCTTAGGTTCAAGCAATTCTTCCACCTCAGCCTCCTAAGTAGCTGGGATTACAGGCATGCACTGCCATGTCCAGCTAATTATTGGATTTTTAGTAGACGCGTTGTTTTCACCATGATGGCCAAGCTGAACTCCTGGCCTCAAGCCTTCCACCTGCCTGGGCCTCCCAAAATGCTGGGATTATAGGCATGAGCCATCACACCTGGCCATTTGCATTTATTTACATTTCTATAGACTTCTTGACCAGAAAGTAAGTTCCATGAAGGCAGGAACTTTGTCTTCTGAGTTTTATCTCCAGCACTTAGAACAACGTATGACACATAGCAGACACTCACAAATATTTGTGGAATGAGTGTGTGACCGCTATGTCAGACACATTGCTGGGCTCTGGGATACAGTGATGAATGAATGAGACAGTCTCCCCTTTTGTGAATCTCAATTTCATACCATCTGTCTACCTTTTCTAAAGTTTTTCAGTTTTGCTCTTTGACTTGGAAAAGAAAGGTTTAGTGTGAGATGGGCTTTACTGAGTGTGCTGTGAGATATAAATATTAACTGGTCATATTAGAGACATGAGTTGTGAGCATTTGAGAATGATTCCTAAAGTTTGAATCTCCTGAAGTTTGATATTTGTGCACTGATTTCCTTAGTCTGATTTGTCCTTTTTCTTCCTCCTGGAATGAGAGAGGGATTAGCTATGAAAACCTTGAAGAGACCAGGTGTGGTGGCTCACACCTGTAATCCCAGCACTTTGGGAGGCCAAGGTAGGTGGATCACCTGAGGTCAGGAGTTTGAGACCAGACTGACTAACATAGTGAAACTCCATCACTACTAAAAATACAACAAAGTAGCCAGACATGGTAGTGGGCACCTGTAATCCCAGCTACTCAGGAGGCTGAGGCAGGAGAATCTCTTGAACCCAGGAGGTGGAGGTTGCAATGAGTAGAGATCACCCCATTGCACTCCAACCTGGGTGACAGTGCAAGACTCCATCTAAAAAAAAAAGGAAAAGAAATAGAAAACTCTCAATTAACAATAATTGATGTACATTCAAAAAACATCATTGATTTTTGTATAAGTTTACAAAAATTATCAAGAGTGATTTGCCTTGAATGGAAATTGCAGAAGTTATATGGAGAAATAAAAAATTTACCCAAACTAGGCCAGGCACAGGGGCTGACACCTATAATCCTAACACTTGGGAGGCCAAGGTGGCAGGATCACTTGAGCCCAGGAGTTTGAGCCCAGCCTGAACAACATAGTGAAACCCTGCCTCTACAAAAAATTTAAAAATTAGCCAGGAGTGGTGGCACGTGCCTGTAGCCTGAGCCACTAGGGAGGTTGAGGCAAGAGGATCACTTGAGCCCAGGAGACTGAGGCTGCAGTGAGTTGTGATGGCACCACTGCAATCCCCCCAAGTGATTTATTATTGTTTCAAAAATAAAAATAAAAACACAATTACTCAAACTACATTTGTGAATTGACTAAAACAGAATTATCTACCCAGACTGAAAACTCTGTTTTTCATGTGAGTGGAAGTGATTTGCCAAAGGGCAAAAAAGAAAGAGCTGGAAAATAAACAACAAATGTGGAATAATAGTGGTACTGGTTAGGAAGCCTCTTTGAAGGGTGCAGTGGCTCTCGCCTGTAATCCCAGCACTTTGGGAGGCCGAGGTGGGCGGGTCACCTAAGCCCTCACTATGTTGTCCAGGCTGGACTGCAGTGGCTTTTCACAGGTACAGTCAGCACACTGCAGCCTATAATGCCCAGACTCCAGCAATCTTCCTGCCTCATCCTCCCAAGTAGCTGAACTACAGGCATGGACCACCACACCCTTGAAGGAGGCTTTTACCTGTGAACGGAGAATGAGGCAAGGGTCAATAATTATATTTCCTGTGGCTCACGCCTATAAGCCTAGCACTTTGGGAGCTTGAGGCGGGTAGATTGCTGGAGCCCAGGAGTATGAGACCAGCATGGGAAACATGGCAAAAACCCATCTCTACTAAAAATACAAAAATTAGCCAGGCATGGTGACCTGTGCCTGTGATCCCAGCTACTTGGGTGGCTGAGGTGGGAGGATGGCTTGAGCCCAGGAGGTGGAGTTTGCAGTGAGCTGAGATCCCACCACTGCACTCCACTCCAGCCTGGGTGAGAGCCTGTTTCAAAAAAGAAAAAAGAAGGAATTGTATTCCTAACAGAAGACATAGTGAGAAAAAAAAGCCTGAGACATGACTTTTGAATTTAGAGATTCAGAAAGTTGCAAGGAGGACATGCTGGGCAAAAGCAGAAGGTGGAAGTAAATGCAGGAAATGAAACTGGACATTGATTCAGAGGGCTCCTTTGCACAGTATTCCAGCAATGTCTTTTGAAGATTGAGGGACTCCACAGCTTTCCAAGGTCATCCTCTGACACTCAGGACTCTGTCATGGAGTTTCACTCTTGTCACCCAGGTTGGAGTGCAGTGGCACAATCTCTGTTCACTGCAACCTCTGCCTCCTGGGTTCAAGTGATTCACCTGCCTCAGCCTCCTGAGTAGCTGGCATTATAGGCACCTGCCACCAGGCCTGGCTAATTTTTTTTTTTTTCTGAGACAGAGTCTTGCTTTGTCACCCAGGCTGGAGCACAGTGGTGTGATCTTGGCTCACTGCAACCTCTGCCTCCTGGGTTCAAGCAATTCTCCTCCCTCAGCCTCCCAAGTAGCTGAGGCCAAGAATTACAGGCACCTGCCACCATGCCGGGCTAATTTTTGTATTTTTAGAAGAGATAGGGTTTTGTCACATTGGTCAGGCTGGTCTGGAACTTCTGACCTTGT